CCTAGATTTGCCAGCTACGTGAGTACAGGAATTCGGTCGGCTTGTTACCACAGAGCTCTTAGCTCTCCACATCTTGATGAAACAGGCAAGTTTAGAGGCTCCATTAGCGAAAGATATTGCCAGGGGGATACATTCTGCAGCCTTGGACTGTTGCTGATGCAGTTCTGCACTCGGCATTGATTCTGCAGTTCGTGCCTGAGTTATTTGTGCCATTTTCAGGCCAGCATTAATCCCCGCTGTGCCTCTTTTCACCTGTCAAAATAAGGTAGCACAGGCAGTTTTCCATAGCCTGAGCAATGGAAAGTCAATCTGTGCAGAAAGAAATGGAGGGTAACCTCCCCACATGCCTTCATACCTTGGCTTGGGCTATTTAGTCATTCTGTAAACTTATAGTCTACCCCTCAACATAAACTTCAGTTCACTTTTAATTTAGAAACGTGCTGCTGATACTATCATAGCTTGACAGTTGTGGATGGTTTTCCTCGTTCTGCCCGGACGCTGAAGTCCAGCGCCGAGAGCCTTCTGGCGGTTCCCTCATTGCGAGAAGAGAAGTTACAGGGAAACAGGCGGAGGGCCTTCTCAGTAGTGGCGCCCGCCCTGTGGAACGCCCTCCCATCAGATGTCAAAGCGATAAACAACTATCTGACATTCAGAAGACATCTGAAGGCAGCCCTGTTCAGGGAAGTTTTTAATGTGTGAAATTTTAGTGTATTTTTGGTCTCTGTGGAAGCCGCCCAGAGTGGCTGGGGAAACCCAGCCAGATGGGCGGGGTACAAATAAATTATTATTATTATTATTATTATTATTATTATTATTATTATTATTGTGTTCTATGGCGTTGTCACTGTGTCATTTTCAGTACAGTGGTACCTTGGGTTACAGACGCTTCAGGTTACAGACGCTACAGGTTACAGACGCCACTAACCCAGAAATAGTACCTCAGGTTAAGAACTTTACCTCAGGATGAAAACAGAAATCGCGTTGTGGTGGCGGCGGCGGGAGGCCTCATTAGCTAAAGTGGTACCTCAGGTTAAGAACAGTTTCAGGTTAAGAACGGACCTGCAGAATGAATTAAATTCTTAACCCGAGGTACCACTGTATTTAAAACACTCAACCATGGGTAGGCAAACTAAGGCCCGGGGGCCGGATCCGGCCCAATCACCTTCTCAATCCAGCCCACAGATGGTCCGGGAATCAGCATGTTTTTACATGAGTAGAATGTGCCCTTTTATTTAAAATGCATCTCTGGGTTATTTGTGGGGCCTGCCTGGTGTTTTGACATTAGTAGAATGTGTGCTTTTATTTAAAACGCATCTCTGGGTTATTTGTGGGGCATAGGAATTTGTTCATCCCCCCCCCCCAATATAGTCCGGCCCCCCACAAGGTCTGAGGGACAGTAGACCGGTCTCCTGCTGAAAATGTTTGCTGAGCCCTGCGAGTCAAGGCCAATTGGCCCAATATTGAGTTCTTCTCAGAAGAACAACCTACCTGGTTGGCTGGGCTACTTATTCTCTGGGACTTTTATGGGTGCATCATCGCTAGCCCCAAATATTGCAGAGTGTGTACACATTTAATATCTCAGTCAGGTCTGAACTAGATGTGGCATGAAGTCATGTGCATATTCAACCCCTGACTTCTTTAAAAAAAAACCAAAAGCTGCAGCAGGAGACTTAGAAGCTGTGAGTGGCATCTCTTCCATTTCCCTCTACTCTGCACAGAAGCCTAGGAAGAAAAACTGTCTGTTCTTGTATCTCTTTTCTGCTTCTTATACCCTCGTAACACCACACTTAACAGCCCCTGCTAGCCAGAGAACTTTAATGCCTTGCGCGTGAACTTTGTGGGGAAAGCTGATATAATAACATCCAGCTTCCCCAATGCATGTGGTAAGAATTATTTATGTTTCCACAAGACGGCTGCTGTTGAACATTCCTTCCCTGAAAGAGAACGGCCTTGGACCTGAATGGTCTGGCCGCAGGAAGCATTTGCAGGCTGAAATCACGGGGCCTTCAAGGCTTCAACAACCCCCAACTTCAAACAACATCCTTTTGTGGTCAGAAAAAGGCCCACGGGGTCATGCAGGGCTGTCAAAAACAGCCTGGGGTTGTGGAAGTATGAGAGCTTCCATGATCTTTGGCTGCCTTCAAATGCTTCAGTTACTGTGCTGGGACGGGGGCAAATCTCCTCCTACCTGGGAGTACTGCCACCCCCACCCCCACCAGTGGCAGGGAAGGTGGGGTGCCTTTGGGGGCACTGCCTTGGGGGTTTCTGGTGCCCAGGGCAGCTGCTTCACCTCACCTCATGGTCTGGGACCCTCTTGCCCCAAGGTATCCCTGCAATATGGTGTTCCCTTCTGTACTGAAGTTCTCACCCTGGGCCAGCAGGGGGATACTTTAGATAGGTCCACATATGCAAATAAGGGATTGAAACTGACGCTCAGTGATTGGATAGTTACAAAAAGTTGTTACTGTTGCGTTCTATTGGAGCTCTATATAAGCAGGCTGGCTGAACCCTTCAGTTCAGTTCTGTTCTGGCCTGTGAATAAACAAGAGCTGTTTGAAGAATCGCTGTGTCGTCTGATATGTTCACCCACAACTTAACACCTTCCCACCAGCAGGCTTTGCCGGAAGTCACTATGCAAACCATTGGGAATTGCCGTATATACTCAAGTGTAAGCCTACTTTTTCAGCACATTTTTTATGCGTATAAAAGCCCCCCTCGGCTTATATTTGAGTGAGGGTCCTTTTGGGCTGCTGCTCCTTCCTCTTCCTCTGCCTTTGCTGCTGTTGGCGGTGGTGGCGGAGGAACGAGCAGCCCTTTTGGGCTGCTTGTTCTTCCTCCACCACTGCCACCACCAGCCTCTGCCTCTCAGCAGCAGCCTAGGTAGGCAGGGGGACAGAGGGGCTGGAGGGGAGAGAGAAGCCCCCTCTGCCGTGTGTGCATGCGTGCACACACACACGCACCCCGGCCCACCAGGAGGATTGTGGTGTGGTGAACCGGCTTATACTTGAGTCAATAAGTTTTCCCAGCTTTTTGTGGTAAAATTACCGTATTTTTCGCTCCATAAGGCGAACCTGACCATAAGGCGCACCTAGTTTTTAGAGGAGGAATTCAAGAAAAAAAAATTTAAAGGGAGCACTGAGCAAAGCCTGTATGCATCCCAGGCTCAGCTCAGCGCTCCCTTTCACGAGCAGCATGGAGTGTGTGTCTGGCTCTTGCGGGCTTTTCTACAAGGAGGGAGAAGGGACTGATGCGGCCAGTTAGTCCCTTCTCCCTCCTGGGGAAAAGCCCTCAAGAGCAGCGCCAAGCTTGTGTGTGGCTCTTGGGGGCTTTTCCCGCCTGCCTCCCCCCTACATTTGCTCCATAAGATGCACACACATTTCCCCTTACTTTTTAGGAGGGAAAAGTGCGTCTTATGGAACGAAAAATACAGTAGGTGCCTCGGCGTATATTCGGGTCGGCTTATACTCGAGTATATACAGTATGTTCACATGTGGTGGGGGTGTAAGTATGTACATTTTTTTTCTGGTGAAGGGTATTAACATAAATCACTGGGTTCAAGCTGACCAAAAGTCCAGAGGTAGCATTATTACCAATTTGCGATGGGGTGGAAGGTTCGCAGGCTGTGAAGGACTTGCTCACAAATTTATTGACAGCTGTGCGAATTATGATAGCTAGGAAGTGGAAGGGGCAAGCAGAATATAAAATGGAAGAATGGTATAAAGAGATGTGGGGTATAGCTATTAACGATAAGTTAACATGTGCCATTAAGGGAATACACAGGAGAAATGATTTTGAGGAGATATGGAAGGTGTTTGTAGCATTTGTACTGTTAAAACGGAAAGGGGTCCAACCATCGCAAGAGGTGTTGAAATGTTGGGAGATTGGAGAGTTACAATGGAATGGTCTCGGTTGTGGGGTGCACATTTTTACAGTCATACCTCGGGTTACAGACGCTTCAGGTTGCGTTTTTTCAGGTTACGGACCGCCGAAACCCGGAAGTACCGAAACGGGTTACTTCCGGGTTTTGGCAGTCGCGCATGCGCAGAAGCGCTAAATCACTGTTGCGCATGCGCAGAAGCACTGAATCCCAACTCGTACGTGCACAGATGCACCGCTGCAGGTTGCGGATGCTGCGGGTTGCGGGTGTGCCTCCCACACGGATCACGTTCGCAACCCGTGTGTCCACTGTATTCTTATTTATTTATGATGATTACTTTGTCAAAATATAATCATAATTGTCCATTAAACTTTAATTAGTTTAATGTTAAGTAAACGTCCAGTGCGCTTCCAACGCCATAAGTCTTATCTCAGCAGAGAATTTCGTGCAGCGGTTGAAGAAGGCAGGAGAGTCAGTACCTTTCAATGAAGAATCCTGGAGCAAGCACTTTGGAACTCAGAAAAAAACTTTATTTACAAAAGAAAAAACCCTGGCGATAAAGCACACATGCTTTTATCTCCGGCATAAAGAAAACTTTACTCTAAACTTAACTCATACTAGCAAACACGCCCATGGCCACAAACTGAGTCTGCGAGTCAGGTCAAGGGGGGCTGAGAGAGAGAACACACGGGTGAACTGACTATTTATACAAACTAACTCACATTCCTGGATGCTTAATGACTTCCAGCTGCTCAGTGATTAGAGCGACTTGTTACCTCTTAACCCTTTAGTACCAACAATAATCATAGAAAAGAAAATTAATCCAATTTTTTAAAAAAATGTCTGTCAAAAAAAGGAGGGGTTATATAGCAATGAGGAATCCAGGAGGCTTGGGGTAGGTGTGGGGGGACCCTGCCTGTCAGATAAGGTGGGTGTCCCATCATTTTTTATTTATTTTTTATTATTTTTTGCAAGACTGCTGACATTAAAGTGTTTGGAGCACACTCTTGTAGATACAGATAAATATTCTGCCTTTGTCTTCCTTTGTGAAAGATTTTTTTAAAAAGAAAAAAGTGGATTCCCCCCCCCTCTCTTTTACTTAGACCGCTCCAAGAGCCTGGTGATGGGGGACCCCCCTGGGCTGCCCTGCCGGCCTTCCTCCCCCTGCCGACAAGAGCCGGCGCTGAAACGTGGCTGGCTGAAGAAGCAGAGAAGCATCATGAAGAACTGGCAGCAGCGCTGGTTTGTCCTTCGTGGCGACCAGCTCCTGTACTATAAGAATGAGGATGAGGTCAAGCCACAGGTAAGGTGCCTCTGGGCTGGAAGTGAGAAAAAGTAGCCAGCAATCTGTTGAGGCCGTTGGTGGGTCTCCTGCCTGTGGTTGTGTGTCTGTGCGCTGCTTTAACAGTCTACATAAAGGATATTCTCTTGCACATCTGGCTGTGTCTGCTCTGTCCAAAGGCTTCTTTGGTGATCACTTGTAGCCGAGTAAGATTGTCTTCCAAAACAGGATTTTAGCAGTGAGTCCGTAAGTGACTGTGGAGGCCAATTCTGGATCCACACATCCTTCCACAGTGGGGACATAGGTTTCTGGGTGGCAGTTGATCACAGTGTGGATTTGCCAAGCGTGCCTTCTTCCTAGCACGTTTCTCCCTTTTGTCCTGAGTTCGAGCATCTATCAAAGCCCATAACACCTTTGGTAAAGGCTGTTCTCCAATTGGAGCACTTGCAGTCCAGTGTTTCCCAGTTGTCAGTGTTTATGCTACTGTTTTTTTAAAGATTTGCCTTGAGAGAGTCTTTAAACCTCTTTTGTTGACCACCGGCATTATGCTTTCCATTTCTGAGTTCGGAATAGAGTAGTTGCTTTGGAAGACGATCATCAGGCATCCGCACAACATGACCAGTCCAACGAAGTTGATGTTGAAAAATCATTGCTTCGACAGAGGCATAACGTTGGCAGCACACATGTTGTGGACAAAGGGGCATCAATGGGCACTAGGGCTGGGCAATATATCAATATATAGTCCAAAACCAGTTTGAAGTCCATATCGTCGTATCGGTTTCATAATTTTTGACCTGGCAATATATCGCGAATCATGATGTATGTGTGTGCCATGCAAAAATCATGATGCAGGGAAAACCGTGAAGCCATCCGATGCCTGTTAGTTTCTGTTTGCCACTGACCAGCTGCTTAGAGTCACAAGGCTCTGTTTACATTCCAGAGACCTTCCAGGCTGTTGGAAGTCTCCTGTGAGACGAGGACACGCATGTGGCGTTACTGGTTTCCTGTTCCTTTGTTCCTTTGTTGTTCAGTTGCTCTCTGCTTTCATAGAGAGAGGCTGTATTTTTCTTTGCGTGGACAGGCGGAGTCCCCCAGATCCCGCGCGGTCCCCCCGTCATGTGGAATAACGACTCAAGACAACGTGCTATGGGATTAAATTGGCCACAACTTTATTAAATTTCAAATGTGGGTAGACCTTGGCTCAGGCATTGGGTGTTATCCCTCCCCAGTCTCCAGCCGGGGACCTAGGGAGCATCAGGGTTGTCCAGTGTGGGGGGGGATGGGCCGGCTCTGGAGAACATATGTTCAAGCAGAGATAGCCGCCCCCGTTACACCACCGTCGCAGGGGAGAGCAATGACGACCTTTCGGCGTATGGTCAAAGCCTCCCTTCAGAAACCCCTTTAACAGGGAACCCTGGTATTGCCGCTGCAAAGAGTAAGATGGACTAAAGGATTCCGCCCAAGGCCTGATACCGCCAAAGTTGTGACGTTTTGCTACGGGAAAGGCGAAACCTGCCAATGCAGGGGAATTCCTTTCCGGCCCTTTAACAGCGACGTTGACGTAGCAGCGCCCGCATACCTGTGAAGAAAAGTTAACCTGCAAACCTGTGAAGAAAGATTAACCTGCAAAACAAAACATTAACTGCGGGTGGGTAGGGTGGGAGAAGCTCTGGAGCCAAGTGAGGATTCCCAGGTAAGATCCTCCCTCTATTGTGTGGGCAGGTTGTCCCTCCCCTACCTGGACTGGTCTCCTTGGCAACGCTTCCCCCAGGCGGGATTGGACAACTGACTGAGGTAGGCGGAGACCTCCAGGTATCCCACCTGAGGGAAGGCAAAGCCAAGCCTATGCTGATGGAGCCGCTCCAGATCCAGGGGCTACGCGCGTCCACGCAAAGGGCACCCCCCGTTTTATGCGGGGAGTGGTCATTGCTGTCTGCGTAGAAGATAATAAAACTCTTTAGCTATGTAGCTCATACTATCTCATCCTTCCGCGTGCTGCTTTGGATTCTCTGCTGAATGAGGGAACATACCTTGGAGCCTTATCAGAGGCTCAGGTGATCAATTACGTCGGAAGATGAGCTTTATCAGATCGGTCGTAGTGGAGATCCCGACAGCCTCTACATATCTCCATTCTTATTTCAGGCACCGTGATATATGGGTATATCACAATGTTTAGCTGGTGATACATCACAATGTTGAAAAACCAAATATTGCCCAGCCCTAATGCAGAAACCGTGACCCTTGTACACTTTCACAGCCTGGTTGTGGACACAGCCCAGTTTCAGCACTCAAGGATGAAAGACAGTGACCTGACTATGCAGGGTGAAATCTCTACCTGTATGGCCAGCTCACTGTGAAACAGGTGTAGTGCTGGTTAGCTGTGAGGGAAGGATTGTGGTTTAAGGAGTGAGCTGGACAGTGGCGTAGCGTGGGGGGTGCAGGGGGGCCGGCCGCACCGGGCGCAACATCTGGGGGGGCGCGCTCGCACTCGCAGCTTTCTGCCCCTACCTGGCTCGAGTGCTAAAATCCACGGGTTAGGGGGCGCAAATTACTTGCCTTGCCCCGGGTGCTGACAACCCACGCTACACCACTGGAGCTGGAAGCTGGGTTTAGAGACCAATGAAAATAGGGATGTCTTATTATTATTATTATTATTATTATTATTATTATTATATTGCTTATATCCCACCCATCTTACTGGGTTGCCCCAGCCACTCTGGGTGGCTTCCAACATGTATAAAAACATAATAAAACATTAAACATTTTCTTTAAAAACTTTTCTGCCTTAGCTGCCTTCATTTAGTTAGTTATCTCCTTGGCTCGGGGGTTGCATAACTCCATGCCCTCCAACATTTCTCTGATGGAAATAGGGACATCCTGAGGGAAAGCAGGATATTCCAGGATCAAATCAGAAACTGGGATGGCTTCTCTAAATATGGGACCAGTCCCTGGAAAATAGGGACACTTGGAGGGCAGCTTTTGGATATATGGGGAGCTGAATGACCCTCTTTCTGTATGCTGTTTACCAGGCATAGGCAAACTCCAGATGTTTTGGAACTACAATTCCCATCATCCCTAGCTAACAGGACCAGTGGTCAGGGATGATGGGAATTGTAGTCTCAAAACATCTGGAGGGCCGGAGTTTGCCTATGCTTGCTGTTTACCTTCCACATTTACATTTCAAATGTCCACTTCCCTTCTGTTCCCTGACTTTTTTCTCTTTTTTCTGCCAATTTCAGGGGTTCGTCCCTTTGCAAGGCAATCAGGTGAATGAAGTGCCCCCCAATCCTGAGGAGCCAGGGAAGTACCTCTTTGAAATTTCTGCAGGTAGGCCTGCGTTTCGGTCTCCTTTGTCTTGATCGTACGGTTCTGATTTGATGAGCGGAGCAGGGAAGTGGTGTAACTCCATGGTGGGGCATTTTAATTTTTAATTCTGATAGGAAATGCTCTGCAGGGCTAGGCCGTATTGCTGCGATAAAAATGAATGTATTGCCTAGAATGTTGTTTTTGTTTCAAACTTTGCAGATTGTGGACAAAATGGACTGTTTCAAGAGATGGCAGAAAGATATTTCTAAATTTGTCTGGCAGGGCAAGAAACCTAGAATAAAATTTAAAATTTTAACAGATGCAAAGGAAAGAGGTGGATTTGCCCTGCCAGACCTCAAACTTTATTATGAATCAGCAGCTTTTTGCTGGTTGAAAGAATGGCTACTTCTTGAAAACACTGACATTTTGGATTTGGAAGGTTTTAATAATGTATTTGGATGGCATGCATATTTATGGTATGATAAGGTCAAAGCACACAAAGCATTTAAAAACCACATTGTCAGGAAAGCGCTATTTAATGTTTGGATAAGATATAAGGATTTGCTAGAAAATAAAACCCCGAGGTGGCTGTCACCAATGGAAGCGAAAGCCTTGAAAAGGGTCAATATGGAGGTCAAATGGCCGAAATATTGGGAAATTTTGGAACAAGACGGAGATAGACTGAAATTGCAGAGTTTTGAAAAATTAAAAAACAAAGTGCGAGACTGGCTTCATTATTATCAAATAATGGAGGCATTTAAATTAGACAGGAAAATTGGCTTCCAGGTGGAAAAATCAAAATTAGAAACAGAATTGTTAGAACCCAATACTAAGAATCTGTCAAGAATGTATAACTTGCTGCTGAAATGGAATACTCAAGATGAAACGGTAAAATCGGCTATGATTAAATGGGCACAGGACGTAGGACACAACATTATGTTCGCTGACTGGGAACAGTTATGGACCACTGGTATGAAATTTACGGCATGTAATGCCTTAAGAGAGAATATTATGAAAATGATATACAGGTGGTACATAACCCCAGTCAAGCTTGCGAAAATCTATCACTTGCCCGATAATAAATGTTGGAAATGTAAAGAAACTGAAGGTACATTTTTTCACCTTTGGTGGACGTGCCCAAAGATTAAGGTTTTCTGGGAAATGATATATAATGAATTAAAAAAAGGTATTTAAGTATACCTTCCCCAAGAAACCAGAGGCCTTTCTCCTGGGCATAGTGGGCCAAATGGTGTTAAAAAAAGGATAGAACTTTCTTTATGTATGCAACAACAGCAGCAAGAATACTCATTGCAAAGTATTGGAAGACACAAGAACTTCCCACGCTGGAGGAATGGCAGATGAAACTTATGGACTATATGGAATTGGCGGAAATGACTGGTAGAATCCGTGACCAGGGAGAAGAGTCGATGGAGGAAGATTGGAAGAAATTCAAAGACTATCTTCAGAAACACTGTAAAATTAAGGAATGTTAAAGTGATGTTGGATTGAAAATAAGTGGTTTCCAGCTGAACAGGTTAAAGCTAAGGATAGATTAAGATTAAAGATTAAGATTAAAGATGTTTAAAGAAATGGAAATTTGATAATAAAAGGGAAAAATTTAAAGGTATATGACATTAAGAACAAGGATTATGTTTAAAAAGCTGAAGCTATATAGTTTAATATTTCATTAAATTAAAGATTGGGTTTAAAAAGTGGAAAAGAAACTGCTGGACAAATAATGTAGATTGGAATACAAAAGAGGGAGGTATGAGGAAGTCCAGAAAATAAGTAATTTAAAATTGGGAATGTAAAAGAGAGTTTGTTTTAAATTGTTATGTTGTGTGTTTTTATTGTTAAATTTTGTATTGTTTTTCTTTTTTGTGTGTGTGTGTTGTTTTTTCTTTTTTCTTTGTTTAAAACTTTAATAAAAATTATTCAAAAAAAAAAAAGGAAATGCTCTGCAGGGGTCGAGGGGACAAAAAAAGGGGGGGCTAAGGAAGGTCAAGGACATGGGCGGCGCTGTGGGTTAAACCACAGAGCCTAGGGCTTGACGATCAGAAGGTTGGCGGGTTGAATCCCCACAACGGGGTGAGCTCCCGTTGCTCGGTCCCAGGTCCTGCCAACCTAGCAGTTCGAAAGCACCTCAAAGTGCAAGTAGATAAATAGGTACCGCTCCAGCGGGAAGGTAAACGGTGTTTCCGTGCGCTGCTCTGGTTCGCCAGAAGCGGCTTAGTCATGCTGGCCACATGACCCAGAAGCTGTACACCGGCTCCCTCAGCCAGTAAAGCAAGATGAGCACCGCAATCCCAGAGTCGGTCACAACTGGACCTAATGGTCAGGGGTCCCTTTACCTCTAAGGAAGGTCAGTTGCGAGGGAGGGAGAAATGCCTCTCTTCTCATCTGAGAAATGTTAAGAGGGTATGAGATGCTTTAGAGGGACGCGGGTGGCGCTGTGGTCTAAACCACTGAGCCTCTTGGGATTGCTGATCAGAAGGTCAGCGGTTCGAATCCCCGCGACAGGGGTGAGCTCCCGTTGCTCTGTCGCAGCCCCTGTCAACCTAGCAGTTCGAGAGATAAATAGGTACCATTGTGGAGGGAATCTAAACGGTGTTTCTGTGCGCTCTGGTTTCTGTCACAGTGTCCCATTACACCAGAAGCGGTTTAGTCCTGCTGGCCACAGGATCCAGAAAGCTGTCTGTGGACAAACGCCTGCTCCCTCAGTCTGAAAACGAGATGAGCACCACAACCCCATAGTCGCCTTTGACTGGACTTAACCGTCCAGGGGTCCTTTACCTTTACCTTTACCTATGAGATGTTTTAGACTACACCTTCCATCAGCCTAAGCCTGTTGTAGTTCAAAACACCCAGGAGACACCAAATTGACAGTGGCTGTCTTAAACATTGTTCCTGTTTTTGCTTGGATTCCTCTTGCCGTGATTATCTTAGGCCTACACCCTGGAGGAACTTGCTGTTTTGTAGCTACTCTTTAGCTGTCAGCAGGTTTCGAACAACAACTGTTGCGCTTGTTTTGATTCCAAACACCAGCATGCTCTCTGCAAGAAGAGTCCGAGGACTCAGCTACCTTAGTCAAAATACAGTGTTATACAGTGGTGCCCCGCAAGACGAAAAACTCGCTAGACGAAAGGGTTTTGCGTTTTTTGAGTCGTTCCGCAAGACGAATTTCCCTATGGGCTTGCTTCGCAAGACGAAACGTCTTGCGAGTTCTTGCAAGTTTGTTTCCTTTTTCTTAAAGCCGCTAAGCCGTTAATAGCCGCTAAGCCGCTAATAGCCGCTAAGCCGCTAAGCCGCTAATAGCCGTGCTTCGCAAGACGAAAAAACCGCAAGACGAAGAGACTCGCGGAACAGATTAATTTCGTCTTGCGAGGCACCACTGTACAGCACCAGACGGCTGAACTCACAACTCAATGATATTTTCAATTTACAACAGTTTTTTTGCAGAGTGTTTTTTAATAGCTTTGTAGATCTCGCCACACATGCACATCCATACAGGTTCATGCGAGAGTCAGTATGGCTATGCTTAAGCTACGTATGTTATGTACTGAAGTTCCCACCTTGGGCCCGCAGGGAGATACTGTAGATAGTTATGCAAATAAGGGATTGAAAGTGACATTCAGTGATTGGATAGTTTTAGAAAATTGTTACAGTTACATTGTACTGGAGCTCTATATAAACAGGCTGACTGAACCCTTCAGTTCAGTTCTGTTCTGGCCTGTGAATAAACAAGAGCTGTTTGAAGAATCACTGTGTCGTCTGATATGTTCACCCACAACTTAACAAAGTATATGCAGCGGTACCTCGGGTTAAGTACTTAATTCGTTCCGGAGGTCTGTTCTTAACCTGAAACTGTTCTTAACCTGAAGCACCACTTTAGCTAGTGGGGCCTCCTGCTGCCGCCATGCCGCCGGAGCACGATTTCTGTTCTCATCCTGAAGCAAAGTTCTTATCCTGAGGCACTATTTCTGGGTTAGTGGAGTCTGTAACCTGAAGTGTATGCAACCTGAAGCGTATGTAACCTGAGGTACCACAGTAAAAGCAAGGACTGGAAGCCAAAATGGTGACAGCTGGGACAACAAGCAAGTTAACAAACCATGCAGGAATAAGCCAGAGTTTAGGAAGACCATGGGGCTCAAGCAAGGATCAGCTGGAACTCAAAGCCCTTTGTACTCCTGTCTGCCCCAAAGGTTCCAATAACCAGTCAGTTCATGCAGTTACTTCACTGAGAAAGCAACTGCCTGAACATTGGTGGTTCACCACATGGGGGAACAGAGCACATAGCTATAGTCCAAGACAGCACTTTGATATAGGAATGTCCTCCATGTTTGAAAATGTTACATACAGTGGTACCTTGGTTCTCAAACTTAATCCATTCCAGAAGTCCGTTCCAAAACCAAAGCGTTCTAGAACCAAGGCGCGCTTTCCCATAGAAAGTAATGCAAAATGGATTAATCCGTTCCAGATTTTTAAAAACAACCCCTAAAACGGCACTTTAATGTGGATTTTACTATCTAACAAGACCATTGATCCATAAAATGAAAGCGATAAACAATGTACTGCAGTCACACAATCAATCAATCAGCAGCTGAACTGGGTTCAACACAGTCGCAAAAACAAAACAAAAAGAGCCGCAAAAACAAAAACGCAAAATAAATAGCAAAAACAGACAGACCTCAGCGTAGTACTCAAAACGGAAGCGTAACACTCAAAACGGAGCACGTTTGGCTTCCAAAAAAGTTCACAACCGGAACACTTACTTCTGGGTTTGCAGTGTTTGGGTTCCAAGTTGTTTGAGTACCAAGGCATTTGAGAACCAAGGTAGTTATCTCAGAGCTGACCACAGAACTGCAGGGCTTTCTATTCTTATTACAAAAAGGAACCTGTGTTTAGATGCTTGCCTCCACACCTGCGTGCCCCCAAATGTAATTTTTTAACACCCTGGTAGGTAGGGGTGGTTGTGGTTGTTCTTTTAGTGTTTCTTTTTCAGGAATATAGCGAGGTATTTTGAGCGGCAGTCGCCTAGCATTTTGCAGCTGTGGCCCTCCTCACAGTTAAAGGTAAAGGGACCCGTGACCATTAGGTCCAGTCGTGACCGACTCTGGGGTTGCAGCGCTCATCTCGCTTTACTGGCCGAGGGAGCCGGCATACAGCTTCCGGGTCATGTGGCCAGCATGACTAAGCCACTTCTGGCGAACCAGAGCAGCGCACAGAAACACTGTTTACCTTCCCGCCAGAGAGGTACCTATTTATCTACTTGCACTTTGACATGCTTTGGAACTGCTAGGTTGGCAGGAGCAGGGACCGAGCAATGGGAGCTCACTCCATTGCGGGGATTCGAACCGCCGACCTTCTGATCGGCAAGTCCTAGGCTCTGTAGTTTAACCCACAGTGCAACCCGCGTCCCTCACAGTTACCAGCTGCCAAATCTCACTGGGGCAAATAGATTTACTTGGAAGCAAGCTTTGAGCTGAGTTCTACCTTAATAAGTAAGATAACCGCCAGCAATTATCCCTTACTACTTTTCTGTGAGCATAAAGTTGGACCACCAACTCCCCCTTGTCCCTTTCCTCACAGGCCTGTTTGCAGGGTGTGCAAGAGAAACAGACAATATTTTCAACGTTTTTTGTTTTTTTAAGAGATGTGCTGAGCTCTGGTAGAGCATTCTCACGCCGCTCCCATTACTGAACAGGCTCTGTGGTCACATTTGCATCGCACAGTAATTTGCTTCCATTATTCTCCTATTTGAGCTCCCGAGAGTTTAATTGACTCAAGTGAGCTGTGTCTTACTTGACAGCGCGAGCCCCGGGGTGTCATCAGGGATAATTGGGGGGTGTAAGTTCCGGGGTACTTACTTGTGCACATGATAAAGTGTTCCACTCACGGCGGCAGCGACCAAATGATTACCGTGGAGCTGCCATTAAATGCTTCAATTACTAGCTAACATTTGCACCTAGGTTTAATTAACTGCACTGGCGAATAAGCTTGACTCGGCTTCCTGAATTAGGTTACAACCACCAATGCTCGCTGCAGCCCAAGTACTGTAACAATATAGAGTGCTTCTGAATGGGTGCGGGGTTTTGGTTTTTTTATGGCATCAGTCCTCAGCATACATGCAAAGCTTTTTGCACTACCCACGCAACCTCATCGTTGGCATCAAAATGCTAGCTCATTCCACACAAACACCCTTTAATCCAGATTTTCCTTCTCTGGCGAATTTTTTTTAAAAAACCAACCTATTGCCAGAAACCTTTTGACAGCATTATTCTCTCCCCCAAAAGCACCTCAACTCTATCACCATTGGCCCCTACTGTCATTTACATGTGATAAGGAGGGCCTGGGGCGGGAGAGGGGAAGGCAGTTGCGTGGCGAGTTTCTCCCCCCCCCCCCGTGGAAATAATGGCACATGACACAATTATTACGGTTAATGGACTAAAAAAGGCCACGACTTTATTGGTTACAGGTGATGAGTGGTATTGGCTTAGGCATTGGTCCTAAACGACTATATCCGACTTCAGCCCGTCCGCTTGAAGTCCGGGAAGGGTTAACCACCAGTAGGGGAAGTCCTGCTGATGCACATCAACTAGGAACTCCCCCGGGGTCACCGCTCGGGGGCGTGCCTTAGGCCCTCACCTCCCCAGGCTTTGGACAGGGCCACACCCCCCGGAATCCATTAACAGACTACCCTTCAATATGTGGGGCAGGTGATGACGCTACCTCCCCTCTTCCATCTACAGAACAATACCAATGCCTAACCGCCATTACCAAGAAAGTTGTGACGATTTGCTACAAGGTAGGTGTAGGTAGGGACCATTTGCTACGAGGTAGGGACGCAGGTGGCACTGTGGGTTAAACCACAGAGCCTAGGACTTGCCGATCAGAAGGTCAGCAGTTTGAATCCCCGCAACGGGGTGAGCTCCCGTTGCTCGGTCCCTGCTCCTGCCAACCTAGCAGTTCGAAAGCACGTCAAAGTGCAAGTAGATAAATAGGTACCACTCTGGTGGGAAGGTAAATGGCATTTCCGTGCGCTGCTCTGGTTTGCCAGAAGCAGCTTAGTCATGCTGGCCACATGACCCGGAAGCTGTACGCCAGCTCCCTCGGCCAATAAAGCGAGATGAGCGCCGCAACCCCAGAGTCGGCCACGACTGGACCTAATGGTCAGGGGTCCCATTACCTTTAAGTAGTAAGTGCAATCAGGTGTTGCTCATAGATACTCTAGCTTTTTTTTTTTTTTTAATATAATATTTATTGGTTTTACAAAAATTCCAAAAGATACAAAAATACAAAAATTCCACAGACAAAAAACAACAATAACAGTGACAAAAAAAACAGAAATGACAATATCCATAACAAAGAAAGAAAAAGAGAAAAGAAAAGAAACAGAAAAGTTTAAAAATTTATACTTTCATTTAACCTTCTTATCTTTCCCTAGTTCTTTGACTTCCCCGCATCTCCCCGCTTGTATTTCCATTTAAAAACTCCTTTCAGCAAATCCTTACCCTCCTTCCTTTATCTTAACTCAAGAAACTTAATCTATTTATATATAGATATTTTTACAACCTTATCAATCAAATATTCCATGCTCTTAAACGCAAGGCTTTTGCCAATACCAGTTATTTTCAATCAGACCTCAATTTAACATTCATTAATTTTATAGTATTTCTGTAGATAGTCTTTAAATTTCTTCCAATCTTCTTCCACCGTAGATACTCTAGCTTTTTAATCCTGGCTAATCAATCCATTTTAGCATGGGAAGACTAGGAAGAATTTTGTCAGCTGTGCAGAGTAGAATAACAATACAAGTTTGGGGTTTGCTTTGTTGTCTTGTTCAAAGCTGGCTCAACATTTTGCACAGGGAGGCAATGATCTCTCTGGCAGGAGATGCTGGGGAGCAGAAGTGGCAGCTCCCCCCCCCCCCATTTTTCCCAAGTACCCCAACCATTCCCCTCTGTCGGAGATCAGAGCTATGAGTGCATAGGCCATTTACCCCCTAAACTAGCCTGCTCTCGGGGGCACAGGAAGAAGCCATCCTATTGCCAGTGTTGAGTAAGATTTGACCCCCCTCCCTCAATTGTCCAGAACCCCTGGCTTACCTGGCAGCAAAGTAGTGTGCCAAGTTCAAAATCCAAGGGTCGATCCACACAAGCAAAGTCCAAAGGTCAGGAAACGAGGTTCAGGGTCAATCCAAGTAGCCAAGTCTGCAGTCAGGATACAGTCCAGAGTCAACCCCAAAGCACAGTCCCGTGAAGGTCAAGGAGCATCCAAGACAAGGTCCATCAACATGGGCAGTCGAGCAGACGTACTGAGCATGCTCATTGCAGCATCTGGGCTTGATGAGGCAGGTGACCCTCACCTGTTCTAAGCCTACTCCAGCTGAGGAATCACACGCCTCCTCCCAGAACTAGTGAGCCTCACCTGGCCAGCTTTGTCTCCAGCAATACAATGTCTTCAACCAGCCCTGGCCTTGCTATGCTTACTTCCCAAAGTATATTGAGGCAGCAGGGGTTGGGGGGAATGCGGAGATAATGTGACCATCAGCCCTCAGAACACAAATCTTTCCTGTCAGGAATTTGCTGGAGCTGTTTTCCACTGTGAATGCAGATGGATATTTCCAAACATATGCCGAGCTGCCATGCTTCTAAGATTAAGGGAGGATATTAAAGGTAAAGGTAAAGGAACCCCTGACCATTAGGTCCAGTCGTGACCGACTCTGGGGTTGCGGTGCTCATCTTGCTTTATTGGCCGAGGGAGCTGGCATACAGCTTCCGGGTCATGTGGCCAGCATGACTAAGCCGCTTCTGGCGAACCAGAGCAGCACACAGAAATGCCATTTACCTTCCCGCCGGAGTGGTACCTATTTATCTACTTGCACTTTGACGTGCTTTCGAACTGCTAGGTTGGCAGGAGCAGGGACCGAGCAACGGGAGCTCACCCCATCATGGGGATTCAAACTGCCGACCTTCTGATCAGCAAGTCCTAGGCTCTGTGGTTTAACCCACGGCCCCACTGCATCCCTAAGGGAGGATATTAGGCCAGTCTTTATTATTCTTATTATTTATTTTGACATCTTCAATGAAAGTTCAAAAAATACATAATTATATGTGCACTAAGCATGGTGAGGCATCAAAAAAAGAGAGAAAAGGAGGGGGGAGAAACAGTCCCCATGTATAAGGGAAAACAAAAGGGGGATGGACGGACCCAAAACTGTATACTTTGCAAAGTTGTTCTTGTACTTCACCAGATCTTAACCAACTACAGTATTTGTAAGAATTACAGTACAGTGGTACCTTGAGATGTGAACGGGATCCGTTCCGGAGCCCCGTTCACATCTAGAAGCAAACATAACCTGTGTCCGCGCATCTGCGCGTGCACGGGTCACATTTCAGCACTTCTGCACATGCACATGACGTCATTTTGAGCGTCTGTGCATGCGCAAGCGGCAAAACCCGGAAGTAACACGCTCCGTTACTTCCGGGTTGCCGCAGAGCGCAACTCGAACACGCTCATCTCGAAGCACATTCAACCTAAGGTATGACTGTATTACAGTATTAGTAAAAATGGATTCCAAATATCATTGAATTTGTCCATGGCAAGTCTGCATTTATATGCAAGTTGCTCATACGTTGCAAGTTTGTATAAATCTTCTATCCAATCATAGAAGGGAGCCGCATTTTTGTTTTTCCAATTCATCAGTTATCAGTCTTTTTGCTATGGTAAGGGTGTGGAGAGTCCATTCATATTGTCCTTTTGTAAAGTTCCATGTGCTGGATATATAATTCAAGAGTTTTGAGCTTGACATTAAGCACTATACTGTACGTCAAATGAAGCACTATATATTTATACCAGGGAAGAGCAGAAGTTAAGTTCTGTATGCAGATGGTAACAGAAGTGTGTCTTCTTTGCAGGTGGCACAGCAGGTCGGGATAAGGTGCCCATCCACCATGAAGCCTTCTTGTTCATGGCTAGCTCCCAGAATGATATGGAAGACTGGGTGAAAGCTATACGGCGGGTAATATGGACACCATTCACTGGAGGTATGAGTCACAGCTCTTATTCACATAACCTAAATCCCTTTCTCTCAAGGTAATGTAGCAAATTGGTCATAATGTGCCATTATGATAGCCATGTTCAAATATATAAAAGGATGTCACATAGAGGAGGGAGAAAGGTTGTTTTCTGCTGCTCCAGAGAAGCGGACACGGAGCAGTGGATCCAAACTACAAGAAAGAAGATTCCACCTAAACATTAGGAAGAACTTCCTGACAGTAAGAGCTGTTCGGCAGTGGAATTTGCTGCCAAGGAGTGTGGTGGAGTCTCCTTCTTTGGAGGTCTTTAAGCAGAGGCTTGACAACCATATGTCAGGAGTGCTCTGATGGTGTTTCTGTTACCATAAAGCACCAATGCTGCAGCAAGCAAAGGCTCTAGCAGCTCAGCCAGCTGCTTGTGGCTGGAAAGCCAGACAGGATGTTTGTGACTGTTGCCATGGGAACAAAGGGGCAGTCCATTCTGTACTGAGCACCGGATGTTAGCTCAGTGTGTGTGTGTCATATGACCCGTACTGGATGTACTTGGGAGGAGTTTCGTCTTGCTGTTGTTGAGTGCAGACATGATTCTCTGTACTGATGTAAGAGGCAGAAATAAATGATGTAAATAGTTTTCTGTCTGCTTCTTTCCCTCCCTGGGGACACCAAAGGGGAGAGAGGAAGAACGGTGTGTTCCTCTCATACATCTGAGAAGAATCGCTGGACCTCGCCTGCTTATCAGCAGAGTGGAGACGCAGCGAGGTCGACAGGAATATCTGCCGGTGCCTACGCTGTGGCACATTCCTCTGACCCAGGCAGAATTCCAACAGTGGTAGCAGAGGATGGTTGCGATTCATCGGACATCTGCATGAGAGGCTGGTGGATTGTCCTCCTCTGCTCCAAGGAGGAAGAGAAGCGTCTGAAAGAAGCCAGAGGCTCCACAGACAGCTGATGGAAAGAAGAGGTGTTTTCCAGAGCAACAAAGTTCAAGGTATGCTGCATTTCGGGCTAAAAGTGTGAACGCAGGAAGATTAATTCCTGGTTCACGGAGCTGCGTTTCAAAGAAAACAAAAGCTCCGGGAGGAAGAGGCCTGCAGCTTGAAGGCTGAAGCCTGCATTCCACAAATTTTTGTGGTAGATAAGATGTCTTATTGAAATGCATTGTTGCTAGGTAACGGTCCTGGAAAGTTACTGGCAAAGGGGCTGGACTCTGAGTGTGAGCCTGGGAAAGCGAAACAAAATCAGAGAATGTTTTGGCTACAAGTTTATGAGCTCTTGGAAGGGACTTTTCAATAGCAGCCTGAGTTTAGCTGCCAGGTGCAAAGAGCGTAAACAATTTGCAGTTTGCTGCGTGAGAAAGGAAAAAAACAACTGTTGGATTTTACAGTTTGTTTGACATTGTGAGCTGGAGGCTTGGCTTCAAGATGGATGCCAAGAAAGGTTTGCCTTGCCCTCCTTCCTTAACCAGTGACAATTATTCATCTTGGTCTGTAAAGATGAAGGCCCTGCTGCAGAATCAGAGGCTTTTTGATGTAATTGAAAACCCCATCCCTGCAGCACCAACCAGAGGTTGGGAGTCACAGAATGTAAGGGCCAGGACTGCTATAATTCTGTGTGTCTCAGATGATCAGTTGGTGCATGTTCAGCATTTAGAAAATGCGAAAGAGGTATGGGACACGCTGCGTACAACGCATCAGAGAGATGCTGGTTCTTCAGCGTTGCTGTATTTTGAGAAATTGACCAATCTGAGACTTGCGCCTGATGGAGATGTTCAAGCGCACCTGACAGAAATGAAGTTTCTGCGTCAACAGATGGTGGAACGCAATTTTCGTCTTCAGGAGGAAGTGTTTTGCTTCATGATGATAAACAGCCTTAGCCGCACCTACAAGGTTGTTGCCAGTCAGCTTGGTTCCCTACCGGCCGCGCAGCTGACCGCGGAGAGAGTTTGTGCTGTGGTCCTGAATGAACACGACAGACTTGCTGCACTGGAAGAAAAAGACAGGGGAGGGAAGAACAGAGTTCTAATTCCCCACTGCTGATGCTACTGGAGAGCATGGTGTAGCATTGAGTGCTGTCCGATGCTACAATTGTGGACAGACTGGGCATCTACAGCGAAACTGTAAGAAGCCGCGCCAGTCAAGAGGAGCAAAGAGCAGCTCTACGAAGCCTCAGGCGTCAGGCAAAAGCCGTACCAAGTGCCAGGTGAAACCTGCAAAGGCTATGATGGCGAAAGGAACCACGCCAGATGTTGGGAACTCGTTCATAATTGACACGGGCGCAACGGTTCACATGTGCCCGCACAGAGGACTATTTTCGACGTTGAAGAAGCAAAGCTTCACTGTGAAACAGGCCAACGGTCAGGAGTTGGAAGCAACTGGAATTGGGACTGTGTATCTTGAAAGTCTGAACTTGACTATAAGTGATGTTTACCTGGTTCCAGAACTGAGATTTAATCTGCTGAGCGTGTCGCAGATTGCAAAGAAAGGACTGAAACTGTCCTATGATGCTAAAAGCTGCAAGATCTACAAAGATGGAGAACTGTTTCTTACTGCCAAAGAGAAAGATGGACTGTATTTGTTGACTTTTGATCAAAGTGATTACATGAAATGTAATTCTTCTGTTTCTAACGAAATCTCTCTTGCAGGGGCGACCATGACCAGTGTGAGCACCAGGAAGGTGACTAAGACCAAGAAGGTCGACAGAGCATTTCAGCGGGTGTATGCTGATGTGATTGGTCCTCTAGAACCATCTAGAGGCGGTGCACGATTTTACCTTTTGTGTGTGGATTGTTTCACTAATTATTCTTGGGTTTATATGATGGAGAAACCGCAAGAAACTTTAGAAAAGTTTCAGGAGTTTTGTGACAAGGTTAAAAGTATGCATGATGCTAACATTGATTGTCTTTTCACAGATGAGAAGCAAATTTTTCTGTTGCAGAAGTTTCAGAAGTTCCTGGATGGAAAAGGGATAGACCACAAAGTTGCAGTCTCGCAAGAAGCGTGGAACAGGGGGGGTCTGTGTGAGGGTGAACAAAGAATTGCAAAAGGGGATGAATGCGCAATTGCTGAGTTCACATTTGCCACATGAATATTGGGCCGAATCGCTAGCGTCCTATCTTCATGTGTGGTTGAGAAAAGTCTCAACAGAGTTGGGATGTTCTCCTTTTGAGAAGCTGTTCAATAGAAAACCTTCTGTTGCCTATTTTAAGGTTTTCGGGTCTCATGTGAGAACAGAAGCTCCAGGTGGTGTAAAGAATGCCAGAGGCATTTTTGTGGGTTATGAAAAAGGTCTCTACAGAGTAATTTTGTCTGAATCTGGTCAGGTGATTCTCACAAAGTTCCTAGAGAGTGCTCCAAAGCAAGAGCGGATAGTACAGACATTTCCCACAGGAAACGATTCTGATGATGATGATGATGATGAGTTTGATCTTATTGAGTTCAGTAGTACTGATGATGACAGCGATAGCTCAGACAGCTCAGTTGTCACAGTCATTGAGAGGAAATCTCACACAATGGATAGACCTTCACAGGTGAAGGAAGAACCACTGATTGCTACTGGTTCTCAACAGAGTCCAAAGGTTGAACCAGTGAGCACAGAAGATCAGAACCTCATACGCAGGTCTGAGAGAGTTACAAAGGGTGTACCACCAAAGAGGTACTCAAAAGAGTTTGCTAACTTAGCTGTTGCATGTGTTGCTATTGTTAACAACTCAAAGCAGGTTGAAGCAGTGTCTACGTCAGAGACAAAGACACAACAGAGGGTAGCTAGCCAAGGTAATGCAGAAGCACTCATTCCTTGGAAGCCAGACAACCAGAGAGGTACATTGGTTAAACCAGTGGCGGGTAGTTCCAAGGGTGGAACTGACACAACAGGGGAATGTTATAAATATAACAACTGTTTGTTTTCTTCTCTGGATGACGCTTTGCTCGCGGCACACATTGATACTGTAGGGGAGTATGTTACCATAAAGCACCAATGCTGCAGCAAGCAAAGGCTCTAGCAGCTCAGCCAGCTGCTTGTGGCTGGAAAGCCAGACAGGATGTTTGTGACTGTTGCCATGGGAACAAAGGGGCAGTCCATTCTGTACTGAGCACCGGATGTTAGCTCAGTGTGTGTGTGTCATATGACCCGTACTGGATGTACTTGGGAGGAGTTTCGTCTTGCTGTTGTTGAGTGCAGACATGATTCTCTGTACTGATGTAAGAGGCAGAAATAAATGATGTAAATAGTTTTCTGTCTGCTTCTTTCCCCTCCCTGGGGACACCAAAGGGGAGAGAGGAAGAACGGTGTGTTCCTCTCATACATCTGAGAAGAATCGCCGGACCTCGCCTGCTTATCAGCAGAGTGGAGACGCAGGGAGGTCGACAGGAATATCTGCCGGTGCCTACGCTGTGGCACATTCCTCTGACCCAGGCAGAATTCCAACAGTTTCCTGCTTGGCAGGGGGTTGGACTCGATGGCCCTTGTGGTCTCTTCCAACTCTATGATTCTATGATTCTATGATTCTATGAAACTTGCCTTTTCAATCCAGTGGAGTTCTACCCGGTCAAACCTTTGATACTTTCAGCAACCAGGTGATTGTGCCTACTTCTGCTCGGTATTTCTGAGCCTCTGAGGCCATGAAGAAACTTTGTGCTTCTCTTCATGCCCAAAAAGCACCCTTTGTTGACGGAAGGCATTAAGCTGATGGCTGGCAGGCAGCAGTGCTCAGGCAGCCCAGGAATGTTTCACTGAATGGGACAGACAGCATGGCATGATGCTGACTGCACGCTTCTGGAAGTCATCAAGAAGATCTCTGATAAGACCCTGAATTTCATACTCAGCCCACGGGGGAGACATTTGTTAAAACCTGTGACCCAGACTGAGTTGCTGTTTACCTTGGCTGCAACTGGGAGGAGTGCGGAGAGTGGGCAAGACCCTACCTGCCTTGCCTCCCTTGCCGCTACATTGGAAGCTAGCGAGCTCCCCGTTTTCATTGGATATTTCAAATGCTTTAGCAACAAGTCATAATTAATGCCGAGCGAGTCGTGGCGCTGAGGCCAGATGTGCTGCCGCGATTTAATCCTCTGCAGCCGGAGGGGGGCTGTGAGGCTGCTCTCCGTGTTGCAGCCGAGGCCTTGTGGGCAACAGGGGCTGCAGGGGGACTCAGAATGTGTCTAATGCCTGGAGTCAAGACCTTCCTCCTCTGCCGCTCCTGCGCCATCACATTGCCAGACTTCTGCTGGATGTTGGGAAGCTGCCATGCGCCCAAGTGCTGCGCCACAACCAGAGGTAAGGTGCAGGGGGAAAGCCGCAGTCGTTTCTCAGATGGCAAAGCTTGCAAGGTCAGGCGGGGGCTTCAGCTGAAGGCTTGCCTTCGCTTGTCGGACTGAAAGTTCCCTTCAATGGAGAATTGAGGGCCAGCATTTTGTATGTGCGGCTCGAACTCATGAGTGAAAGATGGCTGCAGGGCAACAGCGATGTAGGAATCTCCAGCTCTGCAATGGTCTTGGCCATGGAACCTGGATGAATTCCATGGGTCTTTCTGGGCCTTATTTATCAAACTCTATTTACTCCTGCGGATGCGGGTGGCACTGTGGGTTAAACCACAGAGCCTAGGACTTGCTGATCAGAAGGTCGGCGGTTTGAATCCCTGTGACGGGGTGAGCTCCCGTTGCTCGGTCCCTGTTCCTGCCAACCTAGCAGTTCGAAAGCACATCAAAGTGCAAGTAGATAAATAGGTACCGCTCCGGCGGGAAGGTAAACGACGTTTCCGTGCACTGCTCTGGTTCGCCAGAAGCAGCTTAGTCATGCTGGCCACATGACCCGGAAGTTGTATGCCGGCTCCCTTGGCCAGTAAAGCGAGATGAGCGCCACAACCCCAGAGTCGGTCACAACTGGACCTAATGGTCAGGGGTCCCTTTACCTTTACTATTTACTCCTGCACTGCAAGGAGGTTGGACTAGATGACCCTAAGGGTCCCTTCCAACTCCACAATTTTATTATTTTAAGCCACTGATCATCAGGCCACCAATATAGGGTTGTTGTGTTTTTTCCCATCGGACTGTAAGGTTTGGACGAAAGTGCTGGTTCTGCCTGTATGCACATGTTGTGCTGGCTGGTTTTGCTATCAGGATGCCGATACGATTGTGTGTACATGTGACCTGTATTCAGCAGCACAGCTGAGCCTTAAAGCTGCCCATTCATCCTGCCACACAAACACAGGGAAGTGTCCCAGTGTAAGCAACACACACAAAGAAATATGGAAAGCGAAGAAGTGAGAGCTTGCTGAAATGAGCATAAATACACAAATGGTCCATTTGATAAGATATCGAGCAGCTTTACACACGCACACAAGCCAACACAGGAAAATTTGCCTAGATTAACTATTTACATTTGTATCAGTTGAAAGTGTGCCTTCATGAAAGTGCAAATGTGTTACTTTCTGCTCTTTTGAGGGCTTGCCGATGTGCGACTGGCAAACCAGAAAGTGCACGATGACTTTGTCTCCCTGAACATGTGTGAACCAGAAGCTCTCGTAAGGAATGCAATCCTACCATCTGGGCAGATGGATGAAACCAACCAACGAATGTATTTTACGTTTTCAGAATTTCGACTCTTGTCTTTGAAGCTGGTGTTGAATTAGGGATTTGTGACGCACTCCAAATATTTTTCCCCCCGTCCTCAACATGTTCAGACTTTGTTCTGCTAAGCATTTATTGAGTAACTTATCCCAGCTGGAGAGAGAACCTTTCTCCCCCTCCTACAGTTACAGAATAATTTCAAAGTTATGTCTGCAAGGGCTGTTTAAGAAACAGGCAGCTTGTCTATAGGCATATCTTCTTCCTGCATCAGGTGTGCTGACTTGAGAGCCTGCTTGTCTGTTGGACCTTAGAAGATAGCGATGGAAACCTAGCAAGCCATTTTTATTGCTCTTAAACCTAGCCAAACACCTGGCTTCGTAAGGAGGGAAGAAGCTCCAGAAAATAAGTTAACTGTTTAGTTCCCATCATCAGCATTGCCTTTTCTATGATTGACAAGCAAACTCTTGGATGTATGGTACACATTAAGCTGCCGGATAATGCCCAGAACTGGACACAAGAATTCTAGATCAGATGGACCAATGGGCTGGCCTGTTCAAGGCAGCATTTTCCATCTTTGAACACTGTTTGTGGCCTTCTATTTTCCAACTGTTTTAGATGTGGCAGCTATTCTGCACTACGCGAAGCTCCCAACGGGTGCCCATTTGTGACTGGCATCCGCCACCCCAGAAGTTTGGTGACGCAGGTGGCGCTGTGCGTTAAACCACAGAGCCTAGGACTTGCCGATCAGAAGGTCGGCGGTTCGAATCCCCGCAACGGGGTGAGCTCCCGTTGCTTGGTCCCTGCTCCTGCCAACCCAGCAGTTCGAAAGCACGTCAAAGTGCAATTAGATAAATAGGTACCACTCCGGCGAGTGCGTTTCCGTGCACTGCTCTGGTTCGCCAGGAGTGGCTTAATCATGCTGGCCACATGACCCGGAAGCTGTACACCGGCTCCCTCGGCCAATAAAGCGAGATGAGCGCCGCAACCCCAGAGTCGGTCACGACTGGACCTAATGGTCAGGGGTCCCTTTACATTTACCTTTTAGGCTACTCTATCAATTCTTTGCCAGCTAGTTCCCTGTTCAGAATCCTCTCCACACAACTTTTCTCCCATGGGGTGTTAAATGCATTCTGCATTTAAGTCCCCATAAGAGGAAATTGCCATGGAGAGGAAGATTTGGCGCGCAGAAACAGTGGGTGAAGCAAATTTCCCTTTCTCTTCCTGCTTCTCCAATCCCAATGGCTTTCCCAGTTCCAGGTGTGGTGTTGAGAAGCTTAGACACACCTCTGTAAATAGGACACTTCGTTTAGCCTTACATTTAGTGCTGCGCCTGCATTAGCTGATTATCGGAGAGGAACGTCGTGAGACCAGAAGAGACCATTTCAAGCAAGCTAGCTCAGTTGGTTAGAGCATGGTGCTGAAAACCCCAAGGTTGAAAGTTCAATCTCCTTATGGAACAGCTGCATATTCCTGCATTGCAGAGGGCTGGAGTAGATCAGGCTTCCTCAACCTCGGCCCTCTAGATGTTTTTGACCTACAACTCCCATGATCCCTAGCTAGCAGGACCGGCGGTCATGGATGATGGGAATTGTAGTCTCAAAGCATCTGGAGGGCTGAGGTTGATTAAGCCTGGACTAGATGATCCCTGTAGTTCCAAGACCATTGATCCATCTATCTTGATATCTTATCCACACTTACTGACAACAGCTCTACAGGTTTTGGACATCTCCAACCATACCAGGAGAGGCTTGGGATAGGACCTGTGGCTTTCCGCTAGCAGGAACAGTTCACTGAATCTGGCCCCAAGTCTCTGAGTGGTAGTTGAAGTCCTACTCAAAGTAGAACCTATTGAAATGAATGGGCCTCACTCAGTCATCATGTTCATTAATTTCAGTGGGTAAAACTTGGTCGAATGCCATCCTTTGCTATTATTTCAGCATAAGTACTGTACTTCCAGTTCCATTGCAGCTACTTCTCTTTGCAATGCTACAGTATGTGAGTCTGTGGAACGGGGCCAGAAGCCTCTCAATCAAATGCTTGAGGAACTCTGGCGTTTTGGTAGAATCATTTTGCTCTAGAGGGACAGATACTCTGAAATGAGAGTTAGATGTTCTAAAGTGCATCTGATTCTAGGGACGGAATTCAGTAGAGAGATCAGAGTATAAACACTTTTTCTACACTGTCCATGAAGGTGCATGGTGGTAGGAGAGGAACATTTGTTCAGAGTTTTTTCCACATTTTGTGTAATCCTAATCTGGCAAAAGGGACGCGGGTGGCACTGTGGGTTAAACCACAGAGCCTAGGACTTGCCGATCAGAAGGTCGGCAGTTCGAATCCCCGCGACAGGGTGAGCTCCCGTTGCTCGGTCCCTGCTCCTGCCAACCTAGCAGTTTGAAAGCACATCAAGTGCAAGTAGATAAATAGGTACGACTCTGGTGGGAAGGTAAATGGCGTTTCCGGGCGCTGCTCTGGTTCGCCAGAAGCGGCTTAGTCATGCTGGCCACATGACCCGGAAGCTGTACACTGGCTCCCTCAGCCAATAAAGCGAGATGAGCACCGCAACCCCAGAGTCAGCCACGACTGGACCTAATGGGGTCCTTTTACCTTTACCTTTAATCTGGCAAAATGCTCCATCAGGTAATGTGAAAGGGGGCAAGCTCGTAAATCATAACGGCATGGATTATAGCATTTACAGTGTTCACATGCATTATCTTAATGTAACCCTTACCACAACCTCCTAAAGTTAGGTCGCTATTAATATCTTCATGCTGTAAGGGGCTGTGGGTGGGGGGTTGGCTGAGATAGAATAGTTTGCCTGAGGCCACCAAGTGAGTTCAAAGCAGAGGCAACATTCCGTCAGGACTTCCTGGTTCGTAGTTAGCCTGTTATACCAGCTCTCTCTCATGCACTGAGGCTAGAGCGCCAAAGAATTTCCTTTCCTTGGTTAAGACCTGCTTGCCTCTGGTTCATCTGAAGACATATTCTAGTCTTTGGAGACTTTTGCCGACAAACACCTTAAGAGTTTGGAGACAAACACCTTAAGAGTTTGGATTTGATATCCTGCTTTATCACTACCCGAAGGAGTCTCAAAGCGGCTAACATTCTCCTTTCCCTTCCTCCCCCACAACAAACACTCTGTGAGGTGAGTGGGGCTGAGAGACTTCAGAGAAGTGTGACTGGCCCAAGGTCACCCAGCAGCTGCATGTGGAGGAGCGGGGACGCGAACCCGGTTCACCAGATTATGAGTCCACCGCTCTTAACCACTACACCACATTGGCTCTCCTTAGGTGTAATTGTTCCACAGAAGTAGCCAGTATGCTTCGTTACTTCAAAGTTATGGGAGGTGTTAGAGAAACAAGGCTTTGTCATTCTCTCTGATGTGTGTAAAGCATGGGTAGGCAAACTAAGGCCCAGGGGCTGGATCCGGCCCAATCGCCTTCTCAATCCGGCCCATGGACGGTCCAGGAATCAGCGTGTTTTCACATGAGTAGAATGTGTCCTTTTATTTAAAATACATCTCTGGGTTATTTGTGGGGCTTAGGAATTCATTCATATTTTTTTCCAAAATATAGTCCGGCCCCCCACAAGGTCTGAGGGACAGTGGACCCGGCCCCCTGCTGAAAAAAATTGCTGACCTCTGGTGTAAAGCTAGGATTCAGCTTTTGCACCAAACGAATTTCTCTTCCAGTAGCTGTATTTTATGGAATAGGTTTAAACATGCCACAAACAGCTGTTGTGGCATTTACAAGGTACATGGTCCTCAATTGAATAGGGCAAATTCGTAACCTCTCTCTAGGCTTAAGTATTCTTAGACAATATTTCTTAATAATATCGTTTATAGCAGTTGACACAAACAAGAAAACTGCTGTAACTGGTGAGGAATCACAGATATGAATGAACCTAATCCTTTCAGGACTTGTCAATTATCCACCTTTATTTAGAAAGTGATTGGTCTATTCTAGCAAGTTGTTTTTTTTGAATCCTTAGTTGGTCCCCTCGCCCTTTCCTGTCTTTCAGCTTTCTTCTCTCCTTTCAGTTCCTTCTCCCCATGACCGTTAGCCAGCTGACTTGGTCTCCATTTGTCCTTTCCCTCACATTTTATGTCCCTCATAAAACGCCCCCCCCCAACCACGCAGTAGCGTCACTCCCTGATTAGGGCTTCTCATTCCTCATTAAGGAGGAACTACAATTCTTGTAGGGACGCGGGTGGCGCTGTGGGTTAAACCACATAGCCTACGAGTTGCCGATCAGAAGGTCGGTGGTTCGAATCCCAGCAACGGGGTGAACGCCTGTTGCTCGGTCCCTGCTCCTGCCAACCTAGCAGTTTGAAAGCACATCAAAAGTGCAAGTAGATAAATAGGTACCGCTCCAGCGGGAAGGTAAACGGTATTTCCGTGCGCTGCTCTGGTTCGCCAGAAGCGGCTTAGTCATGCTGGCCACATGACCCGGAAGCTGTACGCCGGCTCCCTCGGCCAATAAAGCAAGATGAGCGCCGCAACCCCAGAGTCGGTCACGACTGGACCTAATGGTCAGGGGTCCCTTTACCTTTACACAATTCTTGCAGTGCCCCTTTGCAATGTTACATGTTCCAAGGCAGGGTGCTGCTGGTGGGGTGCACTTTGACATCACACCTGTGTGTAGACTGGATTTGTGGGGGACACTAACATCTGGGGAAAGGTTCATGCAACCTGCGACTTTGCAGCGATTCCTTTCAAGTCATAGGCACCCGGGCAAAGCAGTGCTGGTGCCTCAAACAGCATCTAAGAATGTTTCAGGTCCCAAATGGATTTGCCCATCAACTTCTCCCTTCACTTCATGTAACCTGGCGGACTCAGTCCACCTTGCTTGCCCTCACAACTCCTCCCACACCAAAATTGCATACACTCCAACATTTCTCCGGTGAAAACAGGAATGCCTTATGCCATTATTATTGTTGTTGTTGTTGTTTAGTCGTTTACTCATGTCCAACTCTTCGTGACACCATGGACCAGAGCATGCCAGGCACTCCTGTCTTCCACTGCCTCCCACAGTTTGGTCAGACTCATGTTTGTAGCTTCAAGAACACTGTCCAACCATCTCGTCCTCTGTCGTCCCCTTCTCCTTGTGCACTCCATCTTTCCCAACATCAGGGTTTTTTCCAGGGAGACTTCTCTTCTCATGAGGTGGCCAAAGTATTGGAGCCTCAGCTTCAGGATCTGTCCTTCCAGTGAGCACTCAGGGCTGATTTCCTTCAGAATGGATAGGTTTGATCTTCTTGCAGTCCATGGGACTCTCAAGAGTCTCCTCCAGCACCATAATTCAAAAGCATCAATTCTTCGGCGATCAGCCTTCTTTATGGTCCAGCTGTCACTTCCATACATCACTACTGGGAAAACCATAGCTTTAACTATACAGACCTTTGTCGGCAAGGTGATGTCTCTACTTTTTAAGATGCTGTCTAGTTTTGTCATTGCTTTATTATTATTATTATTATTATTATTATTATTATTATTACAGTGGTACCTTGGGTTACAGACACTTCAGGTTACAGACGCCGCTAACCCAGAAATAGTACCTCAGGTTAAGAATTTTGCTTCAGGATGAGAACAGAAATTGTGTGGCGGTGGCACGGCAGCAGTGGGAGGCCCCATTAGCTAAAGTGGTACCTCAGGTTAAGAACAGTTTCAGGTTAAGAATGGACCTCCAGAAAGAATTAAGTTCTTAACCCAAGGTACCACTGTAGTATTATCATTATTATTATTATTATTATTATTATTATTATTATTATTATTTTATTTTATACCCTGGGTTGCTCCAGCTATTCTGCGTGGCTTCCAACATAGAGAAAAACATAATGTAACATGAAACATTAAAAAACTTCCCTAGACAGGGCTGCCTTCAGATGTCTTCTAAAGGTTGTATAGTTACTTATGTCCTTGGCTCGGGGGTCTCATAACTCCATACCTTCCAACATTTCTCCAGTGAAAATAGGGACTTTCTACCATACCCTTCAACATTTCTCCAATAAAAATAGGGGGACGCCCTAAGGAAAAGCGAGACATTCCAGGATCAATTCAGAAACCAGGATGGCTTCTGTAAATCCGGGACTGTCCCTGGAAAATAGGTCTGAGATTGTGGACCACCAAAGATAATGCTTGGCTTCTCCCATTGGCAGGGATCTTTGGTCAACGCTTGGAAGACACAGTCCAATACGAAAGGAAGTACGGGAAGCACCTGGCTCCACTTCTGGTGGAGCAATGTGTGGATTTTATCCGGGAGCATGGGCTCGCTGAGGAAGGACTCTTCCGCATGCCTGGGCAAGCCAATTTGGTGAAAGAGCTGCACGACTCCTTTGACTGTGGGGAGAAGCCTCTGTTTGACAGGTGAACTGGCATTTTTTAAGGGAACACTAGGAGACCTGCAAGTCCCCCACGTGCCTGGATTGGGAGATTTCTTGCCATCACCGTCCCCTCCTCCTGAGGAAGGAGGATCGCCACCGTATTTAGTTTAGAAAATATCTGAGTTCAGCTGAACCTCCCAGGGCAGTTTACAGTGGTACCTCGGGTTACATACGCTTCAGGTTACAGACTCCGCTAACCCAGAAATATTACCTCAGGTTAAGAACTTTGCTTCAGGATGAGAACAGAAATTGTGCTTCGGCGGTGCAGCGGCAGCAGGAGGCCCCATTAGCTAAAGTGGCGCTTCAGGTTAAGAACAGTTTCACGTTAAGAACGGACCTCCGGAACGAATTAAGTACTTAACCCGGGGTACCACTGTACAATTACAAAAAACAAAAACAAAAAACACCATATTATAAACACTTAACGATTAACCAATACAGAAGTAGCCGTGTCTGTTTCTTATGCTAGATCACAGGTATGTATCACTGGTAACATAGACACCATCTCTGGGGGGCCCGAGGCACCCTCAAATTTCTTTACCGTGGGGGCCCAGCGAGCCAAACTAACATGTGGTGCTCTGCATTTGCCATTCAAATGGGGGGGGACATCTAGTGATTATGTGGGGTGGGGCTTACCTGGCCCCCATGGGCGTAGCCAGGATTTATGTCAGAAGGGCAGACTTTATGCTAGCGGGGGGCAAAACCTCAGTTATTTAACTATTTTTATTGCTCTACTTGATTTAGGGGGCAGTTGCCCCCTGCCCCCTCTTGGCTACACCCACGCTGCCCCTTAGAGTTTATTCAAGTTGGCACCCCTGCCCAGATCCCCTCAAATATTTTATGGGGGGCAAAAGGACCTTGACCCCTGTGAGTTGGCTCCTATGATAGGAGGGAAGAACAGTGGCTACTCTTCCTTCCGCGGTGGTTAGGAGGCTTAAACATTATCAGGTAAGTACAGTGGTACCTCAGGTTACATACACTTCAGGTTACAGACGCTTCAGGTTACAGACTCCGCTAACCAAGAAATAGTACCTCGGGTTAAGAACTTTGCTTCAGGATGAGAACAGAAATCGTGCTCCGGTGGCGCGGCGGCAGCAGGAGGCCCCATTAGCTAAAGTGGTGCTTCAGGTTAAGAACAGTTTCAGGTTAAGAACGGACCTCCGGAACAAATTAAGTACTTAACCTGAGGTACCACTGTAGTGGCGAGGCTGGTCCATGGCAGGTAGCCTGCACATCAGCAAGAATGGCGTAACTCACAAATCAACAGCAGCCACTCAAAAAGCTGTTGTGCAACATGTGGGAGGGAGCAGGGTCATGGTAGGACAAAAAGACAGACTGTCAGGATGCTGTCATCAGCTCCCGGTTGGTTGCCCAGGAAAGCAGAAAGACAATGGAAAGTATCTTACATTCCTTTTTTATTTCCAACGTTACAGAGAGGGGCTATAAAACCCAGCCTCTTGGATAATGCCGTTGTCCCAAGTGAATCTCCACTCCCACTGAGCCTCTTGGGCTTGCCGATTGGGAGGTCGGCGGTTCGAATCCCCACAACGGGGTGAGCTCCTGTTGCCCGGTCCCAGCTCCTGCCAACCTAGCAGTTCGAAAGCACACCAGTGCAAGTAGATAAATAGGTACCGCTGCGGCAGGAAGGTAAACGGTGTTTCTATGCGCTCTGGTTTCTGTCACGGTGTCCCGTTGCGCCAGAAGCAGTTTAGTCCTGCTGGCCACATGACCTGGAAAGCTGTCTGTGGACAAACGCCGGCTCCCTCGACCTGAAAGCGAGATGAGCGCCGCAACCCCATAGTCGCCTTTGACTGGACTTAACCATCCAGGGGTCCTTTACCTTTACCTATCTAGTAACCTCTAGGGTTCCCCCTGCCCCCAAATTATATTTTATGAAGTTTCAACATTTTTGACATACACAGTCCAATAAACATTTAATTTTTTCGCCTCTCTTGTTTTTGTCGACTTCCCACCCTGTTTCCCATGGATTGGTTGATTCTCTTCTTTTTCTGCACCCTACCTTCTCCCTGTTAAATCATAACCACAAGACTATAATCTGATTCCTTCTGTTGCTCACAGCTAAAATCCTGCTCACGAGTTCATCATATTATAATATTTCTTTAAATAGTCCAGAAAAAAAGGCATCCATTCTTCCATAAAACGCCCATCATTACATTCTCTTAAATCTTGCTGTTAATTTTTTGGGGGGTGGGAATTTCTTCTTCCTTCCATTTCTGCACATAAAGAATCCCAGCGGCTATTGTCACATACATAAACTACTTCATTTTTATTTTATTTTTTAAAGTAACCTCTAGGTTAGATTACTGCAACTCATGATGCATGGGGCTGTCTCTGAATACTGTGCAGAATTCAGTGGCCAGATTGCTCACCAGGGCAAGATGGTTTGAGCACATATTCCTAGCCCAACTGCACTGGCTGCTAATTAGTTTCTGGGTCCAGTTCAAAGTGCTGGTTTTGGCCTATAAAGCCTTAAATGCTTCAAGATATGAAGATATCTTGATATCTTCAAGATATGATACAGTAAGCCCCCAACTTATGCACATTTAACTTAAAATAAAAAAAGGTAAAAAGGGGGCAGGAAGTGCCCTCAGTGAAAAAAGATTTGGCAATCACACCTGCCATCGCGCCCGATGTGTTTTGACTATACATAATTTTGGCTTAGGTGCAATCCCTGGAACATACCCCCCACATAAGTTGAGGGTTTACTGTACCCTGCCCTGTGGAACACCCTCCCACCAGGTGTCAAGGAAATAACCTATCTGATTTTTAGAAGACATCTGAAGGCAGCCCTGTTTGGGGAAGTTTTTAATGTTTTTTCTTGTATTGTGTTTTTAATATCCTGTTGGAAACCACCCAGAGTAGCTGGGGAGGCCCGTCCATATGGGAAGGGTATAAGTAATAAATTATTATTATTATTATTATTATTATTATTATTATTATTATTATGCATCTGAAGTCCTCCTCCATGAGAGGTCAGGAGAGAGGCAACAGGAGAACGGGCCTTTTCTGTGGTGGCTCCGTTTGTGAAACACTCTCCTGTCACCTTCATTATACATATTTACTTCGGCTTTCAACTATCTGTGCCCTTTAGGAAGTGAGTGGAATGTTTTTTAATGGATTTCTCTTTCCTCTTTGCTTTCATGCACCTATATGGGGCTTACTGTCTGTTTGGTTAGAAGTCACTTTGCTCTGGACAAGAAAAAGGGCCTGACCACTTAGATAGATAAATAAACGTGTGTTTCAAGGTATCTTTTAGTTTTAGTTTTCTTTTAGGCAACTTCGGAAGCCTGCCCATCTTTGCCAAGGGCAACTGCAGAGTTTCTGACTCAGCTGCTTTGCATCTTGCTAAAACTTCCTTTTTTCCTTCCTTTGTTGCAGCAACACCGATGTCCACACAGTAGCCTCTCTCCTGAAACTTTACCTCAGAGAGCTTCCAGAGCCTGTCATTCCTTTTGCCAGATACGAAGACTTCCTCTCCTGTGGGCAACTGCTTTCCAAGGACAAAGGAGAGGTCGGTAAACACATCGCAAACTCACGAAGAAACCTTTGTGCAAAGATCAATCAAACTGGGCGTATTTTTAGGGGGTGATGAATTCTAAAACAATAATTTTATTATTATTAAACTTCTTTACCTGCTCTTCACCATGAGGTCCTGGACATGTGACAGCAATATTAAAACACAGTACAGTGGTACCTCGGGTTACATACGCTTCAGGTTACACACTCCGCTAACCCAGAAATAGTGCTTCAGGTTAAGAACTTTGCTTCAGGATGAGAAAAGAAATTGTGCGGCGGCGGCACAGCAGCAGCAGGAGGCCCCATTAGCTAAAGTGGTGCTTCAGGTTAAGAACAGTTTCAGGTTAAGTACGGACCTCCGGAACGAATTAAGTACTTAACCTGAGGTACCACTGTATTAAAATCAGTTAAAACGAATTGCCATCACAGGAATAGGTGCCGTAGGTGGGGAGGGAATGTGACAAGTTTAGGGACTGCCACAGAAAATGCCCCTCTTCCCACCCCCATAACTTCTGAGGTGGAACTATACAGAGGAGCCACTCTGCTGATATTCATTCCCAAGAGGGGGTGTAGGAAAGGAGGGGCTCTTTCAGATATGTAGGGTTTTTGAACCCTAATGTGAGCACCTCGAATTGGGCCCAGAAGTGAACTAACAGCAAGGTGCAGCTGTTTTAAAATGAGGGCGTTGCGAGATTGCCCCTGCTGGTAATCTGGCTGCTGAGTTTCTGAGTCGACCTCTTAGAGTCAACTTCAAGGGCTGCCCCACGTCAAGCGCATTGCAGTAATCCCGTTTGGAAGTTACGAGATCATGGAATGCATGATCATGGAATATCCAAATGGGGCCATAACTGGTGAACCAGTCTGTCAGGGAACTGCCATCGGAGCCAGGGGGAGAGGGAGGGCTCCAGAGGGATTCCCGAGAGCGTCCCGGGAGGGAGAGAAGCAGCACATCTTCTGGGGAAGGAAATCAGCGTAGCACCAGTGGAGAAGGGGGGCAGATGGGGGAATCGGCGAGGTGGCTCCATGACTCCTCGCCGGGGACCAGTGGGGAGAGCAGGGGTCCTCCGCTGCCCACACCCTCCCTGCGCTGAAGGCTTCCGTGCAGGGAGAGTAGGCGGAGACTAGGCGTCAAAGAGCTTCTTTGCTGGAAGAAGTTCAAGAAACGCCCACTGACGGATTCTGCCAGCGATTGAGACAGCCACGGGCGAGTGGCTGTCCGGACAGAAAGGGTTCACTCAGGCAACCCAGCCAGGTGTGGCACCGATTTACGCACGAGCAACCCCTTGAACCATTACACAGTCATATCTGGAAACGCACTCTCCTAGCCACTGGGGCCACGAGTCTTCAAGGCTGGATCCAGCAGTATCAGCAGGTTAGGAGCTGCCTTGTTCCAGTGGAGGACAACTCTGTCCAGAACTAAACTAATCGATCTCCCCAGATTGCCATTGAATATAGGGGCTGGTTGTGTGTTTGGCGCTAGTTATGGAGCTATTGAGCTTAGCGTTCATTCTGCTTTCGTCCCATCCCTCAGGGTACTCAGGAACTGGCAAGGCATGTGAGAAGCCTTCCGCAGGCCAACTACAATCTCCTCAAGTACATCTGCAAGTAAGTCATGTTTATGGGAGGAGGGTGGGAGTATTGGCCCAAGCAATCTTTCCTTTGGTTTTGACAACAAAGATCAGACACTGAAGCACTGGGAGCGCTATCACCAGAGGGGTTAAGAAAGTCACTGCTGCCCAACTAGTACTGGCATGGAACCTTCTTTTTCTGGAAGATGGAACTGATGGTCTAACAGAGAGATAATCACCAGCAAGGGCATAACTGCTTGAATGTCCTGTGCATGAGCTCTTTTGCACTCTTTCTGCTCCCCCAAATTATGGACAGGGCATGAAGGCTCGGGCCTACTCAGTTCCATAATTGCACTCTGCCTATGCAATCTTGACAATTGTTCGTGTATATATCTATTCAGGGGGACAAGCATGAAGGCATCCCAATTTCTACACATAATGGCTATGATGCCTAGAGATAATGACTTGCTAAAGCAACTCACTCTCCTCTGCTGGAGGTTGAGGACCACAGTGCAAGTGATAATGAACACCAGGGCCTCATCTAGGTCAGGATGAGTATCCAAGGAGAAGCAAATTTGGACTATGGGTGCAGCCCTCAGTGGGTCCAGCTTGCTGAGTTTGGGAAGATGATGTCTCAGCAAAGGCTCAGAGTCAACTGAAGCTTTGGAAAGGCCATCAGGGCTTGCCCTTCCAATGGCTCCACCCCACTGGAAGACCTGTTTGCAGTAATAAAAGGAGCTGTAGCCTATTGTGGCAGTCACATGCAACTGGGTGGTGGTAGAACAGAAGAAGCTGCAGGGGAATCATCCTCAGATTCTGGAGATGATGGAAAAGGCACATCCTCAAGCTGTAGCAATGTAGAAAGGAGAGACGAGCTAGAAAGAGTGTTGCTAACGCCTGTCTTGGGGTGACTTGCACTGTTCTCCTAAACGTTAATCAAAGCAGTGCCTTCATTCATTGGTTAACAGCACTGAAAGGTGGTAGTAACTAGTTTCTAAAAAACAGCAACAGTTGGTTAGAATAGCATCTGCACTTTTTGCCTCATATCTCTGGTTCTATATGGGCTAGAGCAGGCTTCCTTAACCTCGGCCCTCCAGATGTTTTTGGCCTATAACTCCCATGATCCCTAGCTAGCAGGACCAGTGGTCAGGGATGATGGGAACTGTAGTCTCAAAACATCTAGAGGGCTGATGTTGAGGAAGCCTGGGCTAGAGACTTGCTTTATAAAAATTAATACAAGGTGTGACCGGAAAGTTTGGTGAATGGTCACAGAAATCGGACTGTGAAAAATATTTGAACATACATACCATACGGACCTTCAAAGTAGGCCCCTCTGATAAAATGCACCATTGACAACATTCATAGAACTGTTGGGAACTTCTGGAGAAGTCCTCTTTTCATACTGCTTTCAGTTCCCTCATCATAGCAGCTTGGACGTGTGGAATGTTGGAAAATCTGTGCCCTTTCAGTGCAGATTTCAGTTTTGGAAAAAGAAAGAAATCCGGTGAGGCCAGATCGGGAGAATATGGAGGGTGGGATGACTCAGTAACCTCAGTAACAATTTCACGTGGAATATGCAATTCTTCCACCATCATTTGGACGGACAAACGCCGATCCTGCTTCAATAACTCACGAACTCTGTCGACATTTGCTGCCGTTCCGCTCGTTGGTCTGCCAGACCAAGGGTCATCTTTGATGGTTTGCCGCCCTTCACAGAAACGTTTAAACCACTCATACACTGTATTTTGAGCTACATGCCAATTGTATGTTTGAATATTTCTCGCTGTCTGATTTCTGTGACCGTTCACCGAACTTTCCAGTCACACCTTGTAGGTCAAAAGGGCACAAGTGCCATGGCTGGAATCTGCAGCTAGATGAGGAGGGGCAGTGCCACAACCTGGCCTCCTGGCAGCAGCACTGGTGCCACTTACTGGGAGGAGGAGAAGTGAGGTAGTGAGGGGTTGGGCACTGTGTGGATCCATCAGCAGGAGTGCCAGATTCATTCCGCCCGTGTGCCCTCCTTGTACCAGCCTCCCTGCTGCCTCTCCCTTCCTGGCAAGTGGCAGAAAGCTGCTGCCAAGGAAGTCAGGTGCACAGCACCGCCTCTCCTCAGTCCTCACCAATAGCTCCTGGCTAGAATCTGGGTCAAACCTGGCACCATGCCAACCTTGTGTTGTGAGAGACACATGGTACTCCTTCACAGGTGTGGTGGTAGTGGTGGTGGTTTCACTGGAAAGCAGCTGCAAGAGACTGGAAGCAGAGGAATGGCAGATGGAAGGGGGCTGCTTAAATTTTTCTCTTCCCACTATCAAATCACCTGAAATTTTGCCATTTGCAGGGCAAAGATCTCTTTCCCCTGATAGGTAGGAACAGGGTGTGTGGATTTTGAGTTAAAGGGGTAATCTCTTGGGCTTTTACTGCCTATCATTGCCTCTGGTGCCGCTTTTCTGCAAAGTAAAAGCATCAGGAGACTCATCTTGTATCTCCCACATATTCTAGCTTGACCCTTAGTAAAAAGAGCCATGGCAGCGATACAAGTGGTAACTCCTCGCTCTGGTCTTCTTCCTCCACTGAGAAGAGTTGGTGGTGAATGTAACTTTCACTTCTCTCTTGGGTGGGGTCTTTTCAAGATTTCTCGATGAAGTTCAGTCTCACTCGAGCCATAACAAGATGAGTGTCCAGAATCTTGCCACTGTATTTGGACCAAATATCCTTCGACCGCAAGTAGAAGATCCGTTAGCTATAATGGAAGGTAGGCACTTTATATTCCTAAGGTTCTGAAGCATATTTCAGGTGTGTGTGGACAATTTCAGCAGCTATAGAACCTGTGACTATTCAGTTGTTGAATGCAAAAGAATTCTAGACAAAATACCAAGTCAAAGCAGACCCACTGAACTCAGTGGTCCAAATGTATTGGTTTTCGTGAGTCTGCTCTGAGTATGGATATCATCACAAATGTTTGCAAAGCTGGCTGTCTCCACCTAACTCTCTTAACATCACCACACAGGTACTTCCCTGGTCCAGCACTTAATGACTGCTTTGATCAGCGAGCATGGTCAGCTCTTCGGTGCCTCTCTGATGGAGGGCCCCGGCCAGCACCCACATGGCACAATAGACCATCTATCCAAGGACAGCAGGGCGGACCGTGAGTTAGAAAGCCCCACAGTCAACCCTGTGAGCCAACTCTTCAAGGCAGCATCTTCTGCAGCTAAGGAGCAGAACAGCAAAGCAGACTGCAGCCTTCCTGCAACGAGCCCCAGCAAGAGAAGGCAAACATTGCCCGCCTGGAAATACTCCTTTCGGCAGCAGGGGTCCGGGTCGCTCAGTCACAAACTGGGAAGCTCTTTGCTGGATAGCCCCGGTTTCCCTTCCGGTGGGAACTGGCTCATGAATGGACTGTATTCCCTTCAAGGCCACTGCAGGCCGTCCTCAGGAGGGCGGGCCACAGGTTCGCCTCAGAGACTATCCACCTACGACAATGTCCCCACTTTCGGCCTCTCTGTCAGCACCCACAGCAGCAGCACCAGTGCCACTTGGTCGAGCTCATCCTGCGAACTCTCTCTCGCCGTGGACTCCGTCAGCAGCTGCCCTGCCTGTCGGGCCAGCGACTCCTCGGCCTTGAGCTCTCTTCAGGTGGAGTGGGCCACGGCTAGCTCCTTCCCGCAAAGCGAAGCCTGCTTGGATAACAGCGGGGAGAGGTCAGGGGCGTCTTGCAGCAGCGACAGTGATCCAAACAATGGGGCGTCTGCTTCCAAAGATTCCGCCCGCTGCTCTGGAGCCCTGCAGAGTCTTGTCGCCGAGCTGAAGGCAGAGCTGAGCAAACAAAGGATTGCATATGACTCCAGTATCAAAAGGTAAGCGTTCCAGAAGGCAGGCAAATAAATGCCTGAGAGTCGAGACAAGAGGCTCTGAATGGTTGTTGTTGTTTTCAGCTGGAACTCACCGGAACTAAGTTCCGGCACCTCTCAAGTGGGCGCCATTGCCATTATACAAGAACAAAGGTGGTGTTCATGGTGAGTTCCGGCACTTTTTTCCTAGAAAAACAGCACTTTCCTTCCCTTCCGTGTTGACTTCAGCTTACCCACTCAGTTATCTGAGAAATCAGAGGTTTACCAGGGCTTTTTTTTCAGCCAGAACTCACTGGAACGGAGTTCCAGCACCTCTCAAGTGAGCTCCGTTGCCATTGTAAGATAATAAGGGAGGTCATGGTGAGTTTCAGCACCTCTTTTTCTAGAAAAATAGCACTGGTTTGGGCCATTTAGAGATAGTGTTTTAGGAAGACTATTTAACAAGAAATACCATGCTCATGGGACGCGGGTGGTGCTGTGGGTTAAACCACAGAGCCTAGGACTTGCCGATCAGAAGGTCGGCAGTTTGAATCCCCGCGACGGGGTGAGCTCCCATTGCTTGGTCCCTGCTCCTGCCAACCTAGCAGTTCGAAAGCACGTCAAAGTGCAAGGAGATAAATAGGTACCGCTCCAGTGGGAAGGTAAATGGTGTTTCTGTGCTCCTCTGGTTCGCCAGAAGGGGCTTAGTCATGCTGGCCACATGACCCAGAAGCTGTACGCCGGCTCCCTCGGCCAATAAAGCGAGATGAGCGTCGCAACCCAGAGTCGGTCACGGCTGGACCTAATGGTCAGGGGTCCCTTTACCTACCATGCTCATGCCAGGGATAAAGACAAAGGACAAGAGGGCAGCTTCTGATTTTTGCCAAGATTTACTTGGATCTGGGGTTTCCCCTCCTGCCTTGGAGATGTTGCCTTTTTGGAAGGCTCTGATGTGCTTACAATTGCACACATACCCCCCCCCCCAAAAAAAACCCATGGCTTCAGAGAGCTTAAGCTGCAATGTCCATGCTGATGTGGGAATATGTTTGACGTCAGCTTGCACTCAGGGTGCTTCATGATGAAGTAATTTCACTTCCTCTATATCTTGTAGTGCATGGTTGCACAAAGACAGATACAGAAAAAGTATTGGTGCCATGTAGATTTGATTTAGCATTTTGGAGATACATTTAATAAAAGGTTGAATGGTGTTTCTGCACAGGGATGGGTGTGGATACCCTGGGGGTCTTCCCAAAGGTATTTTGTTTTCCCACCACTTCAACAGGAAAATCCTACATTTTTAGAGTTACAAAATAGGTAAGGTGAGCAGTCTGCACCTATAGATTTATGTGCAACTGAAAAATTTGCATACACAAACTGAGGGCTGGGCCTCCTGTACATCAAGGGCTGAATCTAGAGTTATTTAAAAACGCTATAAAAAATACAGCTCCCAATGGAAATTTTCATTGACTTGGGATTGCTGCTCTACAGCACCATCTGGTGTCACATTTTTAAAATGTATTTATTGTTGTTGTTTAGTCTTTTAGTCGTGTCCGACTCTTTGTGACCCCCTGGACCAGAGCACACCAGGCCCTCCTGTCTTCCACTGCCTCCCGCAGTTTGGTCAGACTCATGCTGGTAGCTTCGAGAACACTGTCCAACCATCTCGTCCTCTGTCGTCCCCTTCTCCTTGTGCCCTCCATCTTTCCCAACATCAGGGTCTTTTCCAGGGAGTCTTCTCTTCTCATGAGGTGGCCAAAGTATTGGAGACTCAGCTTCAGGAGTTGTCCTTCCAGTGAGCACTCAGAGCTGATTTCCTTCAGAATGGATAGGTTTGATCTTCTTGCAGTCCATGGGACTCTCAAGAGTCTCCTCCAGCACCACCACATAAATTGAACTGTGTAGTTGAGTCCATAGTGATATGACATGCTTCCAATGGCACCATGTGAGGGAGATAGATGAAGGCAGGAATTGGTGTCTGAATGGTGCAGACTTTTAAAAACTGTTGTCCCTGTGTGCTGTATTTGGGCTCTACTTCGGGCAGAAAAATGTCCTGCACTAGTACAGTACAAAACAAAGTTGGCTGGCTTTGTCACTATGGGGACATGACTTTCCCAGGCTTTCTATGGCAGGTCGTCACATCACAGATAAACATGTGGCAGCATTTGCTGCAAGTTTAACTTGTTCGTGTTCTCTCCTGGCTTTAAGGATTGAAGAAGCAAACACGGAACTGAGGAAGAGGGTGGCAAGATTAGAAGACGAGCTCGATCAAGAAAAGAAGAAATACACAATGCTGGCGATCAAGTTGCGGAACTCTGAGAGGGCTCGGAATGATGCAGACAAGAGAAACCACCTCCTGCAAGAAGAGATGGAAGATTTCTTCAAAACTTTGGGGGATTTGACTGCAGAAAGCCAGATGGCCAGCACCCCAAAATAAAGAGAAGCCGCCAGCCAGATTCCTCCTGCCCTGCTCCCCACTTCAAAATGGCATGGATCCATTTTGCCCCTTTGCTTGCAGTGGTGCAGAAAACTTTTGCTAAATTACTGACTTACAAACATAGTATTGAACTGCCAGAGAAGTTGTTAACAGCTAAAGATAAATGATAGATTGGCGAGGAAGAAGTTGAACCTCTTATCTGGAAAGCAAGGGGGATTGTTATCATTTCTGGCAGTTTCTTTTTGATGGCCCAGGGCAAGTGTGATACTGTGCATGGTTGCAAAGTGCTTGAACTCTGCTGAAGCAATGCACTGCCTTCTCCTGCGCGGGAGCACAAAGTTCGGTTTGCAACATTTAACTGATCTGCTAAATTAAAACGAACCTGCATAGTCAACATTTCTATCCTATGCATAACTGCTTGCTTGCATAATCAATACTGCCAGCTTACGGTGTCAACAGCAACTGAATTAAGTTTGCATGCCGCCCTTCCTTTGAAGCTCTTGGGGCGGTTCACAGCATAAAAACACAAAATACCAACGCAAAATGCACAATAAAAGCAAGATCATATGCAAACCAAATCAATACCCCTCCCCCCCAAAAAAACCCCACATTTTAAAAGCCATAGAATGTTAAACCAGCTAATGGCCTGGTTGAAAAGGAACGTTTTTGCCTGGTACCTAAAGATGTACAATGAAGGCTCCATGTGAGTCTCCCCGAGAGCATTCCACAAGCAGGATGTGAGCAAGGAATCCCCCAGGACTCCAGCATCTCTCAGACTGCATTATTTTATGGAGCTCCATTCACCAGAAGGAACAACCCTGCTACTGGTTCACTTTCTTTCAATTCTCTTCAACTTCCAACAGAAGTCTAGGATGTGTTCTATGATGCCCCTTCCAAACAAGCTACGTTTTAGGAGAACCTGTTGAAAGGTGTTTTGGAGTTTGACCCACAATACCCAGCTGCCCAAAAGCCACACGAATCTCCTCCTCTGATGTGGTTTCGCACAACATGTGGCTTATTATAATTTTTATAAGTAGCCCTACTTTCTGCCTCTACTACTTCTGTTTGACATAGTGGGGAAGGGCTGTGGTTGTGTTCTCAGATGAGATAGGATAGGCAACAAGGAGAATGCTGGAGGCCCCGGAAAAATGTCAAGTGCCTTCAACGAAACAATGAAATTTGAGGGACCCAGTAGGCAAAACTGCATTTAAACAGTTCAGAAACGTTCACAGGTTTTGCAAAAATGGCATTAAGTTCATTTCAGGGAAACCAGGAAGGTGAGACGCTGGATAATATATATGCGCACAATAAATGCGTAAGAAGAAATTGCTTTTCTGGGATCGGGGGAAAGAAAGATAAGAGTTACTGTACTCCACTGCCCAATTTCCAGACGTGGTTAAGCCTCTTGAGAATCTCACAAGCAAGACAGAGCCCATGCACAGTGTTTAGCATCTGAGTGTAATCCTCAGTTAAGGTGTTGATTATTTTTTCCAGCTATAGAAAAAGGAAACATTCATTCAAGACACCAGTCTGTCCCTCGTTCTGTACTGTGGGCTTCAGGTTAAAAAACTGGCTTGGGAATTTTCAAGAGTTGTCAAACGGGCTCCCAAAAATTAACAAAGAGCACCATTTGCATCATTTTTCAGACCAGCTCTAAGAACTATAACCGAACTAGATATGATGGCTGCTGTAAACAGATTAGAATCTCTAATCTGGGCCCATAATGCCACCACTGGTTCCAACATCAAAGCTCACCCATTCCTCAAGGACCATAACAAGATGACACACTTTTACTCATTGCCAGGATGCCATGGTTCAAAATTAAAGTAAACAAACATAGTTAAGTAGGTAAAGGTAAAGGGACCCCTGACCATTAGGTCCAGTCGTGACCGACTCTGGGGTTGTGGCGCTCATCTAGCTTTATTGGCCGAGGGAGCCAGCATGCAGCTTCCGGGTCATGTGGCCAGCATGACTAAGCTGCTTCTGGCGAACCAGAGCAGCGCACGGAAACGCCGTTTACCTTCCCGCCGGAGCGGTACCTATTTATCTACTTGCACTTTGACGTGCTTTCGAACTGCTAGGTTGGCAGGAGCAGGGACCGAGCAACAGGAACTCACCCCGTCGCGGGGATTCGATCCTCCAACCTTCTGATCAGCAAGTTCTAGGCTCTGTGGTTTAACCCACAGAGCCACCCATGTCCCATTTAACTTAAGTAAGAGCCTTGTAAATCCCACTACAACTAGAGGGAGAGGGTGCCAGTTCTGACCACTTCCCCCCCCCAACCCTCTAAAGTGTGGTAACATTTCAGCTTGAGCTGGTAAAGCACCGCTATTGTTGCCTGTGGTTTATACATTTATTGCTTTTTCATGCTAGTCTCTCTAGCTTTGCAGCTTCTGACCCCAAGAAGTGGGGAAGATAAAACGAGAATGCCCTATATGAATCAATAGCTCTATTTGAATCTATGTGAATTCACTGGCAGAGGCACTGGGGGGGGCGGGCGGTATATAGTTGGTTGAAAGAGTATTGAACGAGAAGAAAGCCAGGGTCTTCAAAGGCACCATTATATTCTGGGATGGAAAGAGGTATGGAATTGCCCTACCGAGGGTAGTAAGGGGCAGGGTTAGAAAATAAATGCCACTACATCATCAAAATCTGGACCACATGGCAAAGTTTCCCCATCTTCCCCTACCCACCCGCCAAATCTACTGACTGCCATTCTGCCACTTTCCAGAATGGCAAACAATGTGAAATCACCCAATCCTGTTTTTTCCCATGCTGCCTGAAAACATTTGCTTTTCTTGCAGCCACTGAAAACAAACACAGACCAAACAAAAATTTGAAAAGAAGTAGCCTCTCTTTAAAAACAAGCAAGCAAGCAAAGAAACAGACTTTCGCTTCCAAAGAACTGGATGGATAGAACCAAACAGTTTCAGGCAAGATTCAATTCTCTCAGCCTTCATGGTTGTGTCCAACAAGATACTTGTGCTATCGTTTAATATTTGCTTCTGTAGGCAGCACTGATGTACAGTTTTGTTCACATTTAAATCCACTACACAAAATACTTCTATCTACGCAAGGCAGTCAGCACAGCCTAAATTCACAAACATTGCATTTCCTAAGGACAAATTCCCAATGATTGTTTTACTCACACAGAACTTAATCGGTTGCACAAAAAAATATCATTCAATAATGTACACTGTAAACAGTTAACATACTTCAGTGAAGAGCAGCACCATTTTACATTATATTTAACATTTCTACATAGTTCGTTGTTGATGGTTTGTTGTTGTTTTTTTAAGGGAGCGCGCCCAAAGTTGGGATCTCTGTGCTGAAATGCTACCCAATTCTCATGGCTTCAGAATGACCCACTGTCAGTTTGGGGGGGGGGGTTTCTATGCCGCTCCAATGACACAGTGAGGCAAAAGAGGAACGCTGTCAGTGCACCACAATGGACGTTCCTGCAGCATCATCTTATGCAATGCATTCGCTGCAGATCCTGAAGCGACAGGATGCTGTGTAAGGAGAAAGTGCTAAATTTGGGGGAAAGAGCGCTTTATAAACTAAGAGATGCACTAGCCTGAATATGCAAGGAAGGTAGAGAAATGAGCACCACAGAACCATATTCAGTGTGGGAAACATGAATTTGCATTGTTAATCTATTTAACTATGGGGCAAGTTAAATTTGCATGGCAAAGGCGGCGTGCTCTATCATGCTTCTTCATCTTGTTTTGAGTGATTCCTTTGGGCACAAGAAAATGTGACATTGTCAGAGCTTATATAATGTTCCCTATACACCGCAGGAGATGTCTCTGTTCAGGACTGCTATCTCCATGGCTATACCTTAGCCTATAATTAGATAGTTTAACCACTCAAATGGCTAAAAATAAAACATTTAGCTTATGGACTGAAAAAGGGTGTGCAACACACAAAGATACCCTAATAAAATGATTCCGAAACTCAAGTAAACCTTAAATAAAGCTGTCGTGTAACAAACGGGACAGCAATGTTACATTTAATAATGTAATTTTTAAAAACGAGGTCCACATCACAGTAGTAAAACATATGCAAATTTAAAAACTCATGATAAAAATTATTAATACTGTACAATTTATTACAGGAAAGTATTGTGGCTTACTTTGAAAACGCAACTTAAATTAAAATTAGCACTCTGAAATGAATCCCACAATTACTTTTGAAAACACTCCCCCAAATAATACCACCAATTTTTGTAACTAAAAGAACCCCTGTCCCCCAGTTCGTCAAGTAGTCATCTACAGCAACCCAGGGGGCCTGCGGAGGCTTCTAGGCTGCTGTCTGTATCGGAGGCCAATGTTGGGTCAGTAGACATTGAAGAGTCGTCATTGGCAGATGACGATGAAGAGGGATGCCGAGAACCATTGATCACTGCTGCACCTGTGCTATGAGAAACAGAACATCAATTCGGTTACAGAGAGACTGGCCTCCTTCACTGGCTCCTTTTCACTCTGATTGGACATTAATGCACTTGGCTCATAACAGGCTGGTTAAACTTAAGTCTTGCAGGATTCAGTTTTAGGTTACACAGGACAGCACATCAGCTAAGTGTAAGCTTAGATCTCATTCCAGGTTAAACGTTTCAGCTTTCAGCTCCATTTAAAACCAGTTAAAAACTAGGATCAACTTTAAAACAACCCCTTGAGTGTCAGCTTTCAGTGCCGTTTTAAAAAACCAGACAGTCTAAGTTACAACTTAAAGCTAGAGGGCAACTTAGGTTCTAAAACAAAAACCAACCAACCACCCTCAGTTGAAGCTCAAGATTAAGCTTATCGCAAAGTTATTAAGCGCTGTATATGAGCTAAGTGGAAAGGTAAGACTCAATCCAAGTTAAAAGCTCAGCTTTTGGTTAAGTTTCAAAATAAGTTAAAAATCAGCTCAATTTTAAAAAGTCCCAAAGGGAGTCAACTTCTTGCAATCCCAGAGGTCCTTCACTGCCCATATCTTTACCTTAACCCACCTTTGTCAACCCCCCCTGACAAAAAAGAATCCATTCATGGGGGGAGGGGCAAGATGTCCCTAAATCCCATTTCAGATTTCTACTCACTGGAATCGGGTGCAGCCCAATAATTGAGCCACTCCTCCTTGCATTTTTCTATCAAGGCGCTCCTGACCTAACTGGCTGCAGCAACAGCTGGGGGAAGCTAGTCAGGCCTACAAATCCAGGGAGTCCACTTTGTAAGCAAAGAAAAAAAGGGTGGCCCAGTCGGCAAAGCATCTCAACCTGTGGCAAAGGGTCATGTTAGCTGGTGAGTTTGGCAGTAGGAGTGAGGAGGCCAGAGCAGATTACTCCCCTACAAAGCTACTGATGTAAGAAATGTCAAGATCCACAGTAAATCTACCTAACAAACAGCAGGCACTATAGATAGAAAGTCAGGAGGGGTCTAGGGGCTATCAATCATACTGTGCAAAATATTACATGCCTCTCTGCTGGACAGAGGTTGTGGATGGGTGCTTGGTGCCATGAGCTCCTGGCCCTCAGGGATCAAACTTGTCCCCGTGAGGCCAAGGCAGCTGACTTCAGGAAGCTGAGAGTCAGAGAGGTTGGGGGACAAGGCCTTCAAGGGATATGATAACAGCACCCCACTGCCAGAGTTGCAGGCCTTCCACAGTCAGAAAGAATGAAAGCCCTGGGAGGTGGGAGTTGCTCTGAAGAGAAAAAAGAACCCTTTGGTAGGATGAACAAAGATGCCCACAGAGGATACGCCTCTGGAAGTTGGGGCATTCCATCATTAGGGACGCAGGTGAGCTTATGACACGTGTGCAGAGTGGAGGGTGACTTGCCTGCCTGGCGCAAAGGTTGCAGTTGCTGTGTGTTGTCTACGCCAGAAATGGGCCTCCAGTAGATCTCTGAGTGGTCTGAAGTAGATCAGCAAGGATGTCTAACTCCCATTTATTTAAAATGGAAACAAGCAAAAAAACCTCCCCCAATTATAGGGCTCCAACAAAGAAAGACCAGGTAACCAACAGGGGTCTCCTTCCTGAATTACAAGGCAAACATGGGTGATTCAGGTGAGGTTTGCATATGCCCAAGTCAGATTACACTGTTAGCTAGGCAATGCAAGTCTGATCAGGGATTTCCTGAAGTCCTCAGTCTCTCTGGGGGCCCCCAAAAGCTGCTTTTTCAAAGTGACAGACAGAAAGCAGACTAGCAAAACTCTCTGAGCTCAAGTGGAGAAGCAGCCTTTAACTCAGTGAGTTATTTCTCCAGAGTTCAGCAGTCACAAAGATTTGGGAAAGGGCTGATGGAGTAAGTACTGAAAACTGGATGGGATTCACCAAATGGATCCTGCCAGCAAAAGCCCAGCGCAAGCAAGGGTTTCCACTTGCATAACAGGGATTTCCCCTCCTCAACTGGCTTTGTGGGGTTGGATAATTCCATCTGCCAAGCTGATACGCTTGCACTGATGGGATGTTTGTAAGACAAAAATGTTGAACCTGTTCCTTCATTATTCCACCTCATGTTCTTAAGGTAACATCTAGCAACAGAGAATTGGGATTAGTGTTTGTATCCCTCAAAGACTTTTTTGAGGTTGGATAGACCCAAACAGGCCCCACAGACCTGAGACAGCTGCACATGGCTATTCACAGTGAAGGAGGCAGGTGTATTTACTGCATGCAGATATTAACAGATCTACACCTGCCACCTTGTTGCAGGGGAAGAAGGTGAATCAGAAGTGCTTGTGCATACACCATCACAGAAATTTGCAGTGGCTTCTAAAATGACTTACTGTATCATAGCAATAATGGGTAACTGGGTATGTGTGTAAACTGCACATGAGTACTGTAGAGCAGGTTGCCTGGTACAGACAGCTCTTCTCCATGTAGTGAAGGTGGATGGGAATGTGGAAGGGCTGTCCTCACTTCCTTCTCCATGCTCCAGCACAAACACCTGAAGAGGGCTAAGTGGCAGAAACTAGAGCAACAGCACTTTTATTGTAAACCAACCTAAAGGAGGCGGTTGTCCACATATAACACCATTCTTGGTTCTCTCCTCCAGGTCCATAACTTCCTTGTAAATCAACTCTGAAAATCACCAGGTATAGTGTTATCCATACAGTATTTCAAACAAGCCAGAGAAACAGACTCCTATATTAACAAATATCACATAGTCTATTGAACATAACTCTGTTGATCAAGGAGAAAGCAGAGAATGTAGTACATTAGGCAAGTCAAACAATGCACCCGTGAAACACCGCCGTTCTGCTCCACTTTGCAAAACTGAGCAACTCACTGAGCAAACAGCTTCAGGGGGGATGAGCACATAAAAAAGCATTTTGAAAAGGCCACACCCACCCCGACTCCTCGATATCTGCAGGCAACGTTTGCTTCCTTAAATGCTTCTGGGTCAAATGATTCTTCAACCACAAAACTAGCTAAACTTCAGAACACTATCAGAAACAGAAAATCTACCCAAGCAAGAGACTTCAAATACACAATGGGTGCCTTTTCCAAAGGTTGCACTGCTAGTATTCTAGAAAGAAAAATATAGAGGCATGGATATTAGTCCTGAAGAGAGGTGGCCATTATAGTGCCTTTACAGATCCTATTTGGATATATCAAAAGCTAGTTAATGGATACTATAACACCCAATTCTTAAAATGTGCAAGGGATTTTAAAAGCAACGCCTTTATCAAAGTTCAAGGAGAAGCCCCTTTTTTAACTCTTAATTCCCACACATTTTGTTCCAAGTTTATCTCTGACCTTTGTTCTCTCCTTTTCTGCAGGACTCTGAGCCATACAACTAACTGCCTCCCTGGCCATGCAAAGATGATCGTATTCTTTCACTCCACTTTAATTAACTTATTCATGATACCCACACTTCATTGTTCTTTTCCAGCTACAAGCAGATTAGATTCTGTACTTCCTTCATAAGAAGGCACTGAAATAATGGATACCAATCTCCTACTTTACCTAGCTGTGAGCACAAAATGATAACTGAACATTAAGTACAGTACTCCTGCGATTCATTGCCCTATTTGTGGGCTTCCCAAAGGCATCTGGTTGGAAACAGGATGTTGAACAAAATGGACCTTTGGTCTGATCCAGCAGATATAAATAAGCTATATATTAATAAGCTTGCACAAGTTCTACCTTCTCGGTAGTGGCACCCTCCCATCAGATGTCAAGGAAATAAACAACTATCTGACTTTTAGAAGACATCTGAAGGCATACCTGTTTAGGGAAGTTTTTAATGTTCGAAGTTTTATTCTGTTTTTGATCATCTGTTGGGAGCCACCCAGAGTGGCTAGGAAAACCCAGCCAGATGGGCAGGGTATACATAATAAAATATTATTATTATTATTATTATTATTATTATTATTATTATTGGACTAAAGGCTGAGAAAAAGAACCACCAACCAACCCAAGTGTTCAGGAACCTGCTGATTTAGAAAATTGTTGGGGGCTGCTATTCCCAACACAGTTTGTGGGGGCAAATGCAGTTCCCACCACACTTTAGCATCTTAAAACAGTGCAGCAAAAGCTTCATTGCTAATAATATTAATACTTAAAGTATTAACCTCACCTTTCCATTCTTCTATTGTGTGCTCTCTTTCATCCAGCTGCTTGTCTGGTATCTTTGGAGGAGGCTGAAAACAAAAATGTGGCAGAAAACTGAATAAAAGGTAGCAAATATAAATTTACACTCTCAATTTCAGTATTGATCCCAGGATCCCAGGCCCTCAATTTATTAATTATTTTGAATTACACACCAGCCATGAAATTCTTCAAGGACCTATTATTATGTAGAATTTTTGTTCCTGCTATATCACTGGGGGAGGGTATTGTGACAAGGGCCCAATGTTGATCACATGCCTAGAGGTAAAGGGACCCCTGACCATTAGGTCCAGTCGTGACCGACTCTGGGGTTGCGGCGCTCATCTCACTTTATTGGCCGAGGGAGCCGGCATACAGCTTCCAGGTCATGTGGCCAGCATGACTAAGCCGCTTCTGGCGAACCAGAGCAGCACACGGAAACGCCGTTTACCTTCCCGCCGGAGCGGTACCTATTTATCTACTTGCACTTTGATGTGCTTTCGAACTGCTAGGTTGGCAGGAGCGGGGACCGAGCAACGGGAGCTCACCCCATCATGGGGATTCGAACTGCCGACCTTTTGATCGGCAAGTCCTAGGCTCTGTGGTTTAACCCACAGCGCCACCCGCGTCCCGATCACATGCATAAACATAGATAATTTAAATGGACCTTTTCCACAAGAAGTGGCATAACTTACACTTGTGCCTCTAAGCTGACCAACACTGCTTTGTAGGAATACTGTACATGCCCAGCATTCCACTTGCATTTCCCTAGATTTCCTGCTATACAGCAGGATTCTGAAATTCACTGAGTCCCCTCTATGTTTAGGCTGCTAATCAGCAGTGCTAATTCGTGTGCTAAAATGTCTCCTCAAGCCACTTCTGGAAAATAATCCCAATGCTACAACTAGCTGTATGCAGCATAATAAAGGCTTAGGAGTTATGAGTGCCAACCTGCCCCATGATGCGTAAGACGTCCATGAGTTAGAATCATAGAATCATAGAATCAGAGAGTTGGAAGAGACCACAAGGGCCATCGAGTCCAACCCCCTGCCAAGCAGGAAACACCATCGGAGCACTCCTGACATATGGTTGTCAAGCCTCTGCTTAAAGACCTCCAAAGAAGGAGACTCCACCACACTCCTTGGCAGCAAATTCCACTGTCAAACAGCTCTTACTGTCAGGAAGTTCTTCCTAATGTTTAGGTGGAATCTTCTTTCTTGTAGTTTGGATCCATTGCTCCGTGTCCGCTTCTCTGGAGCAGCAGAAAACAACCTTTCTCCCTCCTCTATGTGACATCCTTTTATATATTGGAACATGGCTATCATATCACCCCTTAACCTCCTCTTCTCCAGGCTAAACATGCCCAGTTGGACATCAGCAAAGTGAAAACGACAATACAAATGAAAATCCCGCCCCACAAAAAAATTAATAAATGAATATTCATATAATTACACTTACAGCATAACTTGGAAACTCTGAACCTTGCACATAATGTGTAGGAGTCATAAAAAAGCATAATAATAATAATAATAATAATAATCTAGTGCTGAGCCAAATGCTCTTCAAGTTATTTTGAAGAGCCCCTCTGCCAGGGCTTAATCCTACCCTTTTCACAGATATTTGGCAGCCAAATTTTATCTCCCTTTCCCTCTTTTGCAAGCAGTCTTAGCTTCGTGACATGAAACCGCTAAATGGGGTCATCTGGAGTTTTGGAGCAATATCCTAACGAAACACAACTCTATTTCTGCTTTACATTGGCAGGTGAGGCAGTGGATGTGCTGGGCGCTGTCTTCCCTTGGCAGTGGACTGGATGAGAGCCAGCAAGCTGACACTCAGTCCAGTTACGACTGAGGCACTGTTAATGGACAGTTCCCTAGACTGGACAGATGGGGAGTCGCCTGCTCTTGAAGGGGTTACAGTGACCAGGGGTCAGCAAACTTTTTCAGCAGGGGGCCGGTGGGGGGCTGGACCTCGTGGGGGCTGGACTATATTTTGGAAAAAATATGAACGAATTCCTATGCCCCACAAATAACCCAGAGATGCATTTTAAATAAAAGGGCACATTCTACTCATGTAAAAACACGCTGAATGCCAGACCATCTGCAGGCCGGATTGAGAAGGCGATTGGACCTTAGTTTGCCTACCTATGGGTTACACTTCCTCTGAAGGAGCAGGTACATAGCTTAAGGGTACTTCTGCATCCATTGCTGTCGCTTGAGACTCAGGTGACCTCAGTGGTGCAGAGTGCCATCCACCAGCTATGGCTGATGGCCCAAGCTGCACCCCTATCTGCGCAATGCATCTTACGTGGGGCATTTGGCTTTTAACCATCTATGGCCTTCTTAGGGGGTGGGATGTTTTAACGTATTTCTTTCCCTGGTTTTCATGTGTGTGTTGTTGCTGTTTTTAATATAAGTCACTTTGAGGTGCCATGGCAAAAAAAAAAAAAAAGTGACCAATATATTTAATTAAAAAAATTAAATGATGGCTGCTACACAGCCAGTCAGATTTAGCTATGTGCTGTGAGACCCCATGGAGGGGATGGGGGGAAGTCCCGAGATTCAGAGAATCTCTTTATATAGATATGGTTTGTTTTTTTACTTTTCGTTTACAGTGGAACCTCGGGTTGCAAACGTGATCTGTGTGGGAGGCACATTCGCAACCTGCAGCGCCACGTCTGCGCACGCGCATGACGCAATTTGGTGCTTCTGCACATGCGCAAGTGCCGAAACCCGGAAGTAACCCATTCCTGCACTTCCAGGTTTCGTGCGTCCGTAACCTGAAAACGCGCAACCCTGTGTTTGCAACCCAAGGTATGACTGTACAGTCATACCTCATGTTACGTTTGCTTCATGATACATTTTTTCAGGTTGCGTCCCGCAGCGACCCGGAAGTACCAGAAAGGGTTAGTTCCGGGTTTCTCCACTTGCGCATGTGCAGAAGCACTGAATCGCACCTCGCGCATGCACACAAGCGCCAAATTGTGCCACGTACCTGCGCAGATACGACGCTTCAGGTTGCAGGCTTTTTATGTTGCCAACAGGCCTCCAGAACGGATCCTGCTTGCAACCAGAGGTACCACTGTATCTGTATTTTGTAAAATAAAAAAAAATGACTTAAAAAAAAGAAAAAAGATTTAGCTATGTGCCAGGGCAAACAGAGCCTAGGGCTCATCTCAGAATAAATTAGTTTTAGGACCACTTTCCTTCAAAAGGGGGTTGATTTCTATTCTGGCAAAGCTTTTTGCAATGCCTCCCATTTTGGCTCAGCTTGTCCTGAACCTTCTGAAACTCCAATTCAATCATGTAAAGAATAAACTATAAGCTGTAGAGCAGACAACCAGCCTTTTGGGCTACCTTCCGGCATCAGACACCATGATTGGTGGTGTCCCTGTCAGCAAGAGAATCCAGATTCTAAATAATAAATAAAACTTACTGCTTCTGCTTCTGAAGGGTCATACCAGACATTGATGTATGGGTGCTGTAGAGCTTCATCTACTGAGATTCTTTTTGATGCGTCGATCACCAGCATTTTGGATAACAAATCTCTTGCCTGACTGGCTGCAGGAGTAACATTTAATATAGGATGTAATATTTAAACATTTCGGGCAGCACGGAAAAGGGTGGGGTGAGAGCCATAAGCAAAATAAGGAACAAACTTATTATTATACAGCTTATTTGGCGATACAACCAAACTAGCTGCTTCACTATCAATGTAGTTTATGAGCGAGGCTCTACAGAATTGCTCACTACTTTCATCATGGCGATGTGTCAGCCAGCCTCTAGAGAGCAAGATAAATGCAAGGCATCTTCTCAACCCTGGAACTGAGGATTATCCCAACCCGCTCTCAAAGACGGAAAGAAGGCTGGGCTTTGTTTTGGTTCTGCATTTGCTGGATGGAAGCACAGAACCAAAACTAGCCTCTGACTCCTCCATCTGAGCTGGAAAGGGAAAGAGGCACGTGGGCTTGTGTCTGCCACAGTGGAAATCGAAGTGAAGCACTGCACAAAACTCTTACCTTTCAGTTTGTTATGTTCAGAATCAACTGGAAACAGGACATCTGGGAAGAGCTTTTCAAAACTATAACCAGCATATTTAGGCCTATTCTCCACGTATGTCCTCACTGTTGGCTGCAGCTTCTTCATGAATTCTGAGCACGGCGTTCCTAGTTGTTCAATAACTTTATTCCATTGATCAATATCTGAGGTGAAGCAGCTAAGGAAAATTGTTTATGTAGCGTTCAGGACAAAGGCCATGTTAAAACTACACCAATAATAAATGGGAGAGCTATGGCCAACAATAACTTGTTAGAGAACCAATGATGGTTAAATCAAATAACTGCTCTTTTCGCTATGATCTCAACAAGGGCTAGTTAGTCTCACCTGGCACACAGGATCTCATGCATTTCAAAATGCCACTTAGAGGCTTTCAGAACAGTATAGAAAACAGAAAGAATTTGAATCAACTGAAGGTCTGAGTTTCCTCCGTTGTTAGGACTGCCACATTCAAGACTGTTCTGGAGAGTTTAGAAAACTTAGCAGGAAAACTACACGGGAAAATACCTGAATATTACTTCTTTCTAAACAATCTGGCAACAGGTTTAACTGAAACTATTTTATTTCACCATACTAACGATTTTTAAACCTTGAGAATAAAAATACAGTGGTGCCTCGCAAGACGAAAAGAATCCGTTCTGGGAGTCTCTTCGTCTAGCGGTTTTTTCGTTTTGCGAAGCAAGCCCATTGACGGGATTAGCGCTATTAGCGGCTTTTAGCGGCTTTTAGCGGCTTTTAGCAGCTTATCAGCTTATCAGATAAGCAGATAAGCGGCTTAGCGACTTAGAAAAAGAGGGGGAAAAGGGAAAAAAAAACCCAGGAACTCGCAAGACATTTTCGTCTTGCGAAGCAAGCCCATTGCAGATTCGTTTTGCGAGGCACCTCCAAAACGGAAAACTCTTTCGTCTAGCGAGTTTTCCGTCTTGCGAGGCATTCGTCTTGCGGGGCACCACTGTATGAAAGCTCACATATAATTGATCCAGTTGAACTAATCTGAGTTCTCCAATCAGTAGCCTAATCAACAGAATAAGACATCACAACCTAAGATTCAATATCAAATTTCAAAATCGTCTACCACACCATACAAACCCAGAAGCAAACCATTTAGCATATAGGGAACACCTATGTGAACATAGCTTATTAACTTTACTCTCTGTATATGTATATGTATGTCTGCTGATCTTCTGGTCCTGAGCCAAGAAGTACTCTTAGGAAATCAATATTTCACAGAATCATAGAATTGTAGAGTTGGAAGGGATCATGAGGGTCATCTAGTCCAACCCCCTTCTATGCAGGAATCTCGTTTATATCATCCATGACAGATGGCCACCCAACTTTTACTTAAAAACCTCCAATGAAGGAGAGTCCACCACCTCCTAAGCGAGGCTGTTCCACTATCAAACAGCTCTTACTGTCAGAAAGTTCTTCCTGTTTAGTCGAATCTCCTTTCTTGTAACTAGAATCCATTGGTTTGGGTCCTGCTCTCTGGAGCCGAAGAAAGCAAGCTTGCTTCATCTTCCATGTGATAGCCCTTTAGATATTTGAAGATGGCTATAATATATCCTCCTCTTGCTTTGAGCATAGCCAAAGAAACCATCCTTATATTTATATACTGTGTATGTAACTTTTCTTGCACTTGGCCATCTCCCTGCAGCTGTAGGTTACTCAGGAATACTCCTCCTTCATGATTTCCCTTTTCTTCAATTTCTTATACATGCCCTTCTTAAATCTCAGCTCATCTGTAAGCTCCTTGTGCAGCCACACCAGTTTCTTTAGGTGCCTCTCACTATTCTTTCTTGTTAGAATCGTCTGCATTTGTGCCATCAATATTTCACCTTTAAAAAACTCCCATCCCTTCTCTTTGACTATTTCTGACCATGGGATCTCACCCACTAGTTCCTTAAGCTTTTCGAAATCAGCCTTCTTAAAGTCCAGAGTGCATGTTTGACCACCCTCAGCTTTACGTTGCCTCTGTATGATGAAACCCAAGAGGACATGATCACTTCCTCCCAAGGTTCCCAGTACTTCTGTTTCATTTATCAGTAACCTCCTCCCTGTCCTCTTGGTGAGGACCAGGACCAGGACCAAGACAGATGATCCCCCTGTTGTGTCTTCAACCTTCTGGGAAATGAAATTGTCAGTAAGGCAACTGGGGAATTTGCTGGACCTTACATTGCTGGCAGAGTTTGAGTTTCAACAGATATTGGGGTAGCTGAACTCTCCCATGACTTCTGTATCTATCTGTTTTGAATGTCTGGTAATTTGGGGAAACCTGTGATCATCACTTGAGAAAGTGTCTTCCAAAACACCCCTTGCCCTATTAATCACACTGAAGGGAATATTAAGAAGATTTGACAGTACAGGGTGTGGTGCTTTTGTCCCATCAAACCCAGTAAGCCAATACCTCCTCCCCATACCTCAATCTAAGCCAAGAACAGTTCTGCATCAGTCAAGGAATCACTTGTAGCAAAATACGTTATAAGAGTCAGAAATGATTGCTAACAAGAATGTTAAAGGACCAGAGAGAGAGGAAAAACCAGGGAATCAAACACTTATCCAAGGGTCAGTCATTGTGTAAGTGATGCCCATCTCATGCTACTCTCCAAGTGGTATCCAGAGCAGGTGCTCCTATTGCCCCAACCTGTTAACACTACTAAATAGCAGTACCACTAATGAAGGTGTCCACACACAAATGAAGATTAACAGAATATTAAATAACTAGCTCTGTTAGGACACAAAGCTAAACATAAACAATTAAGACAATATGCTTGGGTACTCAATAGAAAGGAGAAAATGCAAAAAATGAAGTTACAGAGGAAAAAAGCAGAAGGATATTAAATAGATCTCACTAATTTTGCACATGCTGCTCACTAGAAACACTTCTGTGTTCAAGCCCAAATCACACAAAGACACAACCATGCAAGGTGTTCCTCCGGCTGGTGGAACTGTTAATCAACACAAAACTTTTTACTGTTCTGGAGCATATAAAAACCACTTTGTTTACAAAGCAAGTAGGCCTATGCTCTTAATTGGAGAAAACAGCAAACTGTATACGTGTTTGAAACAATAGAATTTTAAAGCCTCGGCAGCTGGAGACAGCATTATTTGATGTTGAAAAGGAAAATGCTAGAATACATTTGACTTTTGATCATTCAGTTCTAGGCCCAAAGTAAGGATACGGTCTGTACCAGGAAATAATACACCACCTTTGATCATTTCTCCCATGATGCACCCCACTGACCAAATGTCAACTGAAAACAAAATGCAATGACATTAACTGATTAAAAGAAAAGCAAAAAGGACTTTAAAAGGAAAAAAACCCAATGATAATAAAGAGCAGTGCAGGATGAAAATGAATGAGAAAAGTGAAGATGTGCTTGCTATCATACCAGCAGAGACTATTTCCTACTGCTAAATGCAGCCTCAATAGAACCAAATTTATTCTAATAATTTTTATACTCATCCGGAGGAAATAATTATGAGCCTTTTAAGGGTGGGTGGAGGGAGTTATAAGCATTTTCCAAGGAATATTTGGGGGGGGACAAAGGGGGAAGAGAGTCACAAGGTATTAGTTACCAAAAAATTCACATGCTGCAGCAGTACAAGGATACAGTCCCTTCCTGGAAAGAGGATTTTGTGGCAAACCATTTCTCCCATAATGCACCCAACAGACCATAAATCCACTATGTTTGTAGCACAAAAAGAAGAAGCAAAGCAAATTGTCACTGAAAATTAAAGAAGCAGGAGGCATGACTGCATTTTACTATCTGCAGAGAAAGCACCAAAAAGGAAGAAGCAATCATGGGATCAAGCTGTAAACGTATTTTTAGAACACACACACACACAGCTCCATATGTCCAAAACGTGTTCTGAGTGGGACCCAATGGAAGCAATAATGGTCACAGGAGAATAGCGTCCTTACATAGCTCCCATTAGATTTCAATGCAACTTGCTAAGCGGAAGTAGAGTAAACCCCCAATACTTCAAAGCTTTTTTAAAAAAACAAAAGAAAAATTCTTGTTCGTTAAGAAAAGATTAACAATAACCGAATTGCTTAACAAACAGCTGAAATGACAGAGGAAAATACACACAGGTTCATAATTAGTAATGAGAATTAATCAATCTCAAAAAGGTAGAACATCAGTAGGGTAGGTGGCTCATCTATTCAGACTGTGTTCAACCGGTTCTAGATGGGTTGCACTCACTCTAAAATATCAAGGGATAGGTGGGCTGGCTCCTAGATGCACCCTTGTCACCAAAGGCCCAGATAGCCTCTGTGCCAAAAGAGTGCCTTTCATCAGTTTAGGATGGCATACCAGCTGGGATCTCTCCAGGATGAAGACAGCCTGTTCACAATTATCCATGCTCTGATAAACATCCTAGTGTTGAGTGCTCTAATGTACTATACATGGGCCTGCCTCTGAAGACTGCTTGGAAACTACCATTAGCTCATCATACAGCCACCAGGACCAGGACTGCCTGGAGGGTAGCGAGAGAACTTCCAGGCCATTTCTGAGCACAATTCAAAGTGCTAGAGCCTGGGGTACAAGTTTCTAACTAAACACTTGTAGTTGTGCTTTTCACACAGGTACCTGAACAGGTATCTGCTCCCATCACAACCTGCCTATGTACTTAATTCATCTCTGGAGTCTCTTCTCTGGGAGCACCATCATCCAAGGTAAGTTGAATGGCATCCATATGGAGAGCCTTCTCTGGGAAGAATGTGCCACAAACAAGACTGCGCCACTGGAGCTAAGGCTGCTGCTATGCAAAAAGTGTCCCCTTTGAATTCCAAGCACAGCATTCTTTCTTATCACAAGGTACCCCTTAATTTATACCAGGGCTCCCTGCAACAGCTTCCTATGGTGGACTGGTGTGCTAACACCGGGGCAAGATGGTTTGAGCATGTAACGTCATTCTTGGCCTGACTGCACTGGCTGCCAATTAGTTTCCAGGCCCATTCCAAAGTGCTGGTTTTGACCTATAAAGCCTTAAAACAGCTCGGGGCTGCAATACCTCTCCCCATATGAACCAACCCAGACCCTGCAATCACCATCTGTGGTCCTTCTTCCTGTGCCTCCTCCATGGGAGGTTCGGAGGGTAGAATCACAAGAACAGACCTTTTCTATACTGGCTCCCTGTTTGTGGGAAGCTCTTTCTTGCCTATCTTTAGGTGCCAGGCATAAACATCCCTCTTCTCCCAGGCCTTTGGCCAATTAAGCAATCTATGTGAGAGAGAACGGGGTATTGTTTTTGTTTCCTATTATGGTATGTATTTATGTGTTTTTATTTTGTAAACTGCCTCGTGATTTCAGATGAAGTGTGGTATAGAGATTTAATAAACAAACAAACATCACATTGTTATAGACAACGTGGTCAACTACAAGGCAAATTAGCTTTTCCTTTTCCAGTAGGGAATTTCCTGCTCCTGTTCATCAGAACCTCTTAAAGAAGTAGAGTTCTGAGGTCCTTGATAGAAACCACATTCATGCAATACATTTCAATCACTCTGACACCACTTTAAAGAGTCATGGCTTCCCCTAAGTAATTCTTGGAGCCGCGGTTAGTTATACGTGCTGAGAGTTGTTAGGAAACCCCTATTCCCCTCACTCCCTTTTGTTTTCATCTTAACTATTGTTGTTTTTGTTTTAACTACCATATTGGCCTGAATATAAGCCACACTTTCCCCCAAAATTCTGACCATGAAAAGTTAAAGTGTGGTTTATATTTGTGACCTTACGGTATGCAACCAGGAGCGCGGGGCAAACAGTGCCAGGAGCGTGGTGAAGAAGCACCCTCCCCGCGCATAGCCCCCCATCCTCTCCCCAAAGGCCGGGAAGGGAGAGAGCGAGGAAGGGGAAAGGCCGCCAGCAACGCAGAACAGTCTCCCCCACGCCCAGTATGCAGCCAGGAGCAGCGAGGAATGGAGCGGCTTATATTCGCGCCAATATGGTATGTATTTGTGCTTTTACCTTGTATTTTTATCTTGTGAACCGCCCTGATATCTTGGGATGAAGGACAGTATATAAATCTATTTAGTACTAAGTAAATAAATAAATGGGACTGGTTGTTAAGCCACTCTGAGAATTGTGGCTTTGGGGAACTTGTTAGCGCAGGTGATGAAGCAGGCTTTGGCTCTACCATCCATCCGCTGATGAGTGGGAGAGACGAAGCCTGCTTTCCCTTGCCAGTGCACAATCAGGAGTGCACTTTACAGCTCCTGGTGGTACATTGGCAGCTACATCTCTACCTGTCCTGGGATCCCATAGGACATCAGATGTGAGAAAGGTGGCCTGGCTCAGTATAAGGCAGCTTTCTATGTTCTATTGTCCCAATCCTCTCCCTAACACTTGCCCGGAGAGAAGCTGAGGACAAGCATGAAGAAATGGTAGATACCTCTATAAAAAACAGCAAACATGGTTTCCTCTCTTCCTAGTAAAGGTAAAGGGACCCCTGACCATTAGGTCCAGTCGTGGCCAACTCTGGGATTGCGGCGCTCATCTTGCTTTATTGGCCGAGGGAGCCGGCGTACAGCTTCCGGGTCATGTGGCCAGCATGACTAAGCCGCTTCTGGCGAACCAGAGCAGCGCACGGAAATGCCATTTACCGTCCTGCCAGAGCGGTACCTATTTATCTACTTGCACTGGCGTGCTTTTGAACTGCTAGGTGGGCAGGAGCTGGGACCGAACAACGGGAGCCCACCCCGTTGCGGGGATTCGAACCACTGAGCTTCTGATCGGCGAGCCCTAGGCTCTGTGGTTTAACCCACAGCGCCACCCACGTCCCTCTCTTTCTAGTAGAAGAGTGTAAAAAGGAGTGTGAATGAGCAGTACGGCTTCCCAGAGGAAGATGACAAGTGAGATCTTGGAAGCAGAGGCAGGTGCATCTTACAGCCATTGCTTGACTAATTCTCCCTTCCGTGCTGCCCACAGGGATAGCAGGAAAGGAGCAGCTGTCATCTCCACAGTTACTCCTCTCTCATGGCCACACAGCAGGAAGGACTGTGCAAGTACTAGATGCAAGGAGCAATTGCTGCTTCTGATCATTCATCTGTCTTTATCTCTCTGGAAAAGCCTACCTATTCATTCACCTTCATTATTTGGAAATGGTGGGGAAAGTTTTTGGTAAATCTAAATCTGCAACAGATATCACCTGTCTCTCCAGTCCCCAGAGAAGGTGGGAGATTGGCCACCATCTCAGGCTACAAGCAGCAGCCACCACACTGCAGCTTTTGCAGGATAAAAGCTGATAACTGAGTGGTGGCTTGAATGAAGTTTTACATCCATTTCCATTATCAGTTCTAGATAACTGAGCTTAAAATTGTAACCTCCATGTCAAACATGAGATCAAGGTGGACTTAGCATAGAGTGGGAAAGTGTTATTTGTGCAGATAGAATAAAACACTGCCCCAAGAGCATATTTTATCTAAACAACTGCATCCTATGTTTCCTCAATGTATAAATAGTATTTCCTAACATGCTTTCAACACAACATAGTGGGATTAAACATTTAGCATACTTAGGTCATGGTGTTATTTTAAAAAATAAGTTTCAGCAGCTGAGAAAAATGTAAGATGTAACGTGCAGGGTGTAGGGACAGAAGATATAAAGCACATTATGTTAAGGGACAAAATGAAAGTTGCTGACCATTTTCTTTGTATCCCATCCCTAGGATGACTTCTGGTGCTCTGTAGTAACGAGTCACAACATAAGGTGTCATCATAAAGCTGGTTCCTGCTGTTCTAGCTAATCCAAAGTCAAGAATCTTCAGCGTGCAGTCAGATTTTACTACTATATTGCTAGGTTTCAAATCCTTTCAAGAGAGAGAGAGAGAGAGAGAGATTATTCTAAGCCAAGCATGAAAGTCCCCGGTAGAAGATAAAAAACAAACTGGTAATTATGATACAAGTGTGGGGAGGAGTTTTTTCAGCCAGAAGTCTCATGCTGCCTGGGGACAATGGGAGTTGGAATTCAACAACATCTAGAAGACTACAGGTTCCCCACCCCTGCCCTAGAGGATTAAGTTTGTAATCTGGAGGTATGACCAGACAGGTGGCCTCTCTGCTAGGGAGTGCCTTTCATCTGCTTATCTTGTAGTAAGATATAGGGTTGACTACTATAATGTGTTGTACATTGGTCTGCGTTTGAAGGCTGTTTTGAAACTGCAGTTGGTTTAAAACATAGCCACCATGGCAGTTTTATTTCAAGTGAACAGCAATCTTCCTTGGCTTAACAGGAAAGAAAAATACTCCCCAAACAGGAATGTTAAAACAACAGCAATAATCTCACTAACCCTATGTATAATTCCAGCTGAGTGAAGATGCTTAATGCCGCACAGCATTTGATAGAGGAGATAGGACATTCGTTCATGGTCGAGCTCCATTTGAATCACTTGGCAGAGATTTGCATCCATGAGCTCCATCACTATGTAACTTTTGAAGAACATCAAAGCGTAAAATCAGACGAAAGCAGCAACTTAGGTCATAAAATCAATTGTGCACTTGTAATGTACTCGCCGAACAAGTTTTACAAAAAAATTATACTTACACATCTTGAAATTCTTCCAGTGATTTCTGTGGGGTAAAGACATTCAATAGGCCAATTATCTATGGGAAAGAAACACGTCACAATGAAGGCCCACAAAGTCTGTTTGTCTCTAAGTGAGTTAAGTAATAAATGCAAAAAGAAACACACAAGAAAACATAGCATTTGATCAAATCAGAACTTCACTGAAGCTCTCTCACATTTTCACCTATAACCTCAAAGACAAGCCCAACTAGCTGTACTGTACACAGGTAACTCTCATCTTACACTTAATTTACTTATGCAATTGTAGCTTTGCATGGGTAGGGTAGGACGGGTGGAAATAAATAAATAAATAAAAAATGGAGAATGAGGGGAAGTATTATTTTCCCTTGTAGCTTATCTTTGTTTATTTTGCGCTTGTTTTCATCTTTTTATGTAAAACACTTTGTGAGGTTTAGCCGAAAAGAAGTACATAAATATTTTACAGATACCAAATTGCTGATGTCCAAAACCCATCAATTCAGTATAGTATCATCAAGATAGTATAGTATAAATCAACATAATAAAATATAATCCATTTCTAGCAAATTAAACCATCCTGTATCCTATTTTCTATTTTCTTGCTATGCCAAATTAGACGTGATGTCTGTCCTATTTAAGCATTAAAGAGGAGAATGGGATGCTAATTTTTACAACAAAAGGTTAATGATAGTGAAAGAAACAGGATCAGTTTGTCCATCTTTACACACAAATGTGGCAAATGCATGAGTAAGAATGATCTCACATCTAGTCTGACCCTTACCGTTGATATTTAAACGATGAACAAATGTACTTACGTTTTTGTGGTTTACGCACTTCATGAGGACAAGCTCTCTGTAGGCTCGTTTGGCATGGGTTTGGTTCTGAAATGGCCGACTTAGCTTCTTGATTGCTACATTTCTTTCAAGGATAGCATCATAGGCTGCACTGTAAATAAAAGTGAACTGTCATAACCATATTTGTATAAAAATTGACAAGAAGACTGGGAGACTGGAGTCAAGACCTATCCGTGAAACACAATCAGTCAAGGATCTGAAAGAGGTTTGTAGTATTAGAGATATTCTGATTTGAATAAGAATGAAAACAGCTTAAATATTCCGATACTGTGAAATGTTTGTGGGGGAAATAATTGCTGAAGCGAAAGGCTTACTCACAGATTGTACAGCTCATAGTAAAGCTTCTATGAAGAACATTTATCTCAAAGATGTCATCTATGATTCTATGGTGATATGAGGTGATTTGCCATTGGTGGTGAACCTCAGGCTCCAACCTGCTGGGCTGAAAAGGTTCTCCACCCCTGCTGTATACATCCAAGGGCACAGAACTGTCCACAACCACTGGTCAAGTGAAGAAAAGCAACTGTGGAAGGCTGCTAGTTTCAATGAGAGAACCGTGGGTGGGCTGCTTAACCCTTTTCCCTTCTGACATTTTGTCTTCTCAAAATCATTCTCTCCTGCTTGCTTTCCAACCCATAAGGGACAAGATACAAAGTCCCTGAATTTTTTTCCCCTCGTGCTTGCAGAAAAGCAAGACAAAGAGGGTGATTTAGACGAGGCAAAATGCAAGGAAGGGAAAAGGCTAATCAATCCATTCCCCGAAAAAGATAGCCCTCTGCGGTTATTTTCAATCAGGAGACTGATTCTCACATTTTATGAGGTGTGATATTTCATTGGTTTGAGGCGGAGTTTTGCTGCTGTTCTCATGGACAGGAGTGTGAATAAAACTGCTATTCTCCCAATTCTGTACCTGTCACACCTACTTCCTAGTTACACTTGACCTTTACATGACCTGATGTCATTGTATCTGGTTCTATTCCCTCTTTTCACCTTGCACTACAATAAAAGGACTGGGGCACTATATATACAAAAGCAATGGTTCACTAGCAACCAGTACTATCTAGCATTCAAGTAGCACGTCAATCAGTTTTACTCATGTTCGCATTTTAAACAAAATGAGATTTCATCACTGAGCTATTTTTAAAAAAAGGAAAAGCCTTACCATACTATGCCTTGCGCACCCGAACCAATAGGTTTTAAATTCTGGTATCGTTTGAGTACAGTGAAAGTAGAATCTCCAATCTCTACACTATAGAAGTTGTTTTCACGTTTGCTTCTGCTCATGACGCCGTTAGTCGAACACTTTAATCTAAAAGACATAAACCTGCAAACACAAGGAAAATGTTACATGCCTAGGCATATAAATATATAAATATAAATGTGTGTGTGTGTGTGTGTGTGTGTGTCAAAGTTTGAAAACTTTTCTGCATTTTTGGCCACAGCCATCCCAACTATCTCATCACCTGCTCAATACAGACAGATGTTCTTGCTTTTAAGAAAGAAAGAGTTCCAATTTAATGTCATGGGCTGGAAAGCAGACACAGACTCAAGAGTCAAGATACAGGATACAGGAGTTCTGGAGCAGAATAAGAATTTCAGAACCGGATGGAAATGGCAAAGATGTCCCAGCAACTTTCCCTGTTAAAATAAGGCACACTCACTCGTAAGACTCTCTTGCCTTCTGGGAATGTTGAGATTGCAAGTGTGCACTCCTTCGGGGTGGGTGGGATTGTTCCCATTTGTGAAGGCGTCACCTGGTTCCAGGTGACAAAGCAGTGCCCTCCTGTCTAGCCTCTTGAATGAGTTCAGTTTCTGCCCCTGACTGATCAAAGCCTCTCCCATTCTCCACTGGGTCTCTCTGCTCCACAGGAAGGTTGGAGGGGAGAGCTGGCATACCTTCTCCTCGTTCCAAAGTCAGAGTGGAAGGGGGAGATACTTTGTCCAACCCAGAGTGCCTACATTCCCCATCTTTCTTCCTCCTCCTGCTTCAGAGTCTGCCAACTCAATCCCGATTCCCAACATTGCTGTGGGGCTCATGATATCAACAACCTTACAGAAACAATTTTCTAGTAAGACTGCACTCCCTCAACATCAGCTCAGCTCAGCTCCTTGTTGGTAGAAAGAAGAGTAAAACTTTTCCTTTAGGGATCATGATGCTTTTCCTGCAAAAGGTCCCAGGTACAATTCCATACATCTTTCATTAGAGCAATACCAGAATGTATGAGGCAAGGAAAGGCCTCTGTGTCCAAGACCCTGATGAGCTGCTGTTGACTGGGAATAGATAATAGTGGGTGAGATGCCTTTGAGTAAGGAAGCTTCACCCACTTGTGAAAGATGGTTCTGAGGTACTGAGTCATGCAATTAAAAGATGTATAGTTCAAAGGCAGCACCCTAGGTTGTTCTTGGCAGGCAGATTAATATAGGATGACCTTTCACAGCTGAGGATTAATTTTCAGTGAAACACATTTTAGCGATGTCTTCTTAACAGCATTCCAAATGAAAAGCACTAGGCCTCTTTCTTTTCTTTTTAGCATGAAACATGAATAAATAGCACAGAATGTCAGTGTAAAGTGGGATGCCATTTTGCTATTTTTTTAAGGGAGGGGGCAGAGAGACTAATACTGTCCCACCCTTATTTTGCCACCTGCATGCTTGCTTCCCTCCCTCCCTCCCGGCATTCTCTTACTTTTCCAGAATTTAAGAGATAGGAGGTCTAGCAATAATATTTATAATTTAATTAATTAAAAAAAAATAAAACAGGGGCAGGAAGAGAGAGACTGGCAACAGCCCAGGAACAAACATGCGGTAACCGACAGCATTTAGCTGTATCTTCATCCTGAGTCCTGTATCACTACAGCATTTTCCATTCTGGACTCAGCAAGCCCCAAACAAGAGCAGTCATGGTATACAATCAGGAGATTATAATTTCTGGTTGTTGTCTGAGCAGTCCCAAAGGGAAAACTTTCAGTGGCAATATTTTTCTTACCTAAACCTTTACTATAGATTCATGGAGTGTGTCCCTAAAAGTTCACACGCTTGAGCCTTGTTTCTGCCACTTCCTCCAAGACTCTTTAAGCTACGGCCAGTATGCACCTTTCGTAGCTTTAAAGATTGCTTGGTGGAAGTTATTGATTGGGAATGGAGAAAGGATAAGAGGAAAAGCACAAATCGTCTCCATACTAGCCTTTAAACTGCAAATGGGGCAGAGACCCTAAGAGCCAAAAGCAGGGTAGATAGCCCTTTTCAGCACTCTGTAATTGTTTCACTAGCTCTATCACCTTCCATCGTGGGAAGCAATGTCTGGGATTCCAATGCCTGATAAGTCAGGGGTTCCTAACTCCTGGCCTGAAGGATTCTTGGTTGGGGATTCGTACTTGATATCATGCACCCTCACAATCCCAACTTCTCTGTCCTGTATGTTTCCATGACAGTACACACAACTCTCTCATTCTTTCAGTGTTGGGGTTCCCCCACCTTGCCTTTAAATCCAGTTTTTTTCTACATATTTGTGGAGTCACCTGGGTATGCAGAAACCCAACCCTTGTTCGTGGGTGGTCCCGTTGTGCTGCCTTACTGGTCATGGGAGTTAATCGTCTGGAACAGCAAGCAACAGATGCCCTGCAATGAAGAAAAAAAACCCAGTGAAAATACTGCAGCGTTTGCACTGGATAGTATGAATGGTTGGCCTTGATCCTCGACTTTTGCTGTTTTTTAAAGGCAAAAGTGTATGTTTCTACCTTTTGTTATACAAAAAATGTGGGCAAGGAACCTCACAATGGCATTTGTAGGGGAGACAGGACTGACATTTTTATTTATTTGTAATATTTGTGTCCCATTTTTCCATCCAGGAAGTTATCAGTCATTAATTTAGACATTAAAACAAAGTAGTCATTGCTTTCATTGTAAGCTTCTCCAAGTATGACTACATGAGTCTCCTGGCATCCTCCACCTCTAAAAATCAGCGGATAGGAAAACCAGGCAGCAGATGACCGTTACAAAGGACAAGGTCTCGTCCAGGGAACCACAGCTCTAAGTGCGCCGCACTTGTTCCCCAGCTACTGTCACTTCTCTGCAGTGACTGTAAGCAGAAGAGAGGGCCGGGGGTAGGAAAACAGCAGGCTTCATCTGCTTCTGGAGTTCTTCTGAAGGATGACACAGGACCATATGAGACATCTCTTTCAAGGCCTCAGCCCAGACACAGAAAAAGGGAATTGCACCCAGAAGCCAATAACAGGATACAGAAATGGGAGGAGGATGTTTAGAAAAAAGCTGAATGCAACTGACACCTATTTTCTGATCCTACCTGGTTGGAGACTAAACAATATTAAAAATAGAAATCAGCCAAATCTAGCTTTTCCTTCCAACTAGAAAGTCTTATACAACATCCTTTCCCCCCTGTCCTGGGGTGGGTACCCTGCAGACCTAGAGCCAAAGGCAGCCCTCAGCCTAATTTCAAAAGACCTCTACAGATCATTTCAGCTATCTGACAAGAGTGATCCGTCCCTTCCCCAGCAGCCTCTTCTTGCCTTTAATTCCGCTGTAAAGACAACATATTTGCAGCAACAGCCCCCAGGAGGGTAGACTTCTCTGCAAGCAAGCTGCTGACCCAGGTAAGAACTAAAATATGTGGTCCCCAAGTCCTTCTGCAGGGGACTAAGGAGGAGCAGAAATGTTTCACAGTAAGTTCACTGGCCCTCTGCCAGGCAGAACTCCAGTTGCTGGGAGTGATGATCCATTTGCATCTTTTCTTAATTCAAAATAAAAATAGGGAACATGTGCAGCACCTACCATGAACACAAGTGCCCCTGTGAAAAGGTCAAGATGGTGACTCATGTTCTCCTTTTACCAAAAACTGCATAAAATCTTTTTTTTAAAAAAAACAGAACCCGTAAGCCAAGACAATCAGATCATATTAATCATCATCATCATACCCTGCCCATCTGACTGGGTTGCCCCAGCCACTTGAGTTGGCTTCCAACAGGGTATACAGAAACACAACAACAACAACAACCAGCAGAACATCACACATTAAAAGCGTCCCAATGCAGTGCTGCCTTCAGATGTCTACAGAAGATCTTATCATTATTTATCTTTTTAACATCTGACAGGAGGGCGTTCCACAGGGCGGGTGTAACTCTGCATGGTTCCCTGTAACTTAACTTCTCACAGTGAGGGAACCGTCAGAAGACCCTCGGAGCTGGCCCTTAGTGTTTAGGCTGAACGATGTGAGTAGAGGCGCTCCTTCAGGGTCAAAGCCATTAAGGACTTTAAAGGTCAACATCAACACTTTGAATTGTGCTCAGGAATATATTGGGAGCCAATGCAGGTCTTTTAGGACTGGTGCTATATGGTCCCAGTGGCCGCTTCCAGTCACCAGACTGGCAGCTGCAGTTTCCAAGTCACCTTCAAAGGTAGCCCCATGTACAGCACACAGCAGTAGTCCAAGTGGGAGATGTACCACTCTGGTGAAACAGTGCGCAAGCAGGTACTGTCTTGGTTGGCGTACAAGATGGAGCTGGAAGACAGTTACTCTGGACACAGAATTGACCTGCACCCCTATGGACAGTTATGAGTCCAAAATGACCCCAAGGTTGAGTACCTGGTCCTTTAGGGACACAGTTACCCCATTCAAGACCTACCTGCCCCCGCCTCCCAGAAACAGTACTTCTGTCTTATCAGGATTCAACCTCAATCCGTTAACTGCCATCCACCCTCCTCCTACTTCTCTCAGATTAAAATGAATCTATATCACTCTCAGTGTGGCCAAGTACTGCGCTGCAACAAGCAATCACAGCCAGGAACTGACCTCAAGACGTTTTGTACTTTTCCTCTTTGGAGTACATGTTATGACTACAACTTTCAATAATATTCATTCCAATTTTACTTTTCTATATGCTATTTCTATTTACTTTCTTTATTCTTTTCACTCTATTATACACATCTGGATAAGGTGTTCTATGTGTTTCTTGCTTTGATTTCTTAATAATAAAGATTAATAAAGTGAATAGTCCCTCCCAGTCCTGGCTCTACTTTCATCAGAAGAGCAGGGTTAATAATTTGCCTTTGAGCTTATCTCAGGAGCACTATGTGACCTAGTCTGCCTTTCTTCTCCCTTTTGTCTGGTCTATAGTGGACTAGGGAGGACAGGTGGGTTTGGGGTCCTGCAAAAGAAGACTGTTCCAAGCCCTCTAAGTGCTGCATGTTCTTTATATTTTTAAGTATCTTCCCTCCAGTACTGCTGAAGAAAGGGCACTGAGGCGCACCAGTGTGAAGCCTGTGCAATGCTTTTGGACCAAGAGTGCAGAAAAACAGTTAGCTGGTTTACTGAATTAGAGTGCTCCGTCAATTAGTGTGTGGTTGGAGGTTGAACCGAGATGATGTTGGCATTCAACATCTGCAAAACATTGCTTTAGAGCTACTCTAGGCCTCTCCTATTCCAGAGAAATGGCAAGGAAAATCTGTATAGCTAGAGTTCAGAAGTTTTATGAACAGCAAACTGAATGGTTTGTGGGGCTACTAAGCCAGTTGGATGTAAGGCTAAAGGTAAAGGTAAAGGGACCCCTGACCATTAGGTCCAGTCATGACTGACTCTGGGGTTGCTGCGCTCATCTCGCTTTATTCGCCGAGAAAGCCGGCGTACAGCTTCTGGGTCATTTGGCCAGCATGACTAAGCCGCTTCTGGCAAAACAGAGCAGCGCACGGAAACGCTGTTTACCTTCCCGCCGGAGCGGTACCTATTTATCTACTTGCACTTTGACGTGCTTTCGAGCTGCTAGGTTGGCAGGAGCAGGGACCGAGCAACGGGAGCTCACTCCGTCGTTGGGATTCGAACCGCCGACCTTCTGATCGGCAAGCCCTAGGCTCTGTGGTTTAACCCACAACGCCACCCACTTCAGCCAAAAATTGAAAATAACAAGCCAGTCCCTTGCTTCAGCTTTCTAGAGGCCAGCCTCCAGACACTGGGTGATGTTTGTCATGCCTCAGGGTACCTAAAGAACAACCCTCAGAAATTTGGATTGAACTGCTTTCATAGGTGTAAAAATGGAGTAAGAGTTGAGCTGGGCCAATCAAGTGACTGCATATTTATTTTCCATCATAGAGGAACTATGTTATTTAGGAAATACAACCTTGGGAAAGTTTTAATGCTGATTAATGCATAAACATAATAAAATGTGGAGCACAGCTATTCAACACACCTGGTGATGGTTTGGGGCAAATGGCTGAATCCTAACAGTGAGGAGAGCGGGTTGCAAAGATTAAGATTAGAAAGTACTTGAGAAGACCCATATTAATGCTTTGCATTGTGTGACACTGAAATTCAGCATGAACTTCAGAGATCAATCAATAACCACAAATCTTTTTGCATCTTCTATTAACAGCATGTCAACTCAGCATAATCCTGTAAACTTTCTCATGGATAAGTAACCAGTTATGAAGAAGATTTGGCATGAAACAACCTGAAGCCTTGAAAAGTCAATTCAGAAGTGCTTAGTAAGAAAAGTAACAAATTATGACAAATGCAAGCATGCCAATCTTCAAATGATGTAATGCTACAATCCTAACCACACTTATTTGGGAGTACAGTACAGTGGTACCTCGGGTTAAGAACTTAATTCGTTCTGGAGGTCCGTTCTTAATCTGAAACTGTTCTTAACCTGAAGCACCACTTTAGCTAATGGGGCCTCCCGCTGCTGCCGCCATGCAATTTCTGTTCTCATCCTGAAGCAAAATTCTTAACCTGAGGTACTATTTCTAGGTTAGTGGAGTCTGTAACCTGAAGCGTCTGTAACCTGAAGCGTCTGTAACCCGAGGTACCACTGTAATCTCCATTAAACACCATGTGTTATATCTGTATAAACCTGCATAGGATTGGTCTACTGGCAGGTCCTGCTATCCGAATAAAATGTCTTCTCAGGAAACCTTTTGTCAGACAAGCGATCACATAAATGGTCAACTATTTCTACTGATTCCTATAGGAAAATTTCTAATGTGTTCCCGACCAAGGAACTTTGATCCCAAAATGACAAAAACAACAACCCTGGGGAAACCCTCTGAAACCTTGCAAAAGGCAACAAGGAAGGAAAAAATGTTATCTTATTTGTCCAGTCTCTCATCCTTCCTCCCCTCTTCACCATGGTTTCTGATGAAAAGGCTGCGGCAAAAAGCCTTGTTTAAAGAGGCTTATTTGTTTAACAGTACTACACACAGATCTGGCTGTTTAGATATTTGAATCTGCAATGTGCATAGCAAGATTAAGAGTACTACTTCCTCGTATTTTGATAAGTGATTTTTTTTGTATACTAAGTGTTTGGATAGTGGGCCTTAAGTATAACTAGTGTAATTTACATAAGCCCATACAGGATAGGTTTACTCCAAGAAGCAAGGAGCTACTCACACTCCTTATTAGCATGTCACTGGTGCCCACTAGATAGCAACCTTGTAGCATCTTAAAGAACGAAAAGTTTTCTTGTGGAGCATAACCTCACTGTCAAAAACATGAAGCGTAATTCTCATTTGGAAGACACAGATAGATAAAACATAAACTGGAGCTGCGAACAGAACCAAAAAGCCATGACACACAAGAAAAACAAATTATTAAAAGAATGGGGTTGTGCTAAAGAGTATATGAAAAAACATTGTTCTGGAGTTAGTATATTGGTATGTAATGAATGATGCTTTACAGGGTTAAATAAAAAAAATGGTGTTTAAAAAAAAGAAAAGAAAAAGTACAAAGGTAGAAGTAATCTAATTAGACACAACAATATAGTAATAGTAAATTTTTTGAGGTCTTAGAACAAAGGAAGGAAGTCAATATGTGTTTATGTACGTAATGATATGGTTTTTTTCTGTAGATGTGTGCTTTTTCGTTTTTGTTTAGTTTAGTTTTGTTTCCTTTCCCTTTTTCTTTTGTTTTGTTTTTTTTTTTGTATGTTCGTGTTTTTTTTGTATAGTATTATTTTGGATTCAATGTTTGTAATTTTTGTTATGATTCTGCATTGGGAAAAAAAGAAAAAGAAAAGAAAAACAAATGGTTTGCAACACGTCTATGCCTTCTGAGCTCAGCGCACATTCTTGCATCTTGTGGCCTCACTCATACCATTTCCCACCCCTCTGAACATTCATGCGTTTGTAGTGATTAGATGGATAAATTGGTCCCTCTCAACTCTACGATTCTATGTCCGAGTGCAGATTCAAACCCTGCACTCCCAGGTCCAACACTGTCTAAATCATTACGCCACACTGGCTCCCACTTTGCCACTCAGCACCTCTCGGTCCACTTCGCAGGGATGTTGTGCAAACAAGGGGGAGAAGGAGGGAGGAACAAGGTAATCTGGGGTAATTTTCGGGGAGACAAGTCAGATGCATAATAAAACAAGCATGCTGTAATCTGCATTTCGTGCACACTGGGCCCAACAAAATTTGCAGCATCAGCACCAACATTATTCCAGGGGTGCCAATTATCACCATTATCATTAGTCTATGCCAACTTCCATTATGATCATTGCTGTATTCTGTATCACCCAGGGGGTGCCCAACTTGCATAAAATATTGGGGGCCTCAGGGAAGCCCCATGGTGCGCACACACACACACACACACCCCATTTGAATGGGAATTCCCCTCAAACGTCCCCCTCAAATATTTTATTGGGGGGACACACACACACCAAAGGATCCCCTTCGCCTGAGGATCCCAGGGCCGCCTTTAAACACACACAAAAAGCACGCAACCACACAACCTCCCTTAGGGGCCCTCAAGTTTCTTTGCACACCCCCCCCCACTTTGAGCAAAGGGGAGCAGGCCCAAAAAGGAGAGGCGGGTAGGGGGAGGAAGAAGGAAGGACCCCCCCACACCCCGCTCCAAGCCCAGCGAGGCCTGGTGAGACCGGAGGCGACGGTGGCAGCCTGTGCCCGGTGAGGAGGAGGAGGGTGTGAGGGCGCCTCTCTGTCTCCCTCTCTCCCCTCAGAAAGGCACCCATGGGCGCGAGGGAGCGCCTCCGCCAGGCAGGTAGGCCCAGCCGCCAGCCCGCTCTCTCCCAGCCACTCACTCGCTCGCTCGCTCGCTGGCTCCGCTTCCTCGCCTCAGCCGGGCCTTCTTGTCGTCGTCGCCGCCGCCGCCGCCGCCTCTTCCTGCCTGGCCGCCGCCGACCACAGCGAGGCGGAGCGGGGCGGGGAAGGGGGCGGGCGCACGCCGCCTCGCGCCCGCCTACTGACGGCCGGAGAGGCCGCGGCGCGCCTGCCGCCTCCGCCGCCGGGCCGGGCCGGCATCTTCCTCAGGGAAGGAAGCCCGTCGGGGGCGCTGAGGCGGCGGGAGGGCCTCGCCCGCCTTCCTCCGTCGGACGGGAAAGGCTCCCTCAGAGATCCGCGCGCGCAGGAGCGATATCCTATATACTCTCTTTTTTCTTTTCTTTTTTTAAAAAAAATTATTGGTTGTCACAACATTAAAAACAAACAAACACATAAAACAAACAAACATAAATCATAATCTTATTAAAAATTGCACTTATTAACATTAAGTGACTTCCTCACTTCCCCTTGGTTGAATTTCATGGCATGTCCTTTTAACGGTTTTCCAAATCACAGTTCTTAAAATAATTTCACTTAAACATTAACATCCTTAGATCTTTACGTTATGAAATCAAACACATTAATTCATCACTTAAATAAAATCCTAAACCAATTAAGTATCTATTGTAGCCTTATGAGGCTTTGCCCTCGGGTGGGAAAAATATTGCGCCTCAGAAAGGGAAATGGGAGTCAACAGACACTCAAGGAATAGTTTCGGAGAAAAGGCTTTTATTTCTACCATCCATGAACTGGTAGAAGGAGCAAGTGTGATAGTTCACAAAAAGCATGCACGAGTTCACAATCATGTGCACAAGCATATACAGTGGTGCCCCGCAAGACGAATGCCTCGCAAGACGGAAAACCCGCTAGACGAAAGGGTTTTCCGTTTTTGAGTTGCTTCGCAGGACGAATTTCCCTATGGGCTTGCTTCGCAAGACGAAAATGTCTTGCGAGTCTTGAGATTTTTTCGCTTCCCCCCTTTTCTAAGCCGCTAAGCCTTTAATAGCCTTTTAGCAGCTAAGCCGCTAAGCCGATAAGCCTTTAATAGCCGCTAAACCGCTAATAGCGCTAATCCGCTAATAGGGTTGCTTCACAAGACGAAAAAACCGCTAGACGAAGACACTCGCGGAACGGATTAATTTCGTCTTGCGAGGCACCACTGTATACCCTTCCAGTTCCCTCCTCCTTTCTCCTCCCTCGGGAGTCCTGCCCCTGAGTTCCTCTGAGCATGAACAGAAAGCTCCTGCTTTGGGACTATTTTGGACTCTTGGCGCCCTTCCCAGGAAAGGGGTTTCAGAGTGTTCAGATATGTTTCAATCTCTTGTTCTGGCATGGATCCCGGACAGAAAGCAAGTTGCAATGTGGTTCTTTAGCAAGGCCAGAAGGCATGAGAAAGGCCTGAGAAACAATGGACTGTTCTCTACCTTTGTTACAGCAGAGCAGAATGTTTCTGATGCTTAGCTGCTGAGAAAATGATTTTGAAAAGCTTTGAGAAGCTTTGAGCCTGCTTTGGTGGGGGTGACTTCGGGCCTAGGTGAGGTCACCTGTCCTCACCTTCCTTCACTATATCGTATATTCTCTGCGCGCACGCGCGAGTTTTCGGGGGCTTTAGTTTTGTTTGTTTTTTAGTTTCTTATTTATGCTTTTCAAATTTATAAATTTCATTAGTTTGACAGTCAATTTAACATTTCCAAATTTTGACTTCCTTCCCCCTCTTTCTGCGGTTCCTTAAATTATTATTTTTTAAAAAATATCTTCTGCATATTCAAGTTGCTCTTTGATTTATCTCCTGCAAATATATGCTCTTGTGAAACTGCAGGTTATTATTACATTAATGCTGCCAATGTTTTTTATCCGTTTACACTTTATCTGTAAATATTCAATAAATCATTTCCATTCTTTCTTTTTTTTAAAAAAAAGTTTATCTTGATTTCTTATTCTTCCGGTTAGTTTCGCCATTTCTGCATATTCCACAAGTTTTTGTACCCATTCTTGTTTTTCTGGGACTTTTCTGCTTTTTTCCACTTTGGGGCAAATAACATTCTTGCTGCTGTAGTAGCAGACATAAATTTCTCCACAATTTAAGTAGTTCTGTCCCTATAATTCCCAACAGAATTTAGCTCTTAAGTGCGACCCCCCCACCACCAAAAAAAAAAAAGCTGAACAAGAGTGCCTCGTGCTGCAACATTTTGTTGCTGCTGCCATGCGATGTCCCTGCTCGCAAACTCCAGGTTGCAGATTTTCTCCCTTTGAGGAGAAAATCGGATTTCTTGCTCAGTCTCTGGGCCACAAGCCTGGTGGGTCAGGAACGAGCCCCTCACTCCTGTTCCGGATCCAGATTTGGAACCGATGTGTGACCCGCAAGTTGCATGGACACCTTGGGGTGGCACCCGGCAGGACTGCAGTAGGTGCAGAATGCTACAGCACAATTGCTGACGAGAGTGAGGTCTGCACTGGTTGCAGGGCTTGAGTTCAAGGTTGGCGTAGCAATAATAATAAGAATAAATTTTATTATTTATACCCCGCCTGTCTGGCTGGGTTTCCCCAGCCACTCTAGGCAACTCCCAACAGAATATTAAAAATACAATCAAACATTAAAAACTTCCCTAAACAGGGCTGCCTTCAGATGTCTTCTAAAAGTCAGATAGTTGTTTATTTCCTTAACATCTGGTGGGAGGGCGTTCCACGGGGTGGGTGCCACCACCAAGAAGGCCCTTTGCCTGGTTCCCTGTAACCTCACTTCTTGCAGGGAGGGAACCGTCAGAAGGCTTTCAGAGCTGGACCTGTGTCCGGGCTGAACGATGGGGGTGGAGACACTCCTTCAGGTATACTGGGCCAAGGCCGTTTAGGGCTTTAAAGGTCGGCACCAACACTTTGAATTGTGCTTGGAAACGTACTGGGAGCCAATGTAGGTCTTTTAGGACTCGTGTTAAACGGTCATGGCGGCCACTCCCAGTCATAGCAAGCCATTAACGCCTCGGGAGCAGTTCATCTGCAAGATGGTCTTTACCCACAAGCGCCCACCCGGCTGTTTCGGATCAGCAGTGCCACATGATGCCCATTCTGTGTTGGTAAGAACTTGATTGTTTAGTGTGCCCTTTGGAACTCCCCGCTTGTTGAGATCAAGCAGGCGCCTCCATGGCACTGCACGGTGCCTGCTAAAAGCATTCCTCTTCAGACAATCCTACCCAGGTGCTTAGAAAGCCAAGGTAGTTTAAATCTGTTTTAGTATTTTAAGTTTTAAAGTAGGGTTGTGAATTTTCATCAGTTTTAACTATTCTTTCTTTCGTAAAAGCCATGTTGAGGTTTTTTTACAATCAAGCAGTGCGTGCATGCGCATAAAACGTTATGGTTTTCCCTCCTTCTATGGCCTTTGGATATAATATTGGGGAGAACAGAGGTTTGCTGTGGTTCTTCATTGTCTCTTCCTGTATGGCAGGTTTGTGGCACCTGTGGCCTTCCAGGTGTCCTCATCAAAGTGCCATACCATGTTGTCTTCCCATTTCCATTTCAGGCAAATATCTGCTAAGTAAACAAACAAACCCCACAAGGAGAAGACATCCAACATCATCAGGGGAGCCACAAGTTCCTTTTTCTTGCTGTGCGGCTTGTAGGATCATGCAGAGCTGCTGCTGTACTGTGATGGCCTGGGATTCAGACTCGGAGGCTGAACCTGAGGAATGCCAGCCTGCACAGGAGTCCCCGCCTCCAAAACCAGCTGAGCCAGGGCTAGGGCATGAGCCTGAAGGGTCCTCACCTGTGCTGGGTCCTCAGGTGTAGGCACCAGGTGAGTCTGCTGTGGCTCCAGAGGTGATGGAGGACCCATTGCCTGCAGGTGCTCCACTCTCAGCCCTGTCAGGGGAAGCTGAGGTTGCCTCTGGGTCCGGTAACCCTCCAGCCTCTCCTGAGCTGCAGAGGCTCAGGGCAGAGAGGCGGAGGGAACTAAGTTCTCTCAGGAGGAGTGCTCACCTCCAGGCCAGGAGAGGCAAGTCACCTGTGGACCGGGGCCGCCCTATGCCTCGGGGCAGATAAAAGCCAGCCAGCCCCAGTCCCATGTTGCGGGAGCAACATTGTTGGTAGCCTGTTCCTGCCTGCACCCTGTCCTGCTCCTCTGCCAGAGTTCCTGACCTCACCCGACTCCCTGCCTTGGAGCCCGCTTCAGCTTTGACGGACAGCCTCCTTGACCTCGGACTGTACACAGACTTCGCCGCATGGTTAGCCCTCGGGACCAGCACACGTACTCTACAACAATTTACAGTTTGAGTCCTAAGTCACAGCTTGGTCCTGTGCAAAGTTAGGCAGACCTAAATCCCATTGAAGTGAGTGGGCCTAACCTAACCCAATCTGTTTGTTAAGGAAATCTCTTCTCTCTCTTTGGCAATCACTTGTAGCCGAGTAAGATAAACACAGTTTTAACAATGAGTCTGTAAGTAACTGTGGAGGCCAATTTTGGATCCACACTTCTGGATCCACATGTCCTTCCACAGTGGGAACATATGTTTCGGGGCAGAAGTTGATCACGGTGTGGATTTGCTAAGTGTGCCTTCCTCTTAGCACGTTTCCCCCTTGCGTCCTGAGTTCGAGCGTCTTCAAATCCCATGACACCTTTGGTAAAGGCTGTTCTCCAATTGGAGCGCTCGCAGGCAAGTGTTTCCCAATTGTTGGTGTTTATACTACATTTTTTCAGATTTGCCCTGAGACAGTCTTTGAACCTCTTTTGTTGACTACCAACATTACTCTTTCCATTTTTAAGTTCAGAATAGAGTAGTTGCTTTGGAAGACGATAATCAGGCATCCGCACAACACGCTCAGAAACCTCAGAGACTTGTGCTTCCCATGCATAACGGCCTGGATTCAGTCTTTGTCATGCGTGCCATGGAAACAAGGAAGGCCACTTTCAGACTGTCGCACCTCGACTGTGCGCTCTGCATTTTGCTGGTATGTGACTGAATCCCACGGCTGTAAACTCTATTGCAGTCAAATTAAATAAATAAATGCAACCACAGCAACAATCCCCCATGGAAAGGTCATAGGATTGGTGGAATTATTTCATACGCTTGCCATAAATTTGGGGGTGTCTTTATTGAAACAACATAGAACAAACTCGCCTGTAAGAAGCAAGTAACTGCGTCAGGGAATTGTGAGGCGAAAATAAGCAATCATTAACCCAACGGAGAAGATACTCTGACCTTATAATGGAGGCAAGTCCCATTATAAGTGAAATACAATCCCAGCAATATATTACCGAGAGAGGCCATGAAGATGGCTTAGGTTAAGAAGATTTGTATGTCGTTTCTAATTAAGGGCAGGATTTTAAGAAGCTTTCCTGACCTTGAAACCACCAAAGCTAAAATTGGAACTGTAATCCCCACTTCAAAAGGTCCAAGAAGTTGCTCCATTGTGCTATATGGGGAGACTCATTTCGGTGCTGTAAGCTTGTGTGGGAAGCCAGTGAATAGCCAGGGCTTATGCAGTATAAACGGCTAACGAAACAGGGCACTGAGAACATAAAGGGCAAAACTGCATCCTTGGGAAGCTGTCACAGGCAATTTGGAGTCATCAAAAAAAACACCTGGCCACCTCGCTGTTCGCTCCTAACTCCACCAGGTAATTTATGAACAACTTAAATAGAACCAGCTTTGGAGGAACCTGATTCTTGCATCCTTCGCTTGTGATTTTCAAGCAATAGGGGACATTGATTTTTAATTAAATCTATTTGCATTCAAAAGGTAGACTTCCCCACTCAACATTGGGCAAGTCAGGGACTGAGCATGTGGGGCAAAAATGCACAGGGATGTTGCCCCTGCCTCCTATCCACAAATACACCAGAGCAGACCTTTAGAAAGTGGTAAATACTGATGAGCGTTTAGCTCAGCATAACCTTGACTCTCATAACACCAGTAATAAGACTAGTAATTATTAATAATACTATTACTAGTATCAAAGAAGGAACACATGAAAATTAAAATTCCCAATTAAGCCGATCTTTAAAATTCTTTATTTTTGCTATTAGGCAATCACATTTATCAAATATCACATATTAAATCATGAATCAAATTTGCATAGATTTGCCTACCTAAATCCATATCAAGAATAACCAGTAAACAAATTTATTTATTTTATTTCACAATAATTTATTTTATTTCGCTGCTTGGTTGTAAACAAAAACCCCAACAACCTCAAAAGTGCTTTACACAAAGATAAAACAATGAAATCGAGGAAAATTCATGACCCCGCTTTAAAACATACCAAAGTTAAAATGCTAAAACAGATTAAAATCACCTCAACTTTCTAGGTGTCTGGGTAGGCTTGTCTAAACAATAATGTTTTTAGCAAGCGCCCAAAAGAATGCAGTGAAGACTCCTGCTTGATCTCAATAGGCAGGGAGTTCCGGAGTTGCATGTGCTGCCACACTAATACTGATTGAACACTGGGGGAAATAATAAGAAAAAAATGTTCAGCACAGCGCTGTGTTGTTTCTGTAGTCGTTAATGAAGCCTCCTGGGAAATCTCTACTTTCCAGAGACAGTGCAGTGTAGAGAAGTGTTGTACCTGAATAGTTCAACAAGCTCAATTCAAGGCGCTCCCCCCCCCCCATGATTTTTAATCCAATATCTTGGATTAGCTCAGAGTGGGGAACCATTAGCTCTGCCCTTGCCTTTTTCTTACTATATAAAATAACTCTTGAGTGTCATCACGTTGCAGTTTGCTTGGCCACAGACAGGTGGTGCTGCAAGCATGGCAAGACAGAGTCACTCCACAATTCTATGGAAGAAGGTCTAAGAAGAGAGAAGAGGCTTAGCAATGAAAAAAACCACACTGAAAACAATTTAAGCATTTACGAGAAAGAATGCGATGACAAAAGATAGGGTACCTTCCAAAAAATATACACCTCAGGTGTCAAAGGTGTTAGATTTAGCAAGCAAAAGTGTCATGGAAGGCTTATAAGACGCACCAGTCAGGAAGTTAGACAATAATTTTATTGTTTCTTTTAAACAAGAACGGAACAGTAATAGGAAAGTGAACTATTTTCCTTGCCAATGAAAAACACTGTTCATTTCTGTTTGTTTGTTTGTTTGTTTGTTTTAAAAGGAGGTTCCTGACACTTTTAATCACACATGTCATATGGCAACATTTCCTTGAGTGCTTTACTAATTGAGCAGCACACAGAATTAACAGAGAAACAAATCGGCAACAAAACAAAACAAAACCCTCTGAGACAACTGATCCTACGTTCTTCAGTTAGACCATGGAGCAGAATAGCTGGTCATAGGGACAGCCTATGACCCTTTAAAAATCTACAGTTATCTCAATATCCCCACTGCCACCTCTTCCCCCCCCATCCCAATTATGCTTCTTGCGGCACTTCATAGAGGTCAGAAACATGTAGATGTTCCTGGCAGGCAACAGATTAATTATTTGTTAGACAAACCACCTCCCTGGGAGTATCAGAGAACAATTTTATCCTTTATCCTGCTGATGTCTCCAGCCCAGTCACATGCCAGCTTTAAGGGTTGCTTTGGAAACTGCTCTCTGGGAGGTGAGGGACTCTTGGGTTCAGTTAGCACCACAAACGGGCGGAAACAAACAAACAGAGGTGAAGCACCTTTGGGCAGGGGGGTGCAGCAGCTTCATAGCATAGCTTTGTGAAAATCGACCCATCTTTCCTGCTTTTGGGCGAAGAGAGTTTCGCACCTCAGCGCAGCACGCCTGATTCTGCGGCACATGAGGTATGGCAGAGTTTTTCCCAATCCGTAAAGTGAGCCAGCGCGGCATGTTGGATAAAGTGTGTGACTTTTGAACGCAGGGCATTCGGCCTAAGCTTCCTCACTGGGTTGCAGAATAAAAGGGGGGAGATCGGTCACGAATGCTGCCCTGAGCTCTTTGGTGGAAGGGTGCAGCTGAAATCAGAGTGAATCAGGTACAATTCTGCAACAGCAGGCTCTCCAAAACTTGATTTCCCGCAATTGAATTCCCAGCCTTTGCTTATTCCTCTAGCCTCTTGTAAGAATGAATGACCTTTTCTGAAATGTAATGCTGTAAAATGCATTATGAACAAAACAGAATCATGAGACTCATCTATGAAAGGGAGAGAGGGTTGAAATTTTGTAACTTGAATTTGGTTGTTTGGGTGGGGCTGAGTGAGCTTTGTATTCTATGGCTAGAGACACCGGCGGTTGTTCACAAAAAATACACCTTAGCCTCTTCACTGGTTTATTTCCCCAGGACACAATACATTCTGGAGTTTGGGGTTGGGCTGCCATCAGTGTGCTGATGACACCCAACTCTGTCTGTTGATGGATGGCCATCCTGACTCAGCCCCAGACACACTGATCAGATGTTTGGAAGCTGTGGCTGGATGGTTACGTGGGAGCCGGTTGATGTTAAATCCTTCGATGACAGAGGTCCTTTGGCTGGGTCGGGACGATATGGGATTGGGGGGAGCAACTCCCATCTCTTGCGGGGGCGCAATTAGTGCCAGCACCGTCCGTTAAGAGTTTGGGTGTAATCTTTGACACCTCCCTTTCCATGGAGGCGCAGATTGCAGCTATAACAAAGGCGGCATTTTTTCATCTCCGCCAAGCTAAGCAGTTGGCTCCTTACCTCTCTCTCCCTGACCTAGCCACTGTGATCCACGCGACGGTCACCTCCAGACTGGATTATTGTAACTCACTCTACGTGGGGCTGCCCTTGAGACTGACCCAGAAACTCCAGCGGGTGCAGAATGCCGTGGTGAGACTCCTTATGGGGTCCTCGCTGCGGGATCACATTCACCCAGTGCTATAGCAGCCTCACTGGCTCCCGGTGGAGTACAGGATCAGGTTTAAGGTGCTGGTTTTAACTTTTAAAGCCCTATACGGCCTAGGACCATCGTACCTACTGGACCGCCTCTCCTGGTATGTCCCACGGAGGACTTTACGGTCTTCAAATAAAAACATCTTGGAGATCCCAGGCCACAGGGAGGTTAGGCTGGCCTCAGCCAGAGCCAGGGCTTTTTTGGCTGTGCCCCCGATCTGGTGGAACGCTCTGTCACAAGAGACTAGGACCCTGCGGGACTTGACATCTTTCCACAGGGCCTGCAAGGCGGAGCTGTTCCACCAGGCCTTGGGCACAGCCTGACCCCTTCCTTTGGTAATCCTCACAGAACTCTAGCCCAATGGTTGCCATTAATTTGATTTGAACTGATTTTATAATGAATTGATTTTAGAATGCTGTGTTATTTTACTGTTGTTAGCTGCTCTGACCCCAGCTTCGGCTGGGGAGGGCCGGATATAAATAAAATTTTATTTTTATTATTATTCCCAATACTGAATGCACAGAAGCAGCATGCCACCATACCTTAAACCAGGTGGTGGTGGTGAGAGTCTATGGCAGAGCAAAAACCAAATTCTGTGCCCCTGTGTCCCTGCCTGCCTACTCAATTCTATATTTTTGACCAACAGTGGCTCTGCAAAAGTCAAAAGGGTCAGTGGCACCTGCAGCGTGCATGAACAGCACACTGTGTGTCTATACAGAAGGCACTCAGAGCTTCAGTAAGCCAGCTGTTCTTTCACTGTGACCTGGGCAAAAGTTGGAAGTGGGCCACTTTTTCCTCTTATCGCCCATTGACTGCAGTGGCAAGGAATTTCTCACACCATTATGTCATCTTTCCACCTCAAAGAGCCTACAGTGGTACCTCGGGTTAAGAACTTAATTCATTCTGGAGGTCTGTTCTAAACCTGAAACTGTTCTTACAGGGGTAGGCAAACTAAGCCTCGGGGGCTGGATGCGGCCCAATCGCCTCCTCAATCCTGCCCGTGGACGGTCCGGGAATCAGCGTGTTTTTACATGAGTAGAATGTGCCCTTTCATTTAAAATGCATCTCTGGGTTATTTGTGGGGCCTGTCTGGTGTTTTTACATGAGTAGAATGTGTGCTTTTATTTAAAATGCATCTCTGGGTTATCTGTGGGGCATAGGAATTCGTTCATATTTTTTTTCAAAATACAGTCCAGCCCACCACATGGTCTGAGGGACGGTGGACCGGCCCACGGCTGAAAAAGGTTGCTGACCCCTGCCTTAGATGTTTGCTGCCACTCACCTTTTAGGTCTCTGAGGCCTTCCAGAAGATTATAATTCCATAATGATTTAGCATTTTTAACCTTCATGACAGCAGTTTACTCTTCTGTTTTAATTGCAGAGGTGCTCCCATGCCTGTATAATTAGAAGACCTGCTTGTCAAGAGAGCCTACGGTATATGTCACACCATCAATAAATATGTAATAGAAATATAGGAAGGTGCCTTAATTATAATCATCCGTTGGTTGGCTTGTGACTGCTTGTTTATTCCACATATATCAACATATGTTCTCCGTTGCAGAATAGTTAATAAATATTGAGCTGGAGAAAGCAGCCGCTGGCAGTCTGGGACTTGCTTTGGTGGAATGACCGGGCAATCGTGAGAAAAGCTGCCAGCCAAGTCTCCAGGTGCGTAGCATCTTACTGAAGGTAACATTTGGATCCCATTGAAATTAATGAGACGTACATCATCACTAACTTGTCACATTCATTTCAGTAGGGATTCAGTTAATCTAACGTAGTTTGGAACCAACCCGTTCCGCTACTCCTAATGATAGAGATTTGTGTACAGTGGAACATCAGGTTAAGGACTTAATTCGTTCCAGAGGTCCGTTCTTAACCTGAAACTGTTCTTAACCTGAAGCATTTAGCTAATGGGGCTTCCTGCTGCCGCCGGAGCACGATTTCTGTTCTCATCCTGAAGCAAAGTTCTTAAGCTGAAGCACTATTTCTGGGTTAGCGGAGTCTGTAACCTGAAGCGTATGTAAACTGAAGCATATGTAACCCGAGGTACCACTGTATCTCTTGTCAAGAGCAGGTCTACCAGCTGGATAACTCAACTGGTGTGGTGCTGTTAACACCAATGTTACCAAGGTTTGGTAATAGCTGCATATTCCTGCATTGCAAGGGGTCGGAGTAGATCAGGCATCCCCAAACTCGGCCCTCCAGATGTTTTTTGGACTACAACTCCCATCATCCCTAGCTAACAAGACCAGTGGTCAGGGATGATGGGAATTGTAGTCACAAAACAATTGCATGGCTGAGTTTGGGGATGCCTGGAATAGATGGTGCTCAGGGTCCCTTCCAACTCTATGATTCTGTGATCGGGGTGGCTGAATGAAGCAGACAAACTTGTATAATCCACATTAAACATTGGAGTCATGATAGCTAGACTGTAAGGTAAAGGTAACGGACCCCTGACAGTTAAGTCCAGTTGCGAACGACTCTGGGGTTACGGTGCTCATCTTGCTTTACTAGCCGAGGGAGCCAATGTTTGTCTGCAGACAGTTTTTCCAGGTCATGTGGCCAGCATGACTAAGCCACTTCTGGCAAAAACAGAGCAACGCACAGAAACACCATTTACCTTCCCACCGGAGCGGTACCTATTTATCTACTTGCACTTTGACGTGCTTTTGAACTGCTAGGTTGGCAGGAGCAGGGACTGAGCAACGGGAGCTCACCCCGTCGCAGGGATTCGAACCACTGACCTTCCGATCGGCAAGCCCTAGGCTCAGTGGTTTCTGGGTCCCCGTTGATAAACATATAGGACTTCTGAGATATCTGATAAAGCCACAGCACTTAGGAAAATTAAGTATTATAGCACAGCATTTGTCCTTTTTTAACGGAGCTGCCAGAACACAGCCAGCTGAGAAGCATTGGGTAATAGTGCACAGCCACTAGGACTGTGAATGAAGCTGCAATTATAGTGTTAAGTTGTGGGGGAACATATCAGACGACACAGCAATTCTTCAAACAGCTCTTGTTTATTCACAGGCCAGAACAGAACTGAACTGAAGGGTACAGCCAGCCTGCTTATATAGAGCTCCAATAGAACGCAACAGTAACAACTTTCTGTAACTATCCAATCAGTGAACGTCACTTTCGATCCCTTATTTGCATATGTGGACCTGAACTATCTACAGTATCCCCCTGCTGGCCCAGGGTGAGAACTTCAGTACATAACATATAGGACATCTTGCCCCAGAATTTTTAAAGAACCCGGGGACTGAACAGAGAGGCCCAGACCTACTAACTTGACGCTGTTGCATACAGCATTTCGAAATTGCAGCTAGTTCGAGATATATTTTATCATGCCATTTGAATTAAAGTGCCTGTGCTTCTTTCCTTTGGGCTTATTTTGCCCTTCATAATGTTAAGCAGTGTTCGAAACCCCCATTGTTCTAGGCGCATTTTGTTACAGGGAATTTCATCAGCACAAGCAGTTTCTGAGCTCTGGGTGCAGTACTGCGCCTAAGATTTCAGATTAAAACTGCAGAGTGGAAGGAGAGGAGGACTTTTTTCCTGCCTCCCCAATTATAGCTACCCTACTTCTCGCTCCATAAGACGCACCTGACCATAAGACGCACCTAGTTTTTAAAGGAGGAAAACAAGAAAAAAAATATTCTGAACGAAACAGTGGATGTATGATTTTTGTAGTTCATGCTGTGGCCACAGACATGTGATTTGACGGGGAGTTTGGGGTCGCCTCATGCAAAAATCCTGAGGATCCATGTGGATCCGTGCTTTGTAACCACGTTTCTGCGCCATTGCGGCCCCACGAAACAGTGGATGTGTGTGTGTTTTTTGGTGCAGGCTGTAGGCATGGACATGCTATGTGATCTGATGGAGAATTTGGGGTGACCCAGTGCAAAAATCCTGCGGATCCATGTGCTTTTACCTCCCCCCTCCCAGGCAGCCTCCTTTTTCTCTAGAGGCCCTTATCTCCCTCCCGATCGCTTGCCGATCAGCTGCTCAGCGGCTTTGTTTCAACACCCCTTTCCCTCTTGTTTGCCTTAGTGTCTTTTCCTTAGCTGGAGCAGTTTTTTGCTCCTCCTTTTCTTCTAATTTCTCTCCTCATTGCTTTAATCTTCCTGTCTCCCCTTCTTGCAAGTTCGCTGTCTTTACCTCCCCCCTCTCAGGCAGCCTCCTTTATCGCTAGAGTCCCTTATCTCCCTCCCGATCCCTTGCTGATCAGCGGCTTTGTTTCAACACCCACTTTCCTCTTTCTAAAAAAAAAAAAGCACGATCTGACATTTCCCCTTACATTTTAGGAGGAAAAAAGTGCATCTTATGAAGCGAAAAATACGGTACTCTCTGAAGACTAGAGAAGAGATGGTCTTAAGAATATTAGGGGTGGGTGGGCAGGGGAAGGACTAGACCATGTGAAAGGCGAACGTAATATTTTAGCCGCAGTTTGTTCATTTTCAGCTTTGTTTTCCTGTTTTTTATATATATTAAAAAGTGCCCTGTTGCACCCATAACTTAGGTTTTAAGGTGCCATTTAGCTCCTAGCTTCCTGTCTCAGTTTCTAACATTGATGTTAAGCGTATATTTCTCTGGTTAACGTGGTATCTTCAGTGCTGTGAAGATTGCCCTGTTTGACAGGAACAGATTCCATGTGGAGTATTGCTTATTATTATAATAGAACACGCCAGGCTGTATTGTGAGCTGCATGTAGCTTGTGCTTGTCCCCAGAGAGAGAGAGATGTGCAATCTGAGTTTGTGTGACATCACAGAGTCATAGGCAGAAGGTTCCACACCGGAACTGTGACAGTTGGGGAAGCAGTTGCGGAGGATGTTGTGAAGAGGGGGAGCATCTGGGCCATCTGTGGGGTGCATACCAGACTACATCCACGGCTGATCATGAGGCTTTCCTAAGTTAACATCCCTCTGAACTGAAGGAGGACTGTGCAGACTGCCTTCTATATGAGGTTGTGCCTTTTTTCTCTAAAGATCGCGTTGGGAAGGCTTGCTTTCATAACTGGAAGTTAGAATACCCAGGAGTGCATGTTGCCTGTTTTAAATCGTTGCTACACTAATGCCTTAGCTAGTGAGCTCTGCACGTTCTAAAGCAGGGTGTCCCAAACTTGGGTCTCCAGCCGTGTGTTTTTTGGACTACAATTCCCATCATCCCTGACCACTGGTCCTGCTAGCTAGGGATGATGGGAATTGTAGTCCAACAATAGCTAGAGACCCAAGTTAGGGAAAGCCTGTTCTAGAGGGACAAATTCTTCATCTGGACTGCATGAGATGCTGCTTTTTCTTTCCATTGTGGCTTCTAAGGTTAAAAAAAAAAAAGGTAAAGGACCCTTGGATGGCTAAGTCCAGTCAAAGGCGACTACAGGGTTGCAGCACTCATCTCACTTTCAGGCCGAGGGAGCCGGCGTTTGTCCACAGACAGCTTTCCAAGTCGTATGGCCAGCAGGACTAAACTGCTTCTGGTGCAACGGAACACTGTGACGGAAACCAGAGCACACGGAAACACCATTTACCTTCCCACTGTGGCAATACCTATTCATCTACTTGCACTGGTGTGCTTTCGAACTGCTAGGTTGGCAGGAGCTGGGACAAAGCAACGGAAGCTTACCCTGTCACGGGGATTTGAACCACCGACTTTCTGATCGGCAAGCCCAGGAGGCTCAGTGGTTTAGACCACAGCGCCACCCGTGTCCCTAGTTGTGGCTTCTGTCTTGACGTAGCAAGGGAAACCTTGCTTATACAGTTTCTGCTCTGTTAACATACAGGACCTAAGGGTCTCCCACAGAAATTCATTTTTAAATTTTTTGCTCAGTATGGATTCGTATGCCGGGATGAATGCGTTTACTTGGGAATCCTAGGAGCACAGCAAAGGATCACTTTCTAAGACCAGGAAGAATCCAGTTAAATGTGTAGCAAGGTGAGGAATGGCTGCAACCTCTTTTCCAGCGAATTACTAACTTGTCTGTTGTTTCTTCAGTACAGTTTGGTGAAATGAAACAAGCCCATCTCTTGCTCTTTGCCTCAGTGGTGGTGATAACATGCTGCATGTAGCCCAGAGATAACATTTCCAGAAATGCTGCGGCCATGGAACCTTTTCCACAAAAAGAAAAGCAAAAAGGGAAGCAGGGTGCGTGTGCTTTAGAATAAGTGCAATGTTTACTTTCTTAAATGTTTGTGTGTAACTTAAATTGTCCTTCTTAGCCTGTTTATAAAATGTAAAAAATATAAATGCTTTTGTTTTAAACAGCAATCAGAAATGTACCCGTTGTTAGAAATGAAACTGCAATCTGCTGGTTTCTAGAAGCACAGTCCTTTGCATGTCTGCTTATAAGTTCCCGTATGTTAAATAGAAATTACTCCCAAGTAAGCGTGCATAGGATTGCAGCCAAAGGTAATTTAGGATTGCCTGCATGCTAGAGTAATTTAGTGCTGTTGAGGCACTGCTTTTCTGTAGCTAGCTGGAAGTGGAATTAAAATGGAGATTCTATACAAGACTATAGCACCATATTATCCAGCAGTCGCTGGATATGTTATTCAGGTAATGTTCTTTCCTGTTCTTTCCTGTTTTGTTGCTTTCTATTTATCCCAGCTTAAGGGCTTTTTAAAATCAATTTTATATCCTTTCCTTCCTCTTGAAAAGGAGCCCAGGATGGTTCACAGCATAAAAAAGTATAGGGGGGAAATGAATATTAAAACATTTTTCAGAGTTGGAGAATCACAATCACAGAGCCTCCAGCTGTCCCTATTTTTCAGGGACAGTCCTGGATTTACAGAAGCCATCTCGGTTTCTGATTTGATCCTGGAATGTCCCGGTCTTCCTTAAGTCATCCTGATTTTCATCAGAGAAATGTTGCAGGGTGTGGAGTTATGCGACCCCCCGAGCCAAGGAGATAAGTAACTATACAACCTTTAGAAGACATCTAAAGTCAGCCCTGTATAGGGATGGTTTTTTAAATGTTTTATTGTGTTTTTATATGTGTTGGAAGCCACCCAGAATGGCTGGGGCAATCCAGTCCGATGGGCAAGGTTTTATTATTATTATTATTATTATTATTATTATTAATTCTTATTATTATATAGGACACCCCTATTTTCATCAGAGAAATGCTGGAGGGTATGCAATCAGCATGTAAAACAGCGACATATAATATAATAGTGTCTGGTTTACTTTACAAAGGTTAAGGCAAGTCTCCATATGCTGAGAGATAGTTGAGCGATCAGCTAGGTACAGAGTCCCTAGGACAGAGAAAATGTGGCTTTTGCTATTTGTAGGCACAGAGGAGCCAAAGCTGCATTCAAGAAGACATCCACAAATCTATCCTTCATCCTCAGCCTGGGTTCAATGGGAAGATATTCTGAGTAGCTCTCCAGAGCTCACCATGCGTCTATGGTCTTCTGTATCTCTTAACAGCATTTCCAATTGCCCCTGTTTCAGATCACTCACCAAGTTTGCCGTTGTTCTTCTTAGGCTACAGATGTTAAGTGCAGCCCTCCTCTCAAAAGAAAGGATGAACCCGGGAAATCGGAGGTTATTTCAGGCAGGTATGGTTCTTGCACACCTGAATCCATCACCACACATAAAATACAGGTATATTCTCTGCCAGCTCCATCATATTATTTAAGCGAGGAGCAGGTGGCGCTGTGGTCTAAACCACTGAGCCTCTTGGGCTTGCTGATCAGAAGGTCAGTGGTTCGAATCTGTGCGACGGGGTGAGCTCCCGTTGCTCTGTCCCAGCTCCTGCCAACCTAGCAGTTCAAAAGCACGCCAGTGCAAGTAGATAAATAGGTACCGCTGCGGCGGGAAGGTAAACGGCGCTTCCGTGCGCTCTGGTTTCCGTCACGGTGTTCCGTTGCGCCAGAAGCGGTTTAGTCCTGCTGGCCACATGACCCGGAAAGCTGTCTGTGGACAAACGCCGGCTCCCTCGACCTGAAAGCAAGATGAGCGCCGCAACCCCATAGTCGCCTTTGACTGGACTTAGCCATCCAGGGGTCCTTTACCTTTTATTATTTAAGCAATTATTTAAGCCTTTTAACAGGACACACAAGCACCGCCCCTGAAGCACCTCTGCAGCACTATCCTCCTTTTTTTCCTGCCTTTTGACCTCTTTCCACACTTTTCAGTTTGTGTTGTTCTATCTTACAGAGTCACCTTTCTGGGTGCTCCCCTGAAGATGTTTTAGACATCACCCTTCCTGTGAGAGTTAGCTTCCCCAGACGGAGGGGTGTAGCCTATCTCTCCTCTGTCTGGGAGAAGGCCACTTTTTTTACCCTGGTCGCCACTGCCAGGTGTTTCCATGCCAAGTGCTAAGGGCTCTTTTCTGGAAGAGGGCATTGCCAGAGACTGATACCAGGCACAATTCTAAGCAATTTCTGCTCAGTGAGACAACCTGGCTTCTCCCACTGTCTGTGGTTTTAGCCAATGAGTGAAGTCGGAGCTCTGATGGACAAATGAGTTGTTGGACACCAACAACACTAAACCCTGGGGTACGAAAGAGCTGTTGTTTCCCCCTCCCCTTCAGTGCATTTCTACAGTATCTCTTCTTATTTTTCTCCAAGGGATCTCTGTAGTTTGCCCTGTTTTCCAGCAACTAGGATGCATATTTCATTGGGTTTGATCAGATACTCCCAAGGAGTTCTTTTCTGTAAGTTCTACTACACAGTAAACGTGGGCGGATGTTAAAAGAATCCCCCCCTCTCCGCCAGAAGCCAAATGTTTGGAAAGAGGTTTAGGAAATTCTCATGCAGTGTGTGAGATAAAGACCAGGCACTCATGGAGAATTCCCCATATTCTTAACCTGCAGTACAATGGTATACATGGCTACTCAGAAGGAAGCCTCTGTGTTTAATGGGGCTTGCTCCCAGGCAAGTGTGTAAAGGATGGCAGCCTAGGCATTGGTTTAGGGTTGGTATTGAGGGACACGGGTGGCGCTGTGGGTTAAACCACAGAGCCTAGGACTGGCCGATCAGAAGGTCGGCGGTTCGAATCCCCGTGATGGGGTGAGCTCCCTTTGCTTGGTCCCTGTTCCTGCCAACCTAGCAGTTCGAAAGCATGTCAAAGTGCAAGTAGATAAATAGGTACCACTCCGGCGAGAAGGTAAATGGCGTTTCCGTGCGCTGCTCTGGTTCGTCAGAAGTGGCTTAGTCATGCTGGCCACATGACCCGGAAGCTGTACACCGGCTCCCTCGGCCAATAAAGCGAGATGAGCGCCGCAACCCCAGAGTTGGTCACGACTGGACCTAACGGTCAGGGGTCCCTTTACCTTTACCAATTGAGGAAAACAAGGTTCCTGTGCCTTTAGGAGCTGTGTGGCAGGCAGAAATTAAACAGGTTGTTAGTTTGGAAACACATTAGGGGAAAGTTTAATCGTCACAGTACAGGTAGCGCCCCCACCCCAGTTAATGTGCATTCAGTAGGTGTGCAGCTGTGTATATGCACATCGCACTGAACCCAGAAGTGACCCAGAAACGTCACAAAGGCGTCACTGAAACATCACTAAAAGGACATAACCTGGGGCAGGGCAAGGCAGAATGGGGTGTTTGCAGGCTTTTTCAATGGGTTTCAATTATACGCAATTTCACACAGGCACGAGATGCCTCGGAAGGTAACGCAGACGGGGATCTGTCTGTACTCTCTCGTTTTGTGTTTTGTCAGGCCCCAAGAGCTGCCATTTTGTGACTGGTGCCTACCGTACTTTCTCAAAATTCCACTTGTGCCCACTGGCCCCAAAACATTGGTGACTCCTGAGCAAAGCTTTAGTTGTGGTTCCTGCATTGCAGGGGGTTGGATTAGATGACCCCTGGGTTGCCTTCCAACTTTGTGAATCCTCAGAATCACTATGGAAGTGCTAAGTATTATTATTAAGAATTTGTGTTTTACTTTTAGTAGCTGGGATTTAAATTAAGGCTCCCCAGGCTGAACATCTGGAGAATGATGAGAGTTCTTCCCCATCTTCTGATAGGAAAAATACCTCGATGGCTGACAGAAAACTTACACAAAAGTCACGTGTTCGTTTTTTATTTACCATTAGGCTAGTGGCCACTAATTAATGATACGATGTAGACTTGGAACAGCGGAATAAAATGTCACTTCGCTCTGATATGTTGGGACTTGAAGTACCAGAAGGTCCTTGACCTGGGACCAGAGGCATGTTGGGCAGGAATTAAGCATGGCCAAAAACAGGAGTACTGCAAGAGACCCTATGGAGTACCAAATAAATAATTTTAACAGCCTGATCTGAGTTGAATGAAAGCTTCCACACCATTTTCACTCACAGATCTGAGCAGCAAAGACGCTCAAGTTGTGCCGTGTTCTTTAAAAGAAACTGCTTCGTAAACCACTGAGCAGGAGTTTGGACTGACACGTAGCTTCCACCTGGTGCAAAAGAAGTTGGGGTAAAGGTGTAGCTTGCAACAGGGGACTCCACATTCCTGTGCGGTAATCAGCAAAGAGAAAGAAAACAGTGAGACAGGTGCTTTGAGGTTGTTTAACTTTAGCACTGCCGCGTGGTAGCAGTTTCTGCCATTTCCAATATAGAATGTTAAGTGAATAACGTCGTTCTACAGCCTGCAGAGAAACAAGCTTGAAACACAGAAAATGGAAACAACAGAATCAGAGGGTTACGTGAGTGAAGATGAAGACGTAGCCAAGAGACTGTCTACCCTGCCCAGAGGTACCTACATAGATATCTGCATCAGCTGGTATAAATCTCATTTACCTTTTGGTCTCATTGAAGCAACGCCATTATTAGTAGTAGTAGTAGTAGTAGTAGTAGTAGTAGTAGTACACTGGTTGCCCCAGCCACTCTGGGCAGCTTCCAACAAACATAAAAGCATAATAAAGCCAAACATTAAAACTTCCCTCTACAGTTGTACCTTGGAAGCCGAACGCCTTGGCTCCTGAACGATCAAAACCTGGCAGTGAGTGTTCCGGTTTTGGAACGATTTTTGAAAGCCGAACGTCCAGCGCGGCTTCCACAGGTTCTCATTGGCTGCAGGACGCTCCCGCAGCCGATCGGAAGCCGCGTTATGTTCGAAAACCAAGGTACCACTGTACAGGGCTGGCTTTAGATGTATTCTAAAAGTTGTATAGTTATTTAGCTCCCTGACATTTGAATTTACTGTGTAGTAGCATCTACAGAAAATAACTTGTAGTGAATACCTGATCTCAGGTAATGCTCCCATGATGGCATAGTTGCCCATCATGACTGGAGTATCTTCTTTCCCCTTCTTATGTCCCATGCAGAGGTCAGGATAGCAGCCTTTGAGACCTTGTACCATAGGGCCTTGGCTGAGTTGGGAATAGGCAGGTACCTTTCTGTGGAGAGTCCTGTCCACCCGACCTCTCCAACCAAAAGCAAATGATTCCTTTTATATCAATCTGATAGGGGCGCCACTTGTCAGTGATGAAGAGTTGACTGAAATGTCAAAGATATCGCAAAGGAAAAGCGGTTCAAACTGTAATACTGAAAATCTAATCCAGAAGCTTCAAAAGCAGATTGAACAGGAAGAGGTTCTGAAGGAATATGTGGTGAGTGCTCTACCTCTTCAGGCCTGAGTGTTGCTATTTCAGCAGCAATAAGCAGAATTATTTTCCTCTATTATGAGACAATTGTGGTACTGTACCAGTATTGTTACGGTGCAGTCCGTACCCATGTCTGCTCATGAATTCGGTAGGGGTTGCTTCCCGGTAAGTGTGTACTGATTTAAAGTATCTCTGAAATATTGAGAGAAAGATGTGTTCTGTTTCTGGAAGAAGGTACAGAAAACTCCAGTTTAGATGCTTAGAAATACCATGACAATTCTAATAACATTTAAGGTTTAGTAGACATGAATGCTAAGGACGCAGGTGGCACTGTGAGGTAAACCACTGTGCCGCTTGGGCTTGCTGAACGAAAGGTCGCGGTTCGAATCCCCGTGACGGGGTGAGCTCCCATTGCTCTGCCCCAGCTCCTGCCAACCTAGCAGTTCGAAAGCACGTCAAAGTGCAAGTAGATAAATAGGTACCGCTGCGTTGGGAAGGTAAATGGCGTTTCTGTATGCTGCTCTGGTTTCGCCAGAAGCGGCTTCGTCATGCTGGCCACATGACCCGGAAAAACTGTCTGCTGAAGTGGACAAACGCCGGCTCCCTCGACCTGTAAAGCGAGATGAGCGCCACAACCCCAGAGTCGTTCACGACTGGACTTAATTGTCAGCAGTCCCTTTACCTTTAGACTTGAGTGCTAGCTATGAATCAGATGGATTATCTCTTACAAAAAAAAGAGAGGAAAAATGGATTCACTGAATGCACACACATAAAACCCCCACATATATACTCCTACTCATGTCTCTGCAAATGAAGGATGTTGAATTTTACCTTTCTTTTAGAGCTTAGAGCACATGAAGCCAACCGATGACTGCCAGATTGCAGCAGCAGCAGAAAACCGGGAAAAGAACAGATACCGAGATATCCTCCCATGTAAGGAATTGTCTCTGTGGCAGTCTAGGGAGAACGTGGGGGAAATGCATGAATGAGGACCGAACGTGTAATTTGCTCAATGCCAGCTCAGCTGATTAGAGTGTGTGGTGGGTTGGTTAGAACATTTACCTGTGATTTTAAATCTTGGACCTAGGCCTTAAGATTTTCCACTGGACAATTACAATAATTCGATTTCATTCTGATATGAGAAACCAGCTCTATAGCTCACACACAATTTACAGCTCATGTGTATATTATATATTTACTTGCTTTGGGGGGTTTTGTGTGTGTGCCTATAACTCAGTAGCACTCAACAGACTGGACTTGTTCTGAACCTGGTCCCTAAGGGATTTAATCTATGTACATCTCCATCCACACAACTGGAGAGCTACAGCCTATCAACTTGCAGCTCTTGCTCCAGGCTCTCGTCCTGGATGGTGCTGATTTTCTGGACCCAATCCAGTCGGGCTCCAGCATGGTTTGAGAATGAAGTGCCTTCAGTCAATCTGGTGGGTGACCTGACCAAGAAACTATAGGTAGCGGGTCTCCTTGTTGATTTTCCTAGACCTCCCAGCTGTGTTTTATATTCGGCCATGATATACTCCGTCTTAGAGGGGAATTGGGACACTATTTGCAGTGGTTCCTCTTTGTTTGTTTGTTTGTTTGTTTGTTTGTTTGTTTGTTTGTTTAGAAAAGGTATACTCTGCCCCTTCAGTATTGCTACTTCCAAGGCAACTATTGAGACCAATGAAACAGATAAAAACAGCACCACACAGGCAAGCTGTAAACAAATAGATACATACGTGGGATATTTTGTTAGAAAGCACCCCATGTTGATATTGTCAGGAGCTCAGCCTACACTTGAGTAGGACCCTGGTAGAGACACATGCCCGACTGGCATGTTCTCCTGGTCAATCATTCGGAAGCATCAAAAGCTTTCTTCAGTCCGAACATCACAGCGACCAATGCGAACAGACACCGACACACTTAGGGATCTGCAGAGTTTGCGCATCATGCGTAACAGACCTCAGCAACTCAGCATTTTGGCTAATTTAATATGTAAATAAACACACACGGAGCACTGCAACATGGCTCCCTCTCTCTCTAGCATCAGACAGCAAAGAGAAAAAGAACAAAGGACAATAGTCCCACTTCACAGAACACAGTAACACAAACATCCTGTCTCTGTCACTTCCCACTCTGCGGAGTCAAACCATATACCGTCATGTGATAGACAACAATCCCATGACTGCAATCACGGAGCAGGAATTCTAACAACTATTTCATGGTGTAGTCTGCAGACTGTAGAGAAGGCTTAGAGGCCTGGAAGGGCTCATCTGTATTCCTTCCTAGACGACAAAACACGGGTTCCCCTAGGAGAGGCTGAAGGCTACATCAACGCCAGCTACATCCGCGTGCCAGTGGGCAAGGAAGAGTTCTTCTACATCTCCACCCAGGGGCCTCTGCCTTCCACCGTGAGCGACTTCTGGCAAATGGTCTGGGAAAACCAATCCAATGTCATTGCCATGATAACAAGAGAAACGGAGCGAGGAACATCCAAATGCCACCGCTACTGGCCTGAGACCCCCCAGGACACTCTAATGGATCTGAGTCAGTTTCAGCTGCGAATGAGTAACTACCAGATCCTAGACTGCTTCATCATTAGAGTGATAGAAGTTACAAAGAAACAGGTATGGCGTCCAGGTTTACACAAGAAAGAGACTTGTCACAGATGCCAAGCTTGCCCTATGCACATAATGAGAATAGTGATTAATAATAATAATAATAATTTTTTATTTATACCCTGCCCTCCTCAGCCAAGACCGGGCTCAGGGTGGCTAACAACCAATAATAAAAACAAGTTGATTAAAATACAATTTAAAAGATTAAGATACAACATTAAAACATTAGGGTGCAATCTCTTCATAGGAGGAGAAAGGAAAAAGAAAGAGGGGGAGGGAATCAAACTGATTCTAAGCCAAAGGCCAGGCGGAACAACTCTGTCTTACAAGCCCTGCGGAAAGAGATCAGATCCTGCAAGGCCCTGGTCTCATGAGACAGAGCATTCCACCAGGCCGGAGCCAGTGTTGAGAAGGCCCTGGCTCTGGTTGAGGCTAATCTAACTTCCTTGGGACCTGGGACCTCTAGGGTGTTGCTATATAAGGTCCTCCGTGGGGCATATCAGGAGAGGCGGTCCCGTAGGTACGAGGGTCCTAGGCCGTGATTAAGTTATATTTGTTTGCTGAATTTTTCTTCTCTTCCGTTTGCACGAGGAAAGTGATGGTTGAGCTATGTGCATCATTAGAATAGTGATTAAGCTGCCTTTCTTCGCCCAATATTTCTTCTCTTCTGTTCAGTGATGCCAAATCAGCACAAGTCTCCAGCCTGCCTGTCTGATAATATTGTTTCCAGTCTTGCGCATGGCAAGGCATTCAATCCTCCCCTTTTGGAGGAAGTGTTTTGGAAGATGTGCATTTTGGAACTGTTAATGAGTTGTGTCCTGCTTTGTAATGCCTTTGCCTAAGTACGTTTCCCTGTTGCCTGTGACCTTGGCTGTTACAATGCTGTTTCAATGTTCAAGATGCGGGAATATAAGACTTCTCAGAGAGGCATCTAGTAATCCTGTCCCTTCACAGCCGCCTCGTAGGTGGAAAGGGAAGAGGCCAAGACAGCGGTTGACCGCTGGGGGGTGGGGTGGGGACAACATTTATTTTATTTACCGTAACAAATGAATTGTAATCAGTGCTTTTTTTCTTAAAAAAAATATTTAGGGGTACTCTCATTTTGACTCATGAAAATCACCATTTTATAGTTCACTTCAGGAAAAATAAATACAGTAAATGTACAAAAGTACAAAGATTCACAAAAATGTTTGGAGGTATGCGTACCCCCAGGAAAAAAAGCACTGATTGTAATAAAACTTTTAAGAGGTTTACAAAAATTAAAAACAGAATATAGTGGTACCTCGGGTTAAATACTTAATTCGTTCCAGAGGTCTGTTCTTAACCTAAAACTGTTCTTAACCTGAAGCACCACTTTAGCTAATGGGGCCTCTTCTTTTCTTATTCTGAAGCAAAGTTCTTAATCTGAAGCAGTATTTCTGGGTTAGCAGAGTCTGTAACCTGAAGCGTATGTAACCTGAAGTGTATGTAACCCGAGGTACCACTGTATTAAAATTATTATTAATAAGAGACTGTTAAAAGCAGGGCTTGCATAGGGGTTTTGTGTTGTTAGTAGCGTCAGGGGACGCAGACTGCAGATTTCGACTGAATTGCTTGCTTTCCCGAATTCTGATTTTGAGAAGAGGGGAATCTTCCCATGACTAATTGCGTAACGGCTAGTTCTTTGACTCCTTCTGCTGTAGACACTTGAGAAGCGCTCTGTGCACCACCTCCAGTTTACATCCTGGCCAGACCACGGCACTCCCACGTCATCAAAAGATCTTGTCAAATTTGTCCGATACATGAGAAAAATCCACCAGTCAGGCCCCATCATCACTCACTGCAGTGCCGGGATTGGAAGGAGTGGAGTGCTGCTTTGTGTGGATATTCTGTTGAGCTACATCGAAAAAGATATGCCTGTAAGTTCACTAAAATCCTCGTTCCATCCTTAGCAGGTATGCTGTGTTGGGATGCTCGCTATGTGCACAGGCAGTGAGAACATAAAGGTGAGGGGAAAGGCTGAATAGACTGGTGGGAGTTGTGGTGATCTCGGAATCAAGAGACCCAACTGTGGACTCATGGTTTTGTAGAATCACAGAATTGTAGAGTTGGAAGGGACTTTGAGTGTATAGTAATGATCTCTGTCAGGTGAGCAGCCTGATAAGCAGCGAAAGACTCTCCGTCAGTTTTATACAAGTTTATTTAAAAGAAAAACACATTCAGAGCATGGTGTTCTGCCTGCTCTCATTAATCTTAGTTGCTCAGTCTGACTCATCGTTCCTCCCCCAACAAGAAGATCGCCAAAATTCTGCCTTTCGTCTCCTTCCTTTCTGTTGCTCTCCGAGCTTTTATAATCTCCTCGTTTTAAGACTACAGGGCTGGGCTACCTCTTCCTCAGAAGACTCAGCCTCTGACACTGGCTTATCTGCTGGTTGCCTGGCAGCACCTTAGTCGACTTCCAACTCTTCCTCCCCTTGGGAGCTAACTGCTTCTTCCCTGGAGAGGAGGGACCGCAGGCTGCTCTCTCTAAAATCAGACAGACAGTTCTCATCTACAGTCAGCCTTTTCTTCACTCGGCTCTATTTCCGAGGCTGACTCTTTTGCTGAGCTCGGGGGGGGGCGATGTTCCTGACACCGAGAGTCCTCTAGTCCAGCCCCCTGCAATGCAGAAATCTCAGCTAAAGGATCCATGACAGATAGCCATCCAACCTCTGTTTAAAAACCTCCAAGGAACCTCCCCATTTGCCATGAACTCTCCAGGTGGCATCAGAAAGCCAAAGGCTTGTCTCAGCATTAGCTTCTTCCTAGCTAAAATGCAGGGATAAGAATACTGACTTGCCTCAAAAGGGTTCTTGCGGGGGTACCCCATTATTATCAGAAGTTTGATGTGGGCTCCGGCTGCCCTCTCCTACTGGTCCCCAAGGGTGGCAAATAAGTCGGCCTTCTTTATTCCCGCAGTTTGACATCAAGCAGATAGTAACGAATTTGCGGCAACAGCGCTGCGGCATGATTCAAACCAAGGTAAGGAGATCGAGCTCAGTTGTCTCCTTACACAAACTGCACGGAGTTAAGTGGTTTACTTGTGCAAGAACAACGAGCGACTCTCAAAGCCTGAGAGCAGGAGCTGCCTACTTTTTGCTTCCCATTGTGAAGAGGCCTTAGCAATCAATTGTGTCAAGGATGTGGCTCAGAATCTAGGCTTCATTTGTGCTTGGGGTTATCCACCTGAGCCAAGGAGCCTGTTTTAGTATCATTCTCTCTCGAAACCTGCAAAACAAGGGTGACTTTCTCTGTGGAAGGAGTAGCAGGAATTCTGCAGTTTTTAGACACTATTAAAACCCCTGCGCTCCCCCCTTTGGGAGATTAACTGCATCTTATTAGCAGGGAGATGCATCTCTGTCATTTTACAGTCCACTACAGAAAACCCAGAGAACAATTTTTCCCTTTAAAAAATTACATTTGATGGTTCATAGAACCTTTCCGTATTTGGGTCGTTTTATAAAGTTTGAAAAAGGTGTGTCTTCTGGTCCCTTAGCAGTGCATGCTCTCTTGCTTGGATCCTGACCCAAACATTGCAAATCCTCTGAAAAGCCAATTAAATGATCTTGCAATTATGTGTGTGCATGGATGTTTAATTTCCCAAGGGAGCAGGATTTCAGTTCCATTGGAATTGGGCTTGTGATTGGATTTTTCAAAACCCGTAACTGGCCCTGTATAGTAATTTAGAGAGAGCAAAAGCAAATGTTCAAAAGGGGAGGGGAGGTCCTGCTTGCTTTATCTTAGCAGAGTTTCCCAAACATGGGTCTCCAGCTGTTTTTGGACTACAATTCCCACCATCCCTGACCACCGGTCCTGCTAGCTAGGGATGGTGGGAGTTGTAGTCCCAAAACATCTGGAGACCCATGTTTGGGAAAGCCTGACTTAGAGCCTTGGATTAGCTCAGGAAATGAAGCCTGTTATTTCTGGTTGTTGTTTCCAGGTAAGTCAGTGCAACGTCAAGTCTATCTGAGGTGAGCAGGGGCAAGCTTGCCCATCTCTCTCTCTCTGTTTGCCACAGTTCTTCAGGGGGAACTACTCCTGATTTGAAGGAAAAACCTAAAACCGAAATAGTACTATAGCAGCTGTGGGAATGTTCAGGGATGCAGGAGAGGATATATTGTCTGATTATATCCTTATCCAACTTGTGTTAACAAGTTCCACAATTTCAGCAGAGTAACATTCCCCTTATTTTAAACTTTGCAACGGATGTGTTTGCTCAGGCTCGCTAAAGCCTCTATAATAACTGTTCTGGTATTTTCCCCTTATTCCCTCATAAAATATAAGAGACGACACAGTCTTTTACAAAAGTATAAAAAGAGTTTACTCACATTCTGTTCACAATCAGATCCCAGAAGGCAGACTTAGCTTAATGAAGTAACATACACTTGGAATCTATCTCGTAAGAAGACAGTCCCTTCGTCCTCTCTTGGCTGGAAGCCAAGAGGGCATCTTTGGCTTAGTAGATGTTGTTTCTTCGATGCATGTGGTGAAAGAGAGAGAGATGGCTGCCCTGCCCTGTGCTTTTGTCATTACCTGCACAGGTGAGGCCACACCCACCTCTAGTCACATGCAGAGGAAGTCTATCCCAGCCCAGAAGGAAACAGGAAGTTTACCTGCTGGCTGGACAAATATTCCTCCCCATGTGTAAACATGTTCACTCTAGGAATGTTGTATTTGACTGCTCTTGTGTTTCACATCCTACAGCAGCAAGCATTAGCCAAGCGATTGTCCCCACTGAATAGTCTCTTTCTGATCTGCTTGCATTAGGAGAGGTGGCTTCTAATCCGTTGCTTTGCAAAGAGAACTATAAATACGAGAGTAATGCAGGTAGAAAATAAAGTAGCCTTTGGCTCAAGGTTATGCCAAGTTTTTTCTGCAACACATTCCTTGAGTCTTTGCAGACTCAGCAATGAAATGTTTCTGCTCTGGGAAAGAGAAGGGAGACACAGATTGTCCCAGAGCCAGAAAATTCATGAGCCTAGCAAGTTTTCTCTGTCTTTCATCCTATGATAAGGAATATAACTGGCTGTTTCCTTCTTCATGCCCAGGAGCAGTATATGTTTTGCTATGAACTAGCTCTTGAAGTCTTGAAGAACATTCAGAGCACGAATTCCTAGCCGGCGCAATAAGCAAAGCCACGCTGCCGCCACCTGTCTCAGATCCGCCTTGTTACTTGAAACTCTTTCCATCGAGATGGCCATGAGAGGTGCTGTACAAGTAGGGGATTTTTTTTTCCTGTTTCAGGGCTTGACAAACGTGGATTTCTAAAGCTTTATGCAGGCAAAGTTGACACAGTGGGTGTAGACAAATGTCTGGTAACTAGCCATAAAAAAATCTGCTTGCAACTGAATTCAGTTCTGCTAGTATTTGTAACGGTTTGGGCTTAATGGCTGCGTGGCTCTGTCCCTCGGATGAATGGCAGCTGGAAGGAAGTAGACTTTAAGCCACACAGGACCTTGCTGTCTTCACCTACCTGAAAAAGGGGGGGCTGTGTTTTGAATAGAGGTGGCTTGTTTGATATGGCACTGCCCCCGCCCCATTCTCATTCAAGCTCCTGAAAACCCAGGTATCCTTGGCTGCTTCGCTTTATCACTGGTGATAGGACAGAGCCAGTGTGGTGTAGTGGTTAAGAGCGGTAGTCTCGTAATCTGGGGAACCGGGTTCGCGTCTCCGCTCCTCCACATGCAGCTGCTGGGTGACCTTGGGCCAGTCACACTTCTCTGAAGTCTCTCAACCCCACTCACCTCACAGAGTGTTTGTTGTGGGGGAGGAAGGGAAAGGAGAATGTTAGCCGCTTTGAGACTCCTTAAAGGGAGTGAAAGGCGGGATATCAAATCCAAACTCTTCTTCTTCTTCTTCTTTAAGTAGAAGATGAAACTCACAGAGAAAGTGTTTTAGCAGTTACAGGAGACAACGTTTTTGTCACCAGGACTGTGAAATGACAGGCACCTCATCTTTTTATCCAGTGTGTTTTGATTCAAGAAAAGTAGTGGTTGGCTGGCTGGCTGGCTGGTTTTTAATAACAGAATGGCCATGTATGTATGCATCTAGTACACTAGACTTCTGAAATTTAGCTGCCCAACTAGAATGGCTTCTGCAGGGAATCTGTGATGCAGCCCTTTGGATAAAACGAGAGGATGCCAGGTTTGCATTGGAGTCATTCATGTTCTTACTCTCCCTGCAAAAACCCATGTCCTGAAATTTCAACACAGTTTCCAAAAGGAGAATGAATTGTCATGAAGGAACGAACAGAGTTTTGTACATAACGTAAGTAAGGTGTGCTAAGGAGAATGGTGCAAGTGCCATTTCTGATTGAGCCAGAGTTTCCAAACTTGCAGCCGGTATCTGTAACAGCTGCCTGGTCCCCAAGCCAGCAGCAAAAAGCTACAGCTTTTGCCACTCTTCACACATCTCAAGTTACATGGTTCCCCGCCCCCCTACATGCCAAGTCAATCTCTGGGATGGAAATTTAATAATCATGAAGCAACCCTCCGAACCTATCTAACTTCTCCATGTCTATAATCTTGTGATAGACGAGTTGAACTCCCTTCATCGCTGTCCATTGGCCATGTTGGTAAGGACTGATGGGAATCCAAAACATCTGGAGGGTACCAGGTTGGCTATCCTGATGCAATCCATGACATCTTTGTGGTGTGCCTTACAATGAAATTACCCATCACAAGAGAAATCTGGGTGATCAACCCTAGGTCTCCCTCCCAACACTGTATGGCTGGCGGCATTTGCCTGGGAGAATTAGCAGGCTCACTCCACCATTTAAGATCATCCCCCAGCTGTGCTCCAAACTCAGGGGGGAAATGACCCGGCTAGGGGCATCTGCTGGGGAGAATTGGCGGGTGCAGGAGAGCCCTAGTCTGCTGATTCTCTCATGCCTGTGGGTTTGGTACCAAACTTTTGCCAAGGTGATGCTTTTCCAGGAGAGATGTTTTGGAAGCAGACTGCCTAGAGAAAGAAGGTCACCTCCTTTTAGAAACAGGCAGTATACACAGTTAAGTGTGGGGATGTTCAGGGAGGCAGGAGAGGATGGATATATTGTTTATTGTTGCGCTAGCAAGTTCCTTTACTTAGCAAAGTTTCACATCCCCCTTTTAAACACACAGCAGATAGCTGGTTGCAAGCTTCTGTAAGTTCCCTTAATATCCCTCTTAAAAGAATAAAGACACCACAGTCTTATTCATAAGTAAATAAAAAAAGTTTACATACATCAGGCAGAGCACAGTGTGATCCCTGAAGGCAGACTTAGTTACAAAGTATATACATGTAGAGTTATCCTATATGGGGATAATCCCAGTGTCTTCCGTTGGCTGGAAGCCAACAGAGCATCTCTAGCTAAAAAGCTGCTCCAACGACGGAGGAAGTAAAAGAGAGAGAGAGAGAGTGCTTTGTGCCTTGTCCTTTTTGTTACCTGGACAGGTAAGGTCACACCCACCTCTAGTCACATGCAAAGGAAGTATGTCCCAGCCAGGAGGAAACAGGAAGTTTTCAACTGGCTGGACCAAACATTCCCCTGCATGTCCACTCTAGGAAAACAAGGAATGTTGTACTTGACTGCTACTTATGTATTGCATCCCACATTAAGAGTTTCATCGTAGACTTTTGCCTGCAATACTGCACCTTACTCTGCAAAATGGTAATAAATAGCTTGTGTTTAAATCACGAGCTGGTACAAGAAGACCAAGACCATCAAACACAGCCAAATGTTCCTCATGATCAAATTGTTCCGAGGGTGAATTTGGAGTTTCTGCTCTCACCAGCCTGATTCTGAGTCTCACTATTATGAACATTGCTGAAGAGGCCTGCACTCCCACTGGCTGGAAGTAGTTCAAGGTTTTTACATATGTATCACCTTAAATGATGCAGAACTTCATTTAAGGTAAAACATATAGCTAGGTACTGATGTACTTCCTGCCTGTGGGTGGACCAAGAGAGTTTTTTAACCTCCAAATTATGAGTTGCTTTTCCTTCCTTTCCATTCTTTTCTTCAGTGTTTTTATTAGCCAAATTTAGCTGCAGAAATATTACATTACAAGGTTGTATACATATTGAATGTCATATTTAAAACTGCATACATGGGACAAATTATTTGTACCAGTTTGATTCAAAACAGTTTGCGAATGAAAACGTTTACCAACTTTTGCTCAATTATGGTCTCCAAGGCTACTGAATACGACCCCATTGATCTTATGCAGACACGATAAACTAAAGAGTCATGTTATTCCTTTTTTTTAAACTCATAGCTCATCTTTCCAGGTGTTTGAATGAAAATTTTTTTTTTTTAATAAGCAGCCTTTAAGTGCAAAAGCATGATTCCCATTTCAGTTTGAAAGACTCTGACCCCAGCTATAGCTTACATTCAGCAACATGATTTGAGTCACAAGAAAATTAAGAACAGGGGCGTTAGTAAGATTTTAGACTGAAGAACAGAATTTTACCCATTGCGGTTATTTTTGTGGGCCGCAGCTCAGAAGACACATCTCGCAGCGAACCTCTGCTGCTTGGTCTATGTATACAACGGATGAAAAACTGCGCCAGAGTTTTGAGAATGAACTGTGCAACTTTTGACACACCATTTTAAATGCTTTCTTGCCTTAAAACCTAAAAAAAACCAACTCTCTGCACAAAGGAAATTAATACAACTTGACATGGGTTATGGATCTTATTGGTATGCTAGAGTTTGCTGTTTTACTTTTAGAGGATGGTTTAAACATGTCAAATGCATTTGAAACCGCGGTCCCCGGCTGCAGTCCACTTTTCCCGCTCTGGGTTTTACCAGCGTTTTTCTGCGGGTCTAGGCCAGGCTATAGTTCTTGGGGGAAGAAAAGATCGCAGCCTGGCCCTGCAAGAGCAGGTTGTGCTTTTTATGTATTTACGTAGCACAATTTCAGGGCAAGTATGTAATACTTCCTTTTCCATGTGGAGCTAGGAGAGAAGATTGTAGCTGTACGACATTCAAATAAATGCGGCTGTTTTTCAACCCTAGCACCAGACTTTTATGAGTCCCCTCTGGTTCCAGCCTTCAGCTGCTTCTATAAGAACTGTTATGGCTGCAATAGTACAAGACACTCCAAAAAGAGCACTTCTTCTTGGGCGCTAACAACTAGGCCAAGTTAATGCATTTGCGCTTCGAGGCCCCAAAAAGCCCCCTTGTAAATAACTTCACAGGGACGTGGGTGGCGCTGTGGGTTAAACCACAGAGCCTAGGACTTGCTGATCAAAAGGTCAGCGCTTCGAATCCCCGCGACGGGATGAGCTCCCGTTGCTCAGTCCCAGCTCCTGCCAACCTAACAGTTCGAAAACACATCAAAGATAAATAGGTACCGCTCCGGCGGGAAGGTTAACCATGTTTCCATGCGCTGCTCTGGTTCGCCAGAAGCGGCTTAGTCATGCTGGCCACATGACTCGGAAGCTGTACATCGGCTCCCACGGCCAGTAAAGTGAGATGAGCGCTGCAAACCCAGAGTCGGCCACGACTGGACCTAATGGTCAGGGGTCCCTTTACCTTTACCTTTAAATAACTTCACACAGACACAAATTTTAGTTTAAGTTATCGGGCAAATTTTGGCCACAACTTTATTAATTACAGAAAGATGAGCAGTATTGGCTTAGGCATTGGCTACAGACTATAACTGACCCCGCCTCTCTGGCTGGTAGTCTGAAAGGATAAACACCAAATGAGGTAGCAACATCAATGAAAACTAACCGAAGCTCACCCCGGGGTTCCTGTGGTCCTGGCATGACCCTAGCCCCTCAAGTGGACTTCGGACGAGAACCAGAACCCCCAGATTCCTTTACCGGAATATCCTTTTCCAGGAGGGGCAGGTGATGGCCGCACCTCCCCTCCCACACATTCCAATAAGCCAACGCCTAACCGGCAAACCTTATAAGTTGTGACAATTGCTGAGGGGCTGGGCGAAAACCAAGTGGCCAAAGCCAATCTGCCAAATGGTAAAATTCCTACCCAGCTCCTGTTCCAAAACAGGCGACCCAAACCAAAGCAAGGCCAGAGCAACACAGCTTAAGAACAAAAAAGGGGGGCATTTTAGGGGAACAAAATGGCCACCACCATTGAGAACTGCCATTGTCTTCCCAAATGCCCAGGAACAACACTGTCTAGCCATTCTGAGGAAAAAATCAAAATGGTGGCTGCCAAACACAGCAGTACAAAAGGTGTTTATCGAGGGGGAAACGCTGCCAAATTGTTGCCTCAGAACAAAAAAAATGGAAATGAGTAAAATCTGAAACAACCTAGGCTTTCTACAGTGAAAATGTGGAGTCAGCGTGATTGAGGAAAAAATGAACATATTCTACAGCCCTATAATGACTCTGCGATTGGGAGTGCAGGGCTCCCAAACAAACGTACATACACTTCTGTGGATGTGGCCTTTTAAGACCACAACAAATAAAAGTATATCAAAGATTTGAAGGCTGCCATCACAAAACAACAACAACAAGGGGGGGCAGGTGTCCAGCAGCACAAGGCAAGTGCCCCAAATTGCGTCGCGCTGCCACATATACAGAGCCCAGGGATCACGCCACCTCACGCGATTGGCCAAAACAGCCTGGAGTGATCCCTGGGCTCTGTATCCCTAACAATTTTAGCCCTGTGGGGTCGCCTCTGGGGCCCGCGAGCAACCAGGACCCTCGTTGAGGAAGATCCCATTTCTTTCCTTGGTCACCATCTAATCAAGATCCTAAGGACAGCCAGGAGCGTAAGGACAGCCTAAGGTCAGTTCCCGAGTCTTAGAATGGGTGTGTGGGAAAAGCCCTGCAATTCTTCCCAGAGGTCCCCTTATGATCATACCTGTCAGCTTACAGATTTGAAAATAGGGGACCAGCAGCCTCGAAAATAAGGGATCAGCAGCCAAAATAAGGGATTTTAGTCAACCAGCTCCTTTCCTTTCCCCCATAATAGTCAATTGAAGAAGCCTCCAAAACAAATCCAAAAGCCCCCCCTCCCACGAGATCACCTTTCCTTTCCCCCCACCATGTGCCCCGCTCCAGACAAACCTTTTCCCCGGCAAGGGTGAGTGGGCCGTCGATGACGTATGCATCCGATTCTGGGCACAGGTACGTTCAACTTCTGAGCCCCTCCGAGCCAAAGGCAGAAAGCCCAGCCAGCAGCCAAACGAAGCCTCAAGCGGTGGTTCCCACAGCGCAGCAAACCAGCAAAGGGGATGCAGCAAGGAAAACCACCATCACCTCTCCGCTGGGAAGCGCTGAGCAAAGGCAAGTCCCCAGGCAACACAGCCGATTTGATCGGCACAAGGCATGCAAGTTCTACCCCCCAGTCGTTCTTAGACTCCTTATTGGGTGAGCAACGCAGCCAAGCAACACAGTTGGAGCCTCCCTCCTCCCTGGCCAGCAGGGAGGGAGGGAGAGGAGCTGCTTCCTTTGAAACCCGGGAAATTTAAGGGACATCATCAATAAGGGACAGCAGCGGGACACGGCGCTGGGATAAGGGAGTTTCCCGCCAAATAAGGGACAGTTGACAGCTACGCTTATGATGTGATGTGAGTCCCAGGAGTAGGGAACACCCTGCTGAAATTATAAGCATCAGCTTGACTCTTCTCCAAAGAATGTGAGCTTCAAGCCAAGACATTTTAAAAGATGACAAAAGAAAGAAAGCAAAGAACAGGTCCTGAGAATACAAGAATAAAACAGAAGGCAGGCAAAAGAAGTTTGGCGCAAGCAAGCAAAAAACGCAGTGCTCTGAAATGCATCAGGATGCGTAGGATCGTAAAGCTGGAACGGACCCTGATGGTCATCTAGCCTGCGATGCGGGAATTTCGGCCCTAGCATCACGACAGCTTGCCATCCAACCCCTGCTTAAGAACCTGTCCAAGGAAGGAGAGCCCAAGGAAGGGAGCAAGTTGTTTTGAAAGGTCCTTTGAGCCTGCAAGCAAAGCTCTAGTCAAGAAACGGGGCTCAACTGTTGTCAACAATTATTGATTGGTTCTCCCCCCCCCTTTTTTTTTTTGTTACTGAATGTTGCATCAAGACAGAACTTGCCATTTTGCCAGGAGAAGGAAACTGAAAGCCTGTGGACTCGAGGAGGCTGCATGGCAGATACTTAGTCTCCCTTTTTGCTAACTGGATGCCTGATGTCAATAATAATAATAATAATAATAATAATAATAATAATAATAATAAATTTTATTTATACCCCACCCTCCCCAGCTAAAGCCGGGCTCAGGGAGGCTAACACCAGTAAAATTACAGTAAAAACATAATAAAGGTAAAGGTAAAGAGTCTAAGTTCTCCAAAGGACCACAGACCCTGGGACCCCATGAGCTCTTGCAGAGAGAGGGGGAGGCACCCAACTTTTGTAACAATATATGGTATAAACCAGGGACCCCCAAACTCAGCCCTCCAGCTGTTTTGGGACTACAGCTCCCATCATCCCTAGCTAACAGGACCAGTGGTCAGGGATGATGGGAACTGTAGTCCCTAAAAAACTGGAGGGTGGAGTTTGGTAAACTTTAAAGACCTCAGTTACTTCATGGACCACCAGGTGTCACTGTTCCCTTACATAAGGTATGTTTTCCTTATAGTGTGGTCTTACAATGCCCAACCAGCTGAGCTGCTTTTTCCCTGACCACCACCCGCTAAAGAGAAAGGGTTGTATGTTGGTGGGAGGAATATTATTGCTCATGCTCAGCTGCCACTTAATGGGAACCATTCCATCAAGCAGCAGAGTGGAGAGAGATAGAAGCTGTGCTATTCCATCACTTCTGCAAAAAGACCTACAGCCATACCTCGAGTTGCATTTGCTTCACGTTGCGTTTTTTTCAGGTTACGAACGCGGCAAACCCGGAAGTGTTTTCTTCCAGTGTGATAGGAATTTTGAGGTCTTAGATATATGGCAATGTTCATAACTGCACGTACATAGATCAGCACAGGAGGACCGAGCTGAAGCCATTTTTATTCCTAAACTGAGCAAACGTTTTCTCTGCATGGTCAAAGTGGGAAAGCCTCCCCATTGTCTTTTCCTTCACAAATCCTGTATTAAGGGTATGTCTGTGTTTGAATAGGATGTGAGCCTGTGACCTGGCCCAGGAACTAAGTATTTATCACTACAAAAGCATGGCCAGGCTCCCCAGGCAATCCAATCAAGGAACCTGCCAGACAGGAGATAAACAA